CTTTGAGATGGGGTTTAGATGAGTTGTAAGTTGTGAAGAGTATGATTATACTGAGAAATTAAGATGGTGCGAAGGTTTCACCAGAGGAACGCGGTACTAAGAACAGTTGATACATTCACGTATATGATTGTGATATATCCCCGAGATGTTTATTTCATTTATTGTCATCCTTGAGGTACTATAATATACCTAGGACCTAGGATATCTCTGATGTTGGTCGTATGTTGTGTAGTAGTGGCGCCGCTCATGTCGTATGTCCGATGTGGTTTTACATCTCAAAGCGCGATACCTCTAACCTTGTCTCGTCAGGTTGCCAAGCGGGTTCATTTTGGCTAGTGTTCAACGACGATGGCCCTCTTGTTGCCTCCTCTTAACCATTAACTTTCGAGGGGCGTTCTGTTTAAACGTGCCCCTGAATTTCGTGCACCTTTTCATCTTCTTACAAAAGGCCATTCGTCTCTCAAGTCACACTAAACCTCACAACACTAGTCTCCAACGTCTCGGAATCCACCAAAACAATCTCCCCCGTCTCCGAAAACTTCGGCACAGCAATCAGTCTGACAGTCTGCCCATCTTCACCCTCAATAACCGCAGTATCGAATTTCGGCTGCGACCCCACAAAGAAAAGATGCGGACACGAAGTCAGCACGAACGGATCGTCGAATTGAAATGGATAGCTCCCTGTAACAATCAGCGACAGAAATGATGGGATAGATAGGAAAACTTACACAACGTATCCGGCGCAGTAGGGGCGCAACACCTCCACCTACACATCGCCTCCATCATCCCCAACCGATCCTCACCCTCCACATACTTAAACACATCATCCACATTCTGACCCCCTGTGCCTAGCACTTTCCACCCTTCCACCTCGCCCGCCCACGGATTCGTCACCGTATCAAACCATCCAGGCGTACTCTTCCCATCCTCACCAGGTGGCATAGCACCATACGTCCTCGCTTGCGGAAACATGGCTGAATGAATCGGCTGTTGCGGTAACGATACGTTCGCGGGGTCGTGGTATCCTGGCATCAACGTGACTGGGAGACTAGGTAGTAGACTCACGAGGAAATCGTCGAGGTGCGCTGTAGGCGTTGGATTGTAGGCGCTGCTATCGTATCCGTATTTTTTCTGGGCGGCTTTTTTGGTGTTGCCGATTGTATCGTGAGGTGTAGCTTCTAGATCTACAGCGATGGAATTGCCTGCGATGATGAGACGGCTGATTTGGGAGACGTTTTCTTGGGTGACTGGATCGAGGGCTTCGCCGAGGAGAAATTCAGAGAGGAGGTTGAGTTCGAGAGCGTGTTCTGAGTTTGTACTTGAGAAGCCTAGACCTGAGACGATGGCGATTTTCTTGCCATTACTCGTTGGGGCCGGCTTTTCCATATCTTCATCCTCATCTTTCATTTTACTTCCATTACCCATTGGTTTCTCATCCTCCATCTCCTCATCCTCATCTTTAACCTGCACCCACCGCTCACTCTGCGGCGGCAACCCAGGAACCTTAATATCCACAACCTCAAACTCACCATTCGAATTCTCCGTCCCCATAACCGCAACAATACACCCCGTAACCAACATCTCGTTCTCAAGCGCATGACCAACCAGTCTAATCCTCCCCGACTTATCCTCCAACATAATCATATCATTTCCATCAGCAGATAAATACTTTTCCCTCGGCGCAGGCGCAGAAATCCAATGCTACCCCCAATTAGCCCTCCTCTCCCCCATTTCAAATTATTCAACTCACATCTTTACTGATATCATCCAAAATATTCGGTTTGAGCGGCATATCCATGAATATCGTGCCTATAATCCAACACAAATTCCCCTGTCGCACACCCAGCACATTATCAACTTTCTGCACCACATCCTGACCGATCTGAAACCCATCCCACGCTTCCCCCGCGACCTTTTCTACGGCCGGCTTGAGGATCGCGAGACGGTAGAAATACATGTCGGCGAATTGTTGCTGGTATTGTTTTTCTTTTGCGAGCGAGAAGTTGTGGTGGGGGATGTAGGAGGTGGTGGAGCGGGTGAGGGCGGGGTGGGAGGTGTTTCTGGGGATTGTTAGAATGTTTTACGGTGGATTGAGGGGAGAAGCTTACGAGGGTCCTCGAAGGAGGTTGCCATCTTCTGGGACGGCCATTTGCGCGTGGTGTTGTGGTTGATTTGGTGCTGCAAAGTTCCAGGTTGTTGGCGGGAGACGCGACGGGATGGATTTGTCGAGGACCCGCGCACTTTTCGCGTAGAAAGGGGGTGAAATTGATGCCTCATTTATAAGGACTCCTTGTTTACATTGTTAATAACGTATGGAGACTCCCTTCATACTCTTTATTGAAATTCTTAAATATAAATAATATAGTAGATATTATTGGTATCTTACTACTAAAGATAATTCATCATGACTGGAATTCGTTTCAAAAACAAGAGATCCAGGAAACAGTATATCTTCACTCACTACCCATTAGGCCCTAGCAACAGTAGACACTTTAGCCAAACAAGCCAAGAGAGGGCCAAAAATGAATGTGATTGTTTGAACAATATCTGGCACAAACAAAAGAATCTATCTCTGAGGCAATATCCCGATTTATCGAGCGTAGATAGGGGATTTCTTCCACATCCAAGTTTTCCTCCCTTTCCCTCCCCCATCCAAAAACTTACTCTCCTCCATCCAATCCCTCTTCCCCATCACTCCATACCATTGCATTACCCATTACTCTCACACCATTCCACCCACCCACCTCTCCCCCATCCTTCCCCCTCCTCTCCATCATTCCTCCCTCCCCCTCTCTTCCCTCCCACACCCTTCACTCACACCCCCAAAAGCCCCCCCAAAACCACCACCCCCAACCCAATCCCCTCCCACACCCCAACCCCCCCAGTAGCAGCCGCACCCGTACTAATCACGCCCTGCCCCGTGCCCGTCGCGCCCGTTCTAGTAGCCGTGCCCGTTTTATCCGAGTGCGGAGCCGTCTTGGTCGAGACCGTAGTGTTGCAAGTGAGGCAGGTGGTGGAAGTGTGATGAGTGCTTGTGGGTATTAGCAGAGGGAGGGGAAGAGATAGAGAGGAAAGGGGAGGGGAGCGTACGTATTTGAGAAACTCGTGCTCATTGCAACGCCGAGAAGTGCCAATACGTAGATGAGGGTGAAAGAGAAATTGCGTGGCATTTTGATGGTTTGGTTTTGTACGGAGATGGTGCTTTGTGAGGCAGGGACAGGATGGGGTTACAGGTGCGAGGGTGCGGTGTTGATATACCTCCGTTTTATATCATTAGCATTCTTAGTTGCCAAGGTCCACATTCCTGGGACGCGGCTGTGGGAGGGTGGCGGAGGAGGTGGAACAGGAGGGATGACTTGTTGATGTGGGTAGAGTGAAGCTCGCAGGTGTTTAATTGAGTGTCAGAGGTATGATTTTGGGTTCTAACAGGTAAACGGATGGATTTGACATTATGAAACGATCACGAAGAATGTGACGACGACAACAATCGTTTCAAATACACACAAATCACTAGGCGAGCGTCAGCCCTCATCAATATCTTATAGTAACAGTCATCATTATCCACCTTCCACCAGCCATGTCGCATCTACATCCCCTTCGCTATCGGTATAGTGTTGAAACAAATTGTGTAAAAATATCCCTCACCAATCCCAATCTCCGAACCAATTCTCCAAAATGTATAGCCGTCACGCCCACACAATCCGTCAAAGAAACCAATCTAATGCCAAAAAAGAAAAGTGGTATGAACGAACCGCAACGCTATGCCATCAATTATCACAAAGACAAAACAACTAAAGAAAATATATGTATGAGAGGAGGAGAGCTATACTGGATGGGGTTATGTTTAGAAGAGCCCGGCTTTCTTCTTGTCGCAGTAGCCGGGAAGTTTTGGTGCTTCGTCACCTCCGGCCCAGCTTTTAAGGGTTAAGGATGTGGTATAACCCATAACTACTAAGCCAAAGATACAGAGTAAGACGTCGCAAAACTTGCGGAAGGTAGTTTTGGCGACGGCTCGGTAATGGAGCATTGGCTGCATATATATTAGCAATTGACATGAGGATAGTAGGAGAGTTTTTACCGGGTAGATATAGACGAGCGGAACGCAAGCAAAGCTGCCTACAATCGATACAAACTTGTCTAGATCATTTGCTCCTATCCACGCAATGGCAGCACACAACATGACAACAAAAAATCGAAACACATTTTTTTGCCATTTAATATGCGGGTTATATTTCCCACTCCGTGTGAAGAGTTCGTTTTCTGTAATTTTGATTGCTGGGAATATTTGTAGCGGCGTTGACAAAAGAATCGCCACTGAATATAAGAACTGAACAGCATTGACGAATTTCGAATCCTGAGGCATGTTGAGAATAACGACGGTCTCGGTAGCTGATCCAAAGGCGGCATAAGAGAGAGCTCCCATGGATATGAAGACGACGGAGATGATAATCATAACCAACCCAAGAACTTTAGGGAACTTCTTTGGATCCTTCATCGATTCTTGAATGGGTATAATCAATCCAATACCCTCGAAAGTGAAGATCGCCGTGCCAATGAATAACGTCCAATCGTTTTTGTTGAAATTGATTATGTCGGCGACTCCATTGCTTGCGATGGTGAGAAAATCGTAGTAGTAGAGATATAGCAAACCGATTAGGATAAACGCATCGGCAATCAAAGCTGTAAACCCAAGTTTGCTGATATCCCGAAGTAATGAAAATGGCAGGAAGATGGCCATCTGCATGAGGATCAAGTATTGAATTTCGATGTTGGTCTTGCAATTGGAGACAGCACGGATGAACGCCTGCAAGTTCTCGGAGGTGAAAACAATGTATGCAGCCACGAAGCCGATCTGACTAATAACGATGGAAGCCAGAATAGTATTTCTCATCCACCGACCATATAAAACACCACCCATATCTCCAAACGAAGCTTCGACCACCAAACGTGTGTTGACGAGTAGCACGAAGCAGTAATAGCTCAAAAGTGCAACGAATACCAAGACCAGATTACTGAAAAGCATTCCGCCATTGAGGTAAGCCTTTGGGAGGAACAAGACTCCTGTGCCGACGAACGATTTGAGCAACAGGAAAAATGCATCTGTAGGACTGCTGAGTTTTTCCGTCTTTCGTTCCTTGCGCCTTCTTTTGCGGAGACCAGGTGTGAGTAGAGCACTGTCCTCCATTGGTTCTCTATCCTCGTCGTCGCCTCGATCACCGTCACCATCAGCTTCTGAGGAGAAATACTCGCCAGGACCCAGCACCTCGTCATCTTCTTCTAGTTCCTCACCAGCGAAGTGACCGTAAATCGTTAAGAATTCGATAAAGTTGTTAGTGAGAAGTTTTGGCTGTCCCCTTCGAACTCCGATATTTTCTTCTGCAGCTCCATCAGCTTGTCCTTGTGGAGTTGGGCTGCCAGCTGCACGACGCAAGAAATTACGACGGAAACCACCAGGTATCTTGATGGAATCGATGTCCATGGTCTCGTCTTCTGGATACGGTCTCGAAAGGTTGAAGCTCATGCTTCTTTGGCCCTTTCCTCGTCCTGTCGCTCGTGCTTGGGCTTCCTCTGTCCATTTGTAAATTGGACGTGTAATATCTCCACCTTGGAGCCGTAGACTTGAGAATTCGTCATCGTCCAGACCAGGAGCTATTGATTCTGGTGCTTGTTTTCCCTTTCCTGCAGGCGAGCCGCCCCGAAACGACATGGAATCGCCAAAGATGCCGCCATCTCCCCCAGCCGTTCGTGAAGGCAGCTGCTCCGTTTCTGACGATTGAACCAAGTGCCTTCTTACAATCTCAGGATCCTCGAACGTATTTGGACCTGCCCACCCCGACGAACCTTGTATCGACCTTCCTCTTGCGTCGAATGACCCATAATTGCTTGGTGGAGCCGCCTGTTGTATCTGCTGGCCAGCAGTTCCAGGAGAAAGCGCTCGAATTGGAGGAGTGCCAAACTTGGGCGGTGACTGACCGAAACTGTTTGACAAAGCTGCCGCCAGAGCAGAGATACCCGGGCCTGGCAATGAGGAGTGGGGTGCTGGACCAGCTAGAGGAGTCAAGTCTCCTGAAGGAAGCGGTTGTTGTGGATCGGAAGCACCCTGGTTGGGGGTAGGTATTTGGCGGATTTGCGGTGTACCGCTGAGTGTATGTGAGGGCACTGGAGAAGCCAATCGCGCTGTTGATGATGCTCGATAAACTGAGTTACCAGAGTTTGGTCCTCTGAACGAACTCGGATGAGAGCCAGAAGTAATTGGAACTGGCAGAGGGCGAGTCGACGGTGAGACTTCCTTAGGGGACGACATACTGAAATGTATATGGGTATATGGGATCGAGTGAGGTTGCTGTCGTGGGACAGACGTTGTTTAGAGGCTTATCGCATTATCGTGTGGGCTTGAAGAGCAGAATCAGCAGATAGATCACAGTAGAGAGTTATAAGGAGGAAGCACAATGAATTCATGAGTAACGCGTAGTGGGAATACGAACGAGAAGTAAAAGTGGCTATGGAATCGGTGAATAACTCTGCTTGTCGAAGGCAGAAGGTTGCACTTCTTACTCGGCCACACGATGTCTTAGATTGTGAAGGTTCAGTCAGGTACACAAGGTCACGCTTTGGCAGCGCAAGAGCCCGACGACCCCGAAGCTGCGGGGGTTCTATTGGACGGAGGGGGACGAGCCGCTCTTATCGATAAGAACCAAGGCCGAGGCTGGCCTTGACTGGTGGTAGCCTCGTCTGATGTTACTTTGTGGACCACTTAGTCTGTACTTGTACATTTCGTACACCACTTTACTTCTTTTGTATCACTTCTTCTCCCGATCACTTCTTGCCCTCATTATCTCCTTCTTCCAATATTCAATCATTTGCCACCTCGAAACCCTCCGCCGAGCTGGATCCGCTGACATAAAAAACTCTCGCCAAGTCTTTGTGCCAATTTTGTCCCAGCATTTTGCCAGTGACGTTGGTCTGCAGGGTGGTCAAGCACCAAGCAACACGCGTGAAACCACTTCTTTCTCCAGTACAACTCCAACTCCAATTCATGCTTCACAACCCGCCATGAGAGTCAAATATTCATTATGCCACGGAGAAGTGGATGTCTGAAGAATCCATTCTCATTTCATTCCTTAAGCTAGTATTTCAGGAGAGCCTTTACGGCTTTCGGACAATATTCTTTCTTTCTTTCTTTCCCCTCGACCAAACCAAATGCTCGGCGCAATGCGACCAAAGACTACCGGTCGCGAACACTCGAATTTCCAATCGCGAACCGCATCGGATGTCGCAGGAGAATTGACCAAGAGATGGTCGAATCTGGGAGAGGAAGAGACCGGTTCCGTGGGGATTTTGCATGGTTCTGACAGCACCGCCAATCCCTACGAACCCGCGACCAATGCCTCGACGCCTCCTCCACGGTCCTACTCTTTCACAAAATGGCTTTTCCATTGGCGTTCAAAGAGCCCAGATCAAGGGGGTCATGCAAACGAGCCACCCGACTCAGGACGAGGAATGGAAAGGAACTCGTCGTATAATGGCAGTATGACTCCAGACCCCGCGACCATACAGGCACACAACAGAGCCGAAAACAAAAGAGCAAATGGAGATCCCTCAGCCCCAAGGCCGGGACTTGGTCCTCGACCTATTGGAGGGAGCGATAAACTTGGAATGTTCTCTGGTGTCTATGTACCCACCTGCTTGAATGTTCTCAGTATTCTTATGTTCCTGAGATTTGGATTCTTACTAGGTTTGTACTTTCCTCATACTTGTGCTACTGGCATGCTGTCTGTTTCTGTTTACTTGTGGCTATCTTCTCAACTCTTCTCAATTGATATGGATTTTGTATTTATTCCTACTTGTTGAATAATCTATGAGCAACTCGTCTTGATTTTCCACATCTTGCGCTTGCTCTCGAACCATAGTAATGGGATGGACATTGGACTAACAGTAACATAGGCCAAGCAGGTATTCTTGGGATGATGGGAATGCTAGTTGCCTCCTACGCCATCAATCTCATTACAACGTTCTCCTTGTCTGCCATTGCGTCGAATGGAACAGTACGAGGTGGAGGTGCCTATTACTTGATTTCAAGATCTTTAGGTCCGGAATTTGGGGGGTCCATTGGCGTCGTCTTCTACCTCGGATTTGTTTTCAACACTGGAATGAACGCCGTTGGTTTGATTGATTGCATTACGATGAACTTTGGCTCGAAAACGGGAAATTGGGCAAACGTGCTCCCGGAAACTCCATGGTTTTTATATCTATGGTCCACGATTGTTCTATTGGTTTGCACATGTATCTGCTTGGCCGGATCCTCGATTTTTGCACGCGCTAGTAACGGACTTCTTGTCATCCTGCTAATCTCCACGCTAAGTATACCCTTCTCAGCTCTGGTTGTTTCACCATTTGAAAGCAGAAAATTGGGTATCGACTACACTGGCCTCAGTATGGAGACATTTATGGGCAATTTGAAGCCACAACTGACAAAGGGAGCCGCTGGAAGTCAATTGAAAGGGAAAGAAAACTTTCAAGATCTGTTTGGAATCTTGTTCCCTGCGACTGGTGGGATATTTGCTGGTGCGAGCATGTCAGGGGACTTGAGAAACCCAAGTAAATCCATTCCCAAAGGAACATTATACGGCCTTGCTACAACATTCGTGCTATATGCAATGGTAATACTCGCAATGGCTGCTACAATCACAAGATCGTCCTTTGCAAGAAATGCAAATGTCATTCAGGATACCAATATTTCCGGACTTGTCATTCTGGCGGGAGAATTTGCCAGCTCATTTTTCTCGACATTGATGGGTGTCATTGGATCTGCAAAATTACTGCAAGCTTTGGCTAGGGATGATTTGCTTCCTGGATTTTCCATTTTTGGACAAGGAACTAAAAACGGTGATGAGCCGACCTACGCTATCATTATGACCTACATCGTTGCACAGGTCACAATGCTCTGTGACCTGAATCAAATCGCTTCTTTCGTAACGATGACTTATCTTGTAGGTCTCCAGCGATAGCTTCGCGTCTACTATATCTGCTGTTATCTTGGCATGTTTTTATTTAATTCAATGCTGACCAGATTTAGATGACGTTCTTGGTCATGAACCTCGCTTGTTTCCTTCTCAAAATAAGTTCCGCTCCAAATTTCCGGCCCTCTTTCCACTTCTTCAACTGGGAGACAGCCCTGCTTGGCACTATCGTCTCAGGAACAGCAATGTTCTTCGTAGATGGTCTTTATGCTACGGGTTGTGTGGGCATCTTAATCGTCATTTTCCTCATCATTCATTACGCCAGTCCACCGAAGAGCTGGGGAGACGTCTCTCAGAGCTTGATTTATCATCAAGTGCGCAAATATCTTTTACGTCTAAAACAAGAACATGTCAAATTTTGGCGCCCTCAAATATTACTCTTCGTTAACGATCCACGGCGCCAATATCGCTTAATTCAATTTTGTAACTCTATGAAAAAGGGTGGGCTTTACATTCTTGGTCACGTCATTGTTACAGACGATTTTGGAGGTTCTGTGCCTGAAGCGCGTCGTCAACAGGCTGCGTGGACAAAGTACATAGATTTCTCCAAGATTAAAGCTTTTGTCAATATCGCCATCTCTCCTGGGCTCGAGTGGGGCGCTCGCAATATCCTTCTCTCCGCGGGACTTGGTGGTATGAGACCTAATATCTGTGTCATGGGTTTCTATAATCTCGACGCAATGCGACAGAATGAGCCTTTGGTAGATGTACCTGAAATGAGCCCACCACAGGCAGATGGTGCGTCTAGCGAGATACGCCCAGTTCGAAGACGGCGTCGCCGGGACAGTAAGGATGTGAAAGTGGAAGGTATATTGCCCACCGATTCCTGCAAAACAGAAGCAATGATGAGCGTGACAAGCTATGTGACGGTCCTCGAAGATCTTCTTTTGCGGCTACAGATCAATGTGGCCATTGCTAAGGGGTTTGAAAATTTGGAATTTCCTAACTCAGAAAGCAAACAATCAAAGAAGTACATTGATCTATGGCCAATTCAGATGTCCGCTGAGATTGCGGCTGAAGGTGATGGAAAGCTGAACGTCTTGACCACTAATTTCGACACCTGTAAGTACTTTACAGTCACTCGCTAAGATGAGGTACTAACGACCTGCAGATACACTGATTCTACAGCTTGGAGTCATCTTAAATACTGTTCCAGCCTGGAAGAAGGCTTACGATCTCCGAGTTGCAGTGTTCGTAGAGTATGAATCGGACGTCGAAGAGGAACGGGGCCGCGTCAAGTCTCTTCTTGAAAAGTTGCGAATTGAAGCGGAGGTTCTCGTTTTCTGGTTGGCCTCCGGAAATTTGCCTACTTATGAAATTGTCGTCAACGGCGCCACACCGGGAAAGAAAGAGGAAGATGAGGTGGATGAAGTGCTGAAAAACCAAGAATGGTGGGATGAACTCCAAAAGGTTCGTGGCAGAAGGGAAGGGAATCCTGCCATAGAAGACTTGTCGGAGATTGCCAGCATATTCAATTCAAGTTCCCTCTGGCCAGAGTCATCATTTCAACAGGGACCTCGAGAAGGAAAAGTGGAACGATTCCTTGGTTTACGGAAACTGCTCAAAAGATCAAAACGAAGACATACCAGTGGTCAACTATCCAGACTAGGTGTTAGCTTGGGTATGCGAACACATCAACTTTCGCCCCAAATTGTAGGACAAAGTCAGAGCTGTCTGAGTGCAAGCGAGGACTCAGACTCTTCGTCTTCGGAAAGTGACAATGATCCAAAAGATGACGAAGCTGCGAGTGAGGCAGATATGGATGATTATGAGTCTGAATCTGAGCAGATGCCCACAAACATGCCTCTCAAACGAAGACGGAGCCATGGAGATAGTATACGAGGGCCTCCTGTATCAAAGAAATCTACTGGAGAAGCCCCAATCACAGTTCCTTCAGACACTGAACGTAGTCCCTTACTTTCCAAACCCAATTCATCATTTGGCACCACTTCAGCAAGCGAGGCGCCTACCAAAATCAAGGTCCAAGACCAACGACCAAAAGTCTCAGCACTCACCACCTCTCTCAAATCCGAAGGCTCAAACAGTCGTCCAACATCCTCCCAAGATACATTCGACACTATGAAATCACCCACAACCCCCGGAGCAGCCACACCAGGCCGTACCTCCACCCGCCCCCCAAGCTCCAAAGCCAACGAACGTCCCTCCCTAAGCCGCCACGCCAGCATGCCAAAATTCACATCCAAACCCGTCCCCATAACCCGCGTAGCAACCGAAGACGGACCCGGTCCCTCCATAATGTTCACAGACACACCCTCTCCACCACCACGTCGTCAACGTCTCCCATCCGCCTACGAATTCCCATCGTCCGCTCCAGCACCCTCACATAATTCAAGCCGTCGCGGATCTACATACTCAACCCAAGGTCTGCCATTGTCGTTCAACGATCTCCCATGTCGTGCGCAGCATTTGATCCTGAATGAGTTGATGAAGAGGGAGAGTCGGGATACTGCGGTGGTGTTTACGACGTTGCCGAGTCCCGTCGAGGGGACGTGTCATGATGAGGGCGCTTGTAAGGCGTATCTGGGGGATTTGGAGGTGCTTTGTAAGGGGTTGCCGCCGGTTATGTTGGTGCATAGCAATAGTATGACTGTCACTATGAGTTTGTGAAGGAGGTTGGATAGAAGAGGTGGAGGTGGTTGGATTGAAGAGGGGGTTCATCTCATATATTTGGATGGATGGAGTACAAAATGGTGATATATATGGGAGTTTTACGGACTGCGGGGTTGGAATATACAGATTATCGAATTCATTATTTTGAGCAATGCGCCTTTACTCCACCAACGCCTCATCACATTATTAAACCGCATCCTATCACAACTTACTCCCCCTCTCCAACAACCTCACGGCATCCCTCTGCACCTCCCTCACCACCTCCCCAGCACCCATCACCTTCCTTATCAACCCAACTCCCGTCCCCGCATACGCCGTCATCCTCCCCTTCCCCTCAACACCCCACCCTTCATCCCCCCGCCCCATCGCCTCCTTATACAACCTCTGATTCTCCTCCTCCCCCATCCCACCCCTCTCATCCCAGTACGTCTCATTCAACACCCCCCTCCCATCATATCTTTCCGGCCACCCCGCCGTCCCCCTCACTCGATCATACACTGTCGTCCGCGCTGTACTCACGCCCCCGTCCCTAGCCGCTACCACCGCGTCCCGATACCCATTCGAAATCTTCGCTTCCGGCGTAGCTAGGAATCGCGTCCCCATACTCACGCCCACGGCGCCGAGTTGCCATGCCGCTGCCACGCCGCGTCCGTCGCTGATTCCCCCCGCGGCGAGGAGTGGGATATCTCCGAATCCGTTCTCAGCCAAAGCGTCCGCACATTCGGGGAGGAGTGAGATGATAGACGACGAATTCGCCAGTCCGTGGCCCCCGGCGTCGCTGCCTTGGATGACGAGCACGTCTGGTGCGCATTCTAAGGCTACTTGCAGCGTTTCGGCCACGGTGCCGGTTTGGATCCAGATTTTTGTAAGGGGAGAGGCGGCTCGGATGGAGGAGGTCCAGAGAGCGAGGTCGGTGGTTTGGTGGGGGGCGAAGAGCCATATTGCGGCGGGCTTGAGGGGGGTGGAGTGCAGGGTTGAGAGGGTGGAGGGGAGTGAGGAACCCCAGAGGATGAAGCCTATTCCGATGGGGAGGAGGCCGGGGGGTGTGAGGGGGATGGGGTGGTGGAGGAGGGACTGTGGGGTGTTAGAATCTTGGAGGGTTGGGAAGGGGAGAGGGGGGAGGGAGACGTACGGTGTTTATGTCGTCGAGTTCGGTAGGGAGGGATGAGGCGTCTGTTCCTGCTGCTATGAAACCTAGGCCGCCGGCGCGGGAGACGGCGAGGGGGAGTGATGGGACGGAGATTAAGCGCATTGGGGCGGAGGATATGAGGGGGGTGTTGGGGGTTATCCATGGGTAGTCGTTGTGTAGTTTTTGGGCGTGAGAGGTCATTGTGGAGAGGTTGTGTTTTGATAGAAGGGTGAGGGGTTTGGGTTTACTGTATTTCAGGATTGAGCGGATGGTTGGACGAAGGAGGGACATCAAGGTATTGCTTGGTCGTTTGATGTCTTGATGGATTTTAATTCGTCTTGAGAATTGTGAGTTTGTGTTAAGCTAGAAGAGGGTTTCGATTTACCAAATAATTGAATATCAGAACAACATCCTCATTGAACCCCTCTTGATATATATATAAACCGAGGATGTTTACACAACAGACCTGACTAACGAATCTCCGACCTCGGGTTTTGGAACGCTGCTTTGAACTAGTAAGCCAACCGCATCTTCTTGAATCCGGTACTTGATTTATAAAGATCCTGTACAACTATGATTACAGATCCTCTCGCATTTCTTTCATATCATCAAAAATGACAATCAAATGATAATCAAATGAAGAAGGTGTTCCACCTCCTCGGAAATCCCCTCGCCAAAGCTCCCCCTGCTTCCCCGCCATTATGTCATATCCCACCATCCCCAATCAAGCTAGACTTCCCGCGTCAAAGGAGCCGCATTCAGAAGCAGGGGCATAAGTTCGTTCTACGCCAAGATTATACTTTGCTTCCTTTAGCTATTTTACAACATTTATCGCGACATTGTATTATTGGGAAGGAACGTCGGAATTTTGGATATTTGTAGGGAACATGCGCCGAGGGGATGGGGTAATGGGAGAGAAGGGCTGATTAGGTGGCAGGTTTGAGTAGAATTTTGCAGTCATGAATGCTCCGGATAGGTATGTCGTTACTTCCCCTCTGGCTCCTGCCTCGAGCATGCGATGCAAGACTTCACTTTCGACTTCCCTCTCTATACCTTCAAAGTTTTCGCGCGCATGCGACGTCCGATCTCCACAACAAACCACAACCGTCGCAACAATGGGGATCTTAGCCAGCGCTGACAACGACGATAGATTCGAGCTCTTCCTCCTCGGCGACGACGAAAAGAAATGCTCTGAAGAAGTAGACACGCGTGCGCCCCCCTCCCACACCATCCCCCATCCATCTCTGATTTAGCATAGGCACGCCCAACTCCTCCGTCTTCACATTCCACAAGGAAGACCATACGCTTGCGAATATGATTCGTGCGCATCTGCTCAAGGATCAACATATTCTGTTTGCGGGTTACAAAAGTACGTTTCCCCAGCACACATCTCTCTGTGTGGTTTGTAGATCTGGGAACTGACGTTAGGATCACAGTTCCACATCCACTCTTCGCGAAATTCGAACTCCGCATCCAAACCGACGGCGTCATCACACCCAAGGAAGCGCTTGTCAATAGCTGCAAAGCGCTCGTCGGAGACCTTGCCATATTAAGTCGGGAGTTTACGAAGGAATATGAGTTGAGGAAGATGGTTATGGGGGATGCGACGGAGCAGTAAGGGAAGAATATCAGGAGTGCTACGGATGGGGGCTCGATGATAAAAGGAGTTTTTGGAATGGGGGGTTGCATTTTTTGGGGCGTCTGGCTGGAAGGCTCTTATCATCTCAAAGGAATGGCGTAGGGATTTATTTGTGTGTTTTCATTACTAGGGACGTGATTCTGTGTGGTGCACGACGACTAACATGGCAGCTACGATATGTTCAGATTTGATACCAGTAGGTGGAAGCGCGAATCCATCAATGCTTCGTCAACCTAACATCACTTACCTAACTAATACTAATATGCGATTCGCGCTCCTAAACAGAACCCCCAATCCACACATCCTCACATCCAATCACACCCTCAACCTCTAGACCTCACGTTCCGCAATCATCAATCCTCTTATCCCACTACCTACCTACATTTCTTTTCCCACCCCGCTTCCATCCATAATCTGATTCTAACCCGCCCAAATCCTAACGCGCAGATCACGCAAACTCTAGCACAACACCATGCGCCACAAGACACGCGTTACTATATCCACAACAACGGGAAATTCATACTGATCGCACGAGAAAGGGGTTTAGGAGCAGGTTGCTTGATGTTGGGAAAGTGGGGTGGTTCAGATGGGATGAGGGCTGTTTTGTTGTGTGGGAAAAGGGGGTGTGAGTGAGGGGAGGGTGGATGGGAATGGGTTTTGTGGGTTTGGGGAAGGAGGTGTGTGGGTGTGTGTGGATGTGGAAGGTACTGAATCTGTAGAGGGAAAGGAGTTATAAAAAGGAGAATTATTAAGACTCTACCTAATTTGGTTCTTGATTAGAGTAGATGGTTGAGATGTTGAATGGAAGCAAAGGGATGGTATCTGAGATACTGCAAGGAAGGGTATAATCTTCCTTGCTTAAGTGATTTAAGAATAGCTGTTTTAAGGGTTTGGTTGTTTGATTTTGTAGGTTGTGATATGGGAGACGGGGAGTAATGAGGCTGGTTTGTAGTCGGTGAATCTTATTTTTAATGACAGATCTGCACTTAGAGAGTCGAAGAGGAAAAATACCTATGTGTGTTAGGTACCTATGCACATATGAGTGGGATGTAAGCACGTCCTGGAGGGGGTGCTGTTTGAGTGTGGTGAGATGGCATCGTGTATTTTGGTCTGTCAACACAAGGTGGGAGTATTTGAATTCCTTTTGCAGATTAGTGGAGTGGCTTGATGGGTCGGTCTTGTTCGAGCGAATGGCTATTATGATATAAACTAATCAAACCTTGAAATTCGTGACAGGAATATAGGATATGCCCATACAGGCAAACTCAGATCTCGCTTATTCCCACCATATCCTCCAGACCGGCGAATTTCGCCGTTGACTAGGCATAAAGACATTCCGACTCGGGCACGTTGGTCGTGATTGGGAGACTGGGAGTTTGGGGCGATCGGGGACGGAGCGATTGTGAGAGGAGATGATGGAGGGTATGGGTTATACTAGGGAGGCTTTGGGTTGTACCGAGGATTGAGTGGGTGAGAAGGGAATGCAAAATTGGGCGACGGCTGAATTAACGATGTGCGAATCGGACAGTATTTAACCGACAGACCAAAAGATGCGGGATGATGGTATTTGTGTAACTTTGTGATGAGGTATAGAAAGGAAGGATCGCTGGCGTTTTTGGTAAGAAATGAAAGAGAGGAATATTCCTGTACGAGATGGCGAAGCGAACGGTTCTCATAAGCGGTTGTTCGGAGGGGAGTTTGGGCGCTGCACTTGCTATTGCGTTCCGTACGTCGTCTCCTTCGTTGTTGTTGTGGATGTACTAACGCTGCGGGATAGATAATGCAGGTCTCCATGTCTACGCCACGGCGCGCAATCCATCGAAGATGAAATCGCTCGAGGCGATGGGGATTTCGATACTCACGCTTGATGTGCTATCAGCTTCCTCGATCGCAGAGTGTGTTAAGCAAGTTCCTTCGCTGGATATACTGGTCAACAACGCTGGCGCTCTATACGCTATGCCGGTCTCAGATATGTCTATCGACAAGGCAAAAGAGCTGTTCGATTTGAATGTGTGGTCTTACCTGGAAGTTCTACAAGCGTTTTTACCACTGTTGATAGCAAGCAAAGGAATGGTGGTCAACCAGACCAGTGTTTCAAGTTGCACGGTTATACCCTTCCAATCTGCATACAACGCCTCAAAGGCCGCGATGGCTATGTTTTCCGAGTCGATGCGGCTCGAACTCCAGCCTTTTGGGATAACGGTGATTGAGTTGAAGACCGGTAGTGTGACTTCGACTATGTACGATAGGAATAAGGATATCAAGGGTTTGCCGGATGGAAGCATTTATCTTCCTGCTAAGGAGGCGGTGGAGAAAGCGATGAGGAATGAGGAACTTGAGAAGAGTCTCATGGATCAGAAGGTTTGGGCCGATCTGACGGTGAAGGATCTGTTGAAACCCAAACCGGTACCGGTTATTTGGAGGGGTACAAATGCGGCGTTGGTTAGATTGAGTACGGTGTTGCCGTTTGGATGGTTTGACGGGATGTTAAAGAAGATGACTGGATTAGATGTTGTTGAAAAGGCGGTTGGTGGGAAGTGAAGTTCTTCGTAGATTGAGTGGACTGAGATTTGTGGTGGTTCATATTTCATGAAGTGTTGGCTGTTGTAATTTGTTGTTTCTTTTCTGGGAGATGTTACTAGACCGTTCTCAATGATATTAAATGCTGAACCTCCGACCTTACCAACCCTATTCTTGATCACCTACCTCCACGGTAATCTCCTACTCATCATGTCCTCACATCTTTAGTCCACGTTCCCACAACTCCAAGAACGTAGGTCTGAATAAGACGGAAAACCACATCCAAAGCATCCCCAACTCCTCAAACACATAACTTTCGCTCGGTTATGAGAAGCCGAGGTGGATGTGGTATGTTTTCTCTGGCGCTAGTCCAAGGAGGACATGACTTGTGATCCAGCAGCTATTGGGAGGAGCTGTGGACGTTGGATATCTGTTCGTAGCGCGTATATGGAATAGTAAGAAGAGAAGTACGGCATAAAAAAGAGATGGAAAACTGGTGGGTGTGGGGGTTAGACCACGAGAGAGGGTGTTGAGATTTTGATGTAAATCCGGACGGACGAAAAGCGCGTCTGGGATGTGGAAATATCAAGTCTATTCCGGAGACAACTATCCTCAAGATCTTATGCGTTCGACTCAATCGAGTCGCGCGATCTGGTCGGCTCTAGAACGACGAGAAGCTCGTTACCCAGGTGGTACCTAGCTATTCAGGAGAGCCGCGACGCGTCTTGGGTTTCCTGGATGTGCACACTGCCAACTCGAAGCTTGAAGGGTGGACAAGTCAACCGTGACTCGATGACTTGGCGTTTGTGTTGGAGTGCTTTTGCTTGTAAAGTTTGTAGTTTCCTTCGACTGGTTTCTTGGTTGACCTTTATTTTCAAGCGACGGTTCGGACGCGAGAACTGGTTCATCCCATCCATGGATGTCATCACGTTACCCGAATGGTTTTTGGACATTAAATCGACATGCAACAGAAGTCGGAGTCCGTTATATCCCGGTCCGAGCATCGGATAGTAAAGCTGTCCATAACGCTAGGATGCCCAGCTTGCTTGTCGATGCATGCTGCGAAAAGTGCGATGTGCAACAGATTCGGGCAAACAGTGCTGAGGGAAGATATTCGGGCCGGTCATAGTTAATATCAAACCGTCTGCTCCGCTGCCGAGTTCTTCCTCTCACGTTACCTTTCTTGCATGCAAGATAATGAGCGACATGCGACAAATATGCACGACGGGATCTCAAAAAATATGTCGGGCCGAGAAGCAAAATGTCTTAAGAAAAGCTTTCCGAATGGTGGAAATCTGTAAAATTATTAAAATACCGTATGAACAGCAAACGCATCTACCAACGAGCAAACAAAACTCACAACACCACAGCCATAGTGCCTGATCAAACCTATCATCTTCACATTCTTTTAATATTATTTTTCCGTCTCAAACAAGAATACACGTCACTTTTTCCCATCGATCCTTTCGTACCTGCCAAGCCCTTGCATGCACCGGCGTGCATTCCTTAGCTTTCCCGCATCATGATTGGTTCCTGGTGGGAATTTGGGAGTCGACGTGCAACAAAACTTTTGGAGGGGGAAAATCTAGGTTTGAGGATTGAGTGGGAGGATGGGGATTGGGTGGGTGTTGAATGTAGGTTTTTGTTTTTGACATGAATGGGATTAGTTGGGTGGGTTGGGAAAGATAGACGCGCACTAGGAAAGTTCCGTTGCGAGATTGGTAAAGGTTCTTGCGAGGCTAGAGGATTGGAAAAAGCATATAGATGGCGGACTGCGTACTGTGGAAAGTATATCTGAATCTCCTTCGAAGGTTCAGACTGTGGTACAATAATCGTCGACTGAGCAACATGACTTCGACACAACAGCAGCAGCATTAACTTCTTCATTGGGAGGAGATATCTTGCCTCAACTAAGACAGCGAGGAAGACTATGAGGCTGTGAGTGCTCTACACTGTAATTCCGTATGTGCCACTTTGACACATATCGTCTGTTGAGTAATGAGTCTTCACAAATCTCCCACTAGACGAGTCACGAATGTGATCGTACGGGTCAACCCGTGGCCAACCCGTAGGTACAACTAACTTGGCCAAGTAACAAGGCCAAACTCTTGACTCCCTTGGTTGATGCTAGAGGATATTATTATATCAACGAACTGGTCCTGGATCCAATCTTGGAAAAATTTCAACTCCGCCACAGGAAAATTACGAGAAAGGAAAAGGGGAAATTTAAGGAAATCCTTAGAAGCTCGACCATAACGTGCCACCGAGTTTGAAACAGCTACAACCTTGACAGTCCAATGCTTCGATAGTATCTGGGAGTAAAGTTTCTCATAGAGTCTCTAATAATGTCAAGATAAGCAATCAACTTCTTGACCGGATCTGAAATGTGCCATAAAACTTGAGCCGTAGTACTTCGAATAATATCTTTCGCGAAGAGTAACAATGAAAATTCACAAGCATCCAATTCTGTTTACGTTGAGTTGACTCCTTCCATTGGCCCTAGGAGGAACACGAGAGGAGTACCTAGAATGTGACAACTGCAACAAAAAGGCGGTCAGCTCCTGATGCTGACAGAGAAAAATACAACGACATGCTCGGGGGGAAGCAGAGCGAGATGAAATGAAAGAGAACCTCGGGGTGCAAGCAAACGTACAGTAATCCTCCAGAGAATGCGTATTGACCGGAATCAAAGAAGGTTGTGGCTCGAGAACCATCACTGGATCACTTGAGCCACTCCAAAGTATCCCGTGTTCTGGATATCTCTTTTTCTTGCTGTGTTGTACAGAAGAGTGGTCATGTGGGGATAATAATGGGATAGGAAACTTCATCTGACCAAGCGAGAAGAGAAATACCATCTTTATGAATAGCAAAGCAGCGTCCAAACACAAAAACGAAATTAAATACCTCATCTGTGAAACTCGGTTCCTTTCTCATGTCTCACGTTTGAGCCATCAATTCCATCGATTATTGTCGTTTTATAAAGATTTATATAAGAGATCTGAGTAATAATGTATACAAGTCAATGTTATGCATTCATCCATTTTTGTATGTAAGCATCTTGCAGATGCAAGAAATGAAATCTTGATGCTGCCGCTTTTCTTCGATCTCGTCCCAGGAACCGAGGACAAGCACGAGCCACTTCAACCCGCTTCCACCACAACTCAATCCAAGATCCGGGGCGGCTAAGTCACTAGCGCGGTATGACGGCCACCACAAAAAACTTCTGTTCCCCTCCATGAATTGCCTTCGACTGACAACGACGTCTCACCAACTCACCTTCCACAACATCTCACCTACCTGACACTTACATCCATTCTCCGTCCTTCGAAATCTTCCCCTTCTAAATATCTCCCATCTCAAGTCACCCTGGATCCGCCGACCTGGGACCTGTCTTCGAGACAAACTTGGTGCGTATTATTCTTTTCCCGGAGCAAACCCCCGTTATTCAAAAATGCCTCGTGCTTCGCCTCAACTGAATATCGACCCAACATCTACCGTGAGGCAATTAAAGAAACAGCCAGCTAATTGTCATCTGCAGATCCATTAGGATCCCCAACAAACACCTCTCGACTGCCTTTGGTCAGATCAAAGGCCCTCGATTCAACACGGCTTCCGCGGCCGCAAGCTTAGTTTCTGATCAAGATTACTCGCTACGTGCAAACAGAGACATCCTCAACACACGACCTCCTCCTCCTGCTGAAGTCCGATAAACAACTCGAGCTCCTCCTGTTCGATTTGTCCCCCAACAGCCCAATTCCGTCTCCCACTCCTCAGCTGCCGCATAAGAAGGGTTTAAAGGTTCTTCCTCTCGCAGAGGAAGAGTCGAGCCGACCTCGTCAGATCAGTTCAGGATCTGATCGATACAGACCTCCCTAATACAACCTTGAGTATACAGAGTATGTTGTACAACGAAAACGCTTCTCGCCATTCCCTCACTGACGTGGCACAGATCAATCAATTTTAATTACCCTACGCTTTCCCCCGAGGATATGTCACCTTCCGCCATCGAAACCATCGTAAACAATCCAAGTCTAGAAAGTCTTGAAACGTATTTCGAAAATTCGAAGAGATCTTATATCGATCTCAACAATGGCGTCAACATACCCAAACAATTGATTGGAAATGCTCTCAAGGAAAGAGTTCAAAGTATCGATCATGAGACCTGCGAGGCAGGCGACGAAGATACCTTCTTCGTAGCTGATCTCGGCGAGGTTTACCGGCAACACATGCGCTGGAAGACAAATTTACCCCGAGTCAAGCCGTTTTATGGTAAGCAATTCGTATCACCTTCAAAGAATATCTCTGACCTGTTGTTTCAGCGGTCAAATGTAACCCGGACCCGCAAGTTATTCGCCTTTTGGCAAAACTTGGAACTGGATTCGATTGTGCCTCCAAGGCTGAAATTGAACAAGTCTTGAAGGCTGGTGTTGAGCCTCACCGCATTATTTATGCTCAACCTTGCAAGACAAATTCTTACGTCCGCTATGCCGCCTCTCAAGGCGTCAAGCAAATGACATTCGACAATACGGACGAATTATATAAAATCAAAAAGCTTTTCCCTGGAGCTGAGCTATTCTTACGCATCTCTACCGACGATTCTTCCAGCCTGTGCCGTTTGAGTCTCAAGTTCGGAGCTGCCATGGATACTACCACCGATCTCTTGGCTCTTGCTAAAGAATTGGACCTCAATGTAGTGGGTGTCAGCTTTCACGTTGGGTCTGGAGCTTCTGATCCACTTGCATTCATGAACGCGGTTCAAGATGCTCGTACGGTTTTCGATCAAGCTGAAACTTTCGGGTTCAATTTTCACACCCTTGATGTTGGCGGTGGATTTTCCAGCGACACATTTGACGCCATGGCTGCTGTACTCAGCTCCGCTCTTGACGAGTACTTTCCGTCCAACATCAATGTGATCGGAGAACCGGGTCGGTACTACGTTGCTTGTGCATTTACACTTGCATGCCACGTCATTGCTCGTCGTACAATCGCAGATGAGCAAAGCGGGGCTCATAGCTACATGCTCTACATGAATGATGGTCTCTACGGCAATTTTTCGAGCATCATGTTTGATCATCAAAACCCCGTTGCACAGGTTCTCAAAACCGGCGAACGATTCTACTACGACACGATGGCTTCCCAGCCAACTTGTGATGGCATCGAATACTCCATCTGGGGTCCTACATGCGATGGCATCGACCGTATTGCAGAAAGCATCCGCTTCAGCCACGATCTTGATGTTGGTGATTGGCTTTACTTTGAGGAGATGGGCGCTTACACCAAGTGCTCTGCTACCCGCTTCAACGGCTTCAGCGACTCCCACGATGTTATCTACGTTGCAAGCGATCCGGGTGCCAAGGCTATGTTGGGCATGAACTAAGCACGTCTGCATAAGCAAGCAATATATATGCCGGATAAACACAAAAATGGTGGATGGATGGACGGATGGATGAAGAAAATTGACGACGGATGTTATTAAAAATGGTGACATGTGGTTGCCAATCTCTTTTGCACAATTGATGCTTAGTTATAGACGTACTTCCTTGTATACGCTCATTTAGACCTCAAAACCAGCAAGGTACAAAAACTCATAATATGAATATAAAATAATTTCATGATGATTTCTAGCTTCTGTTCTCCTGCTGTAACAATCAAAGGAATTTCTAAATGTCTTTGCGGTCTACAAAGACCAAGTGATGGTTCTTAGAACCGCTTAGTCTGATACGCTGTCTACTTATCCAGCACATGGAAGGGAGCGCTCTGATTTGAATTTCCACATGTGCAGATGATGTTTGGTAAGGAAGATGTATTCGTGAAATGTGGAGTCTTGGATATCTAAATGCTTGCTTGCTTGCTTTCTGGTCTAAATGCCACACCATACCATACCCATGCCCATATCCTAATCCTAATCCAAGTCCTGAACGCCAATCATATGTTCTCGTTATGCAGTATGTACTTCATCCTCCTCTCCCTTACCCTCTACTTCTCCCCTTCTACCCCACCCTCACCGTTGAGCCTGCTCTCCAAACTCCCCCATACACTAGTTTCAAATCCCATATCCCTCCACCGTCCCAGCACAACTCTAATCCTCTGCTTTTTATCTATATCCCCATCCACTACCTCCTGACCACTCGTCTCCGTCCTCCAACTTGCGACCTCCAGGATCCGCCGTACTACACTCTGTATACTAAGCGGTGGATCGCGTTCGATACTCGCTATGTCCTCGAGCGAGAGCGAAGGGTTCTGGGACCAGAGGAAGTAGGTGCGGAGGGTTGATAGGTTTGGTGTGGATGTGGATGAGGTGGAAGTGGACGTTGTGATGTGGGAGAGGGCTTCTGACTCTGCTGATTGTAGGAGCGTTGCGTTTGTGTCGTCTGGAGTTTCTAGGTCTGTTTGGAGGAGTGTTGCATTTGGCGAGTCGTCTTGACTTTCCAATTCTTCTGCTGGGAGAGGCGTTGAGTCTTCTTGATTTCCTTCTTTTAGAGCCGTGACTTTAGATCGGGGGGCCCTCCTTCGTACCGGTACGGGGACGAAAACTTCGGCTTGAAATGTCGTTTCAGGCTCTACATCTTTGAAGTCGAAATCACCAGACTCGTCGTAATAAGTGAGCGTTTTCTTAGTCGACTTGCGTTTGGGTGGCAAAGGTGTATCTGGTTCTTCGGGCTTGGACTCTTCGGCTTCTTCCGGGTCGTCGGTAGCGAGGGTCTCGCCTGTGGCGATTCGAATTGGGATGTTGCATTCTGCGTGATAGGGGCGAGGAGGTGTAGGATCTAGCTTCTCCCGTTTCGCTTCCATCATATTGAATAACTGAAATCCGGCGTAGGAATCTGAAGCTGCGTAGCGGATTTGTTTGATTTCTAGTATCCGGCTCCAATCACTGGATCTTACGTCGCCGCCTTTGAACAGAGGGAGATGAAGGTGTTCCTGGACTTGAGTGGCGAGTGAGACGAGTTTTTTATTGATTAATTGGTGTTCGTTCGATTCGGAGAATTTAATGAGTTTAAAAAGATGGCTCAGTTCAAAGAGGCCTTTTGCATCAATGTCCAAATTGTTTCGTATTCGTGTGCAATCGCCCTTGATTGCTACTCCCACTTTGGTAACTTCGGGGTCTTCCATCAATTTTTTCAGTGTTGGAGGTACCAGATCCTCCTTGGTATTGCCTGCAAATAAAGCAATGTGAAAAAGCGCAACTCGTTCTTCATTGGCGATTTGTACCAATGATACTTTCTGTTTCGGCCCAGCACTCTTACTGGCATTTGCTAGCCACTCAATATCAAATCCAATCACTTTCGAATCGGCAAAATGTGTTGCCAGAATCCGCTCCGTAGTATGTTTACTCTTGCAATAATGAACAGTGACTGTTTTTCCGTCTGGTTTACCCTCATCCGGAGGGCCACGATATAATGAATGCGACCAGTATGATTCCGGTGTCCCTGGCTCGGCATCTTTGGCAGCTCGAAACAATTCTTCTGGCATCTTCCATGTTTGTCCAGTCTGATCAGGAAGAGCATCCCACCTGGGATCATATGGTACCTCTACCGGATCTGGGATTTGAAAAGGTTTAGGGACCTCTTTACCTCCTTCTATATCTCGCTGAATAGCCAAATCGACCGCAGACATCCCTGATGAGGCCAACACATAACTGTCTTCCGCATTTGAATGTAACGCCATATCCCGCTCCATACTCACAGCAGCTACCGAGGTCATTCGAGCTATGCCAGGTCGGGGACTTGGTTGGAATACGATTCCATGGTTGGGATGCCATATCTTCTGCGGCTGCGGGGTACTTCGAGGTCGAGGTATCGTGGACCTATATTAAAATTTCTTATTAGTCCTGCACTCCTGCTAGACTCAGAAGATACCTACGCAGCCCTCGCCCCGTTCACCAACATCCGACCAGTCCTCATAGATTCCGTAGGTAAAGATGGGATACCTGCCACTCCTTCCGTGTTCATGGTGTTGACAATCGATCGTCGAAGGAATTTGGCCAATGTTGATGCTCCATATTGACAAAGGAGCATGACGCGAGCATACACGTTCCAAAGGATGCGAATGCGTTGCGGCGGTTACAATGAATTAGTCTAGCAAAGGCAGACGCGACAGGAGATCCAATCATTCCATCACTGTGAGGACGTCAGGGTTTTTGTGGGGCGGCCTTGGCATTGTCGAGCAAGCATTTTGTGGGAAGAACATCTACAGCGAGTCGGTCACGAGAAGTAGATCTTCATGAGAACTATTACCTGTCGATACATTCAATACTCGCGATTCTCGAGTCAAGAAGAAGTGAGTATAATACTTCTCAGCTTTCAACGCCACTCCTTACGATATTGCACGCATCTTCCTCATTTTTCCCTGTGCACCAAGGACCCAACTAGCTTGGAAGCCCAGCAGCTCTAGGAATAATGCTTCTAGCATATATGTGGATGCTTTCATATGTGTTTTGTTATAGTTGCGTTATGGTTTGCTAACCAAGCTCGAAATCTAGATAGGTCACAATCATGGCATCTCAGCTACTTCCTCTCGGTACGTTATACCCTCTCTTTGGTAGCTTCTGGTCCTAACTATCCATACAGAGCTAATCGACAAATGTGTCGGATCAAAGATCTGGGTCGTAATGAAGGGCGAGAAGGGTAGGCACTTATGTTTTACCCTCGGAACATCATCTTACAATATATAGAATTCAGCGGCACTCTGATGGGTTTCGATGACTATGTCAGTAAGTACAGATCATTCACTTGCCAACTATCCTCTCGTACTAACAACTCAATAGACATGGTTCTTGAAGATGTAACAGAATTGTAAGATACGCTCAGAACCGATTTTGTTAATTACGACACTCATGAACTTTTTAGCGACTACTCTGGAAACCACACGAAGCTCAAGAAGATTCTCCTAAACGGAAACAATATTTGCATGGTATCTCAACTTTTACATTTCTATATTACGGAGCTAATTTATTTGCAGTTAATACCCGGTGGTGATGGTCCAACAGCTGTTACATCCTGATCAGGGTGTTCGGGCCTTTGATGTGATCAGGGATCGTTTACTCAACGAAATCATGACAAATCTGCAATAAGTATTTGACAATAAACGTTTCATAGGCAAACAAATAAATCCAGTGGACCAAGACCATTTTTTAAGGCAGACTCCAAAACTCCCTCAGCCTATATCCTACTCCATACCCAGAAAAAACTCAATGACCAAACCCAAAGTCAAAAACACAGTCAAAACAACCAAAACTGCGAGACACAAATTTACCCATCTCCCAATCGTCGCAAAAACCACATACCCAGCCGCCCATCCAGACAACCCCTCATGCTCTTCCGGTTCAGCAAGTTCTCCCGCAACTGATCTCGCATAGACTTCTTGCACCCACTCTTCCACGCGCTGGTTTGTTCTCCCTCTGACTTATTCAGCATCACCAATCATGCGTTGCCGCCGCCAGTTGGAGGCTGTGAACCATGTGTAGTCGCTACTGCTTGGTGTGTTCATTTTGTTGTTGCCATCTGGTGAGAGGGGATTTCTGTTGCGGTGGTTTGGGCTGAGGGGGTCGTAGTGCCACATTTTGAAGGTGATTTTTGAATGTAATCCTTGGAAATGAGAGTGTAGTGACATTTTGGGAAGGGAAGGTAGGCTTTTTGATGTTCTGTGCTGGGAAGAGTGTCCTGGTCATTATTGCTGTTTTGTGATTTTCTATGTGCTGTTCTTGTCTTCTGTTGTCCAAACCGCCTTGTTCTAATCTTCTACCTCATTCCGTCTCTCTCTTGATTTTGCTTTGCAGATTATCATTTTTTATTCCATTGCCAACCCTTAGTTATTCCCAAAAGATGCTCTTGGTTTGGGCCATTTGCTTGCACCCACGACGATGAACGTGATCTGCACCAGCTTCGATACAAATAAGGAAAACAGGCTGACCCATTGGTAAGTAAAGGTGTCTTTAGTTTTGTCCAAGGTCAGGAGCTGGGTGGCAAATGCGGTGATAACCACAATAACCCATGATACCCATGCCACCCCCCACCACCCACATACAGCCCATAGTTTAGTTACCCAAGGACAATTTTCAAGCAACATCCTAGTAATTGCAGCCCAGATCACTTCGAGCACAGTCGGGGTGACTTGGGCTTCTGGCGGTTGGTAAGTCTGAATTGCTGCTTGAGTGTCATCGCTACCGTCGTTCGGGTGACCACCTGCTATTTGACGGCCATGGTGTGGTCCTGGGTCACCATCTACATTGCTGATAGTTGCTGCGTCAACTATGGTTTCCGCACCATCCACAGATTCTCCTTCTCTAAGTGTGGTTGGCCCTGAGCGAGTTTCAGGACCCCCCGAAATTGCTTGTCCATCCTGCCTTTGATTTCCATCTGATCGTCCTGCATCCGTCAAAAGTGAGGTCCTCTCATCTAGAAGGCTCATGTTTGGTTTCTTGGGTATCAGTTGTTGAATTTGTATCGCGAGTTTGTCGAGCAGTCTCTATTTGAGTTCTATTTTCTATAACCCGGGAATTATTCTAGCCATATAAATAAAACTCCCACTTCTCTTCAGCTAACTTACTTAGCTTTTCCTTTCACAGCCTTACTAAGAGACATGTCAAACTTTCTGCGCATTCCTTGGGCATTTCAAAGACCAAATCTTGGTGACACAGTTGCTCTTTTTGACTTGTTTCTTTTTTTCCTCTTTTTCTCTTTCGCAAAGGCACAACATATTCCAATCCAAAACATCTCAGATTACTCAAACAAGCTTCAAAGCAAAAATGTGCGACTTCTATGCAGGTAGCCTTCTAGTTGAGACAAACATACATAGAACAAAGGCCAGCTTACCTTAAAAAAAGCTGAGGAATCACATAATCTCTTACCATCAAGAATGCTTTATTTGAAAATTTCTCCTTTATTCCTCTAAGTGAAGTGTAGATGTAGGTCCTAGCGGCTTGATGGTCACAGTGTTTCGCTGTCAAATTTTCAGACAAAGAGTAATTCAGTAGAACGTTTCGCATTGCTTGTTGATAGTTATGCTAAGAAAAGCGGATTGTTATTCAGTGGATTGATTTTAATGGAATTTTTGTTTTTTGTGCATTTGCTCTCTAAATTTCATTTTCGTCATTCTGTCCAAGTTTCATACCAAGACTCTACCACCACTTATCACAAAAGCCGTACTGTTATCCCGCACGGAGCTGCTTGTGATTTTAGGGTCGATAGAAGAGTAGAATGTCTGTATCATAGTCATCAACCTGGCGAGGCAGATCATCTTTGAACCGCCCTTGTTAACGCTTATTACCCTCTCCGAATGGCACCATTTCTCCGCTGCTATTTAGCCTCGTTTCCTGCTTTTCCGTCTTTTCCTGTGTCTTTTTCTCTGTCTTTTCCTTTTCCTCGATACATCTCCCTTGCCGTCCTTTGGTTCTCCGTCCAAATCCTTCTCTTTTCTCGGCAGAGTGTCCAGAACAGGGTAGACGTCTAAGAAAGCTTGAGAAAGCATGGCGATGAAACCCTTCCATGGTTCATTTAGAGGAAGGACTTTGGTGAGACAAGTTGTTATTCGAAGTCCGATCCATATTTGGTTTCTTTTGGTAGAATCCTTAATTTCTTGCCACTTGATATATCCTGTGAAGAAGCAAACTGCGAGAATCAATAGAAATCCTATCCAGACTTCGATTTTTGATGAGAAAATTCCTTCCATTTTATCTCTTGTTGATGGATCAGATTGCAATTTCCCTTTCATTCAGCCGCACTGTGTTGGTTCTCAGGTTGAAGTAATGATATCTTTCAGTGGCTGAAGGGTAGATTGTACTTTCCCACGGAAGGGAACCTCATCTCTCATATACACAATTACCTTTTGACGGCTCTTCTATTCCTACACAAACTTGACATTATCAAATAGCTTCAAAAGAAAGTGGTACGAGAACCAAACCACCACTTTCAAAGATCAACCAAGACAGGATCGTCATGCATTGTAGTCTACCGTCAAAGATCGATCGACATCACACCTCATCCTCTAGACAACTTAGGTCCAGTGTTGAATTGTTTTGAAAATAAAGTACAGCAACACATGTGATGTGGTAAAATTTCCTAATATGCAAGTTTCCGAGGTAGAAGAAACCACTCTTTAATAACAACAAGTGTTTAATTTGGCACAACAAATCCTTTGCAAGTTATTTTATTGATTGGAGTCAACGGCTGCAAGTACCCAAGATCACTTCAGCTACTTCTGCAGGCTTTAGCAGTCTAATTACTTGGTTGAAAATTATCAAAGAAGTTGCAAGTTTAGACCACAATCGCGAAAGATATTTATTAATACAATAGCCCAACAAGGCCACCTTGACTCCAGATTTAATCCCCGGGATAATCAAACTCCTCTACTTAAAAGCTAGTCAACCAATATCTTTCGAATCCAGAAAGTTCCTCAGGTTCGTGCTACTTTGACCCATCTTTCTTTGAAACGGCCCAAACAAATAACGCCAACCGAAGAAGCTCTGATACAACTTTGAAAACAATGTTTGCAAGTTCCCAACCGTACAGCAGTTCTTTTGAACTTGTTATTAAGACACCTTCGCAAAAGTATGATGCTAATATTGGGACTGCACAAACAATAAAACACAACCAGTGGTTGTTGTAAAATGTTTTTTTCCAGATATCTTTGCTTGGTCGTCCTGTAGAAGGCTCTTCTGAAACGCTTTCTCCGCTGCTACGTGGATTATTATCTATTGGCATCCGTTAGTTTAATTTGTGGACGCAATATCCTCTTGAGAAGCCTGATGGGTTTAAGCAAGTATTAAATAGCTTTTCGACATACCTATTAAAGGTCCAATTTCAGATTGTGCGATTGATCCTGGCGAAGATGCTCGAGACTGTGCCTCTAAGTCCTGTCTTGACTGCATCTTTGTGAGGAATGTGTGGAGATATGAAAAGAATCTGTTCATGGTGGCTTGAAGTGCAACTAATGTGGTTGGAAAGTTTTGATCTATCGGAATTGGTGGGCAAGCTTTGCTGAATGATTGATCTGCTACAATTGCCGATACCATCCTACCTATATAGCAATCGAATAGCTTTGTGTTTCCAACTTCCACACTTTTCCAACTCGGTTTCAACATTTCAGCTCTTGACAAATATACACCGTTCTGCAACAGGTGTACCTTTTATTCATTTGGTACAAGTTTTGGACTGAGGCAGTGCTTTTGGGGATAAAAACAGCAATTGCTTCGCGATTTTCATACTATGTCACGTCGACTGAGACAAAACTACCACATACAGTGCCACCTCGAAACCAACCTTTGTGCGTCCAAAATATGAATTGTTTTCTAGTTTCAGGTCAATTCTCCATAACATCTTACTATATGGAAGCGTTCACGATTTTCTTTGTCCATCTCGCGCATCGACATTTTTGTGACGCTCCTTGCTCATGAACTTTCAACACAGAAGCCACTGGTGGGTAGGTGCGTAGAATGAGATACTCTACAAAAGATGAAATGGTTTCAAGAACCACATTATAGAAACAACTCTTTAAGCCAGTATTAGCTTATGGACTCACCGCAGCAGAACGCAAGTCTCAGTCTAATAGCTTGTGGTTTCTCATGTCTTAAAAGTACCTCCAAATGTCCCTAAAGATACATGTGCAGTCCAGCATGTGTTTTGTTGGCGAAGAAGGTCTTATGTCGCACCTTCTAGATTTCCATCCAGCTTGATACAATAGACATATTTCTTGCCATTGCTTTCTTCCAAGACTCGAACCCTCACTCGGTCCTTCGCCTAAGACTTCTTACTCTTGAACATGCTCAAATCCAAAGGCAGTCTATCACCCATCCACGTCGCTCTTTGAGTATGATCTCTTTCTTCCTCTTCATGCTTCCCCGTTTCCGGATTGATCGTGTTGGGATGAATGAGTGCACTTAGTGGACCTCTGTTGATTACCAACCAAGGTATGAAAGCACCGAATTGGGCTGGCGTGAAGAGGTTTACTTCGAACATTGCTACTGGACTGGAGATTGGTTAGAGAACGATGGTGTCAAGCATGATTTTACGAGTTTGTGTGGATTCCTGGTGCTGGATTTGGTAGTGAGGGTATCATTTGCACTAAATGTTGGTACAGAAACTGTACTTACTGTGGACCAATTGGTCGATCCCAGAACGTATAGATTCTCAATTCAGGGACTGAATTCAATCAGCACTCTATTTTTAGTGATATCCGGAGTCGGGCTTACATTCTCTCCGGATTCGCTCCCACAATTCTTTCGCGAACTTCTTCTGGGATTCATTGGCTTGGAAGTAGTATATGTGAACATCACTATTCAAATGCCACTTAGTTTCGTAAGATGTCATTTATTGCCAACAGCAAACCCATGACTTTGACATAGGAGAAAAGAGGCACCGTTCCTTCATGGTGATAATCATTTCTGGCAGACTGAATATTGCCATGGCGAATTCAAAAGTCAATGTGGTCGACACTTGGGTCTGTAGGATACAGAATTTGCCTAGACGGCGCTTAAAGCAGAAGTGTTTGTCATCCGCATGACGATAAGAGAAGACTTACAAGGCTCCCCGGATGCCGTTATCCAGTGGCTCACAAAACCTTTCATAGCTCTTGCTCAAGATACCAGTCTGAGGATTCAAAATTGCCTTGCCATCTGCAGCTTTCTCGTTGGATAGTGGGGGGGCATTTTCGTATCCCACCAATGGCGAAGGGTAGTCGTACGCGGATGGGTCGGCCATGTTAACCCCTATCGGGCCCTCTTAGGAGAGGGGTTCTTCAGAGCGGCAAGTAGAAGACTCTGAGATATTTAGCAAGGTTGCGGTGACGATTTGGGCTGAAAAGAGGATGTGCCGCATTGGATTTGGCAGTTTGGAGCGAGGGGTGGGAGGTATAATGATGATGACTGCGGGGTGGTTGGTACGGAGTAGGGAGGAAAGAAGGCCGACCAAGTGGCCGGTAGGCACCAGCTTGCCAGCCTTGGATTGCGGCTGACTCAATTGTTGGTAAATAGAAGTGTTGGTTCCAACATTGACGAACTGTAACTTACGTGGAAAAGTCAAATGAATGTTGGTTTTTGGAAAGAGGATGATGAGCTGGAAGAAGCTCATTGTAACATGAAAAACCCTCGTTTACTCACTTGGCGCTAGATCAACGCCGTAGCCACATGTGGCTCAGCTTCTCGAAGGATTTGTCCCGTCGTAATTGCTCTGAGCTGTGGCTTGACATCACTGTCGCTTATGACAGGGTCAAAATGCATCTATACAGATTGGTGAACGGGATGCCCGAACAACGTGCTCTAAAAAACAGAAACTGGTCCTTCAGAAAATGTAAGGGGTAGTTTGTCGTCGGCGTAAAGTTAATCTCTGCAATCAACGTAAATGAACGGAACTTTGATAGACTCCAGAAAACTTCGTGTGATTCTGAGATATCTTGAAAACCATCCCGCTTACGTGAAGCTCCATGTGGTCATCCAAAGTGAAGGTAAAAAGCTGCCCGCAACTATCCGGATTCACTTTATTGAGATAGCACAAACGTATGGTGTTTTTGGAAGAAGGAGTCGATTTCTAAGAGCAAAAGGTTCTCTCAACTTAGCACTAGTCAAAGTAGACTAAATGCATCATCTTATAACGAAAAAAACAACTTTTTCCAAAGAATGAGTATTGGGACGCAATGATGACTGTGTTTAATTTAAATCATACGTCATTATTACCTTACTATCCGGAAGCTTTGCCAATTTTCAAGTCGAGAAGCTTGGTAATCTAGTCTAATTGCGATTAGGAAAGTCTTATCAAATTGTGTTATGAAAGAGATCCGTGCGAGACTCCTAAGTCGTCTCACATCTGAGACCAGGTACACTGTTCCCTGTTAAATAGAATTCAATGCGCGGCTGTCAGGTATGGTAAGCTCCATTCGGTACCTTACTATCGGTAAAGATCGTTCTATAAGTGAATCTTAGGATTTAGCGAGAAACTTGTTTAGTTCCATACATTGCGGTTTTAGGAGGACAGTATTGGGAGTCTTCAGGATACGATCAAACCTCGCATCTGGCTCACCCTCGTGCATGTCAGTCTTCTGGGGAATGTTTCATTCTAAAGTTAATATATTCAACGTACAATGGACTTCGGGAAATAGCCAATGCCGGAAGTTGTCCAATTAATGAATTCCTCGAGACTCACCGTCTTAACACAGCCACACGTTCGAAGACGATACTTTGAAATGTGTCGGTGAGTGGCTGGTGGTGACACAGAAACTCGAAGTGAGAGAGTGACTTCGTGGACCTGCAGTCTGTGGCTAGTGGAAATCGAAGTTCTGCATAGAACCCTTTTGGTTAATAACCCTGGTTCACATAACATGGCTTGCACTAGCAATGTGGCCCGGAACTGGTGTCAAGGTGAGTCGCTGAGGGCTGTCAGCTTCGTGGGGTCCGTAAGTATGGTAGCGCACCCCGCGAGCATTATGTGGCTACGAGATTCCAAAGAGTGTTGTACAAGCTCTGCAAGATCCATAAAAACTGAGCAATGGTTGTGCTCGGTTTGAACCCTTGAACGGCCCTGGCTGTTGAAAGGCGTATAAGCTTATTGTTAAGTCATTCTCATCGCTGGCTGCTAGAAAGTCGCAACTGGACGCTTTTATTTCCAAATTTTCATCTTGCTCCCGTGAGAAGAAGTATCAAGAAAATTTGCACCATCTATGGCACAAATCATTCTGGAAGAACCTCAGAACATACAAGTCATTAAAATCTAATGGTACTCTTACATGTTCGCTGTCGTCAAGTAGGTTCGTCAAGTAGGTTCGGAAGTTCTTCATTGGATTTTTCATGTCAGACAAGCAGCACTATGGTGTTGGTTGGTCGCGTCGTTTGCTCAAGCGAATGAATCGAGTTCCGCCGATACCGACAGTCGATGAATTAAAGCCACCGCGATTTCGAGCTACTTGCTCAGATCCGAAATGCGGAGAAGGGGCACGACATGATCAGCCCTACATCCCATGCAATTTCTGTTCTTCCATAGAGTTGCGCTGTAATGGGGCTGAGAAGCGTCGCACATCCGTTGGGTCGAGAAAAGGGACGAGTGAGATTTCTCCACAAAAGTAGCGAGTTTTCCGTCTTCTATTCTTTCCAGATGACAGGGAACCAATCATAAAGCAGAGCTATAGATCATGTCTCGAAAAGGTACTCGGTATACAAGAGCTAGAGATTGCAGCTCTGACCATACGTAACTGCTGTCAGATTTTGAAATGAGGAGTATCTCTTCTCTTCAGAACCGCATTTGGTACACCTACATTGGTGACTTGCATTAAAAGATTTCGTAATGTGAGAACACGCAAGAAAACGCTTGTCGCGATGTGGAAACTTGAACGATGAACGAGATACGGCCTTTCTCTCGCATCTAGCCGCAACAAGAGACATCCCGATGGGGAGATCGATAAACACACAGGACGCCAAATTGTCCCCGTGTAGTGGATAGTTGGCAAATAGTGATATAGATATCTCGTGCACGTTGCTCCTTGGTCTTTTCTTCTGCGGCCACTTAGCAGTTTCCAGGGATGGAATTGTCATTCGACAAAAGAAGTGAATTTGGTCATACAAATGGAGTGCCGTGAAAGTTGACGGTGAAACTTGAAGAGAGCATACCATCCTTGAGAATATTGTTTCAATAAAATGATCAAGAATGCCTCATGATATCCTGACAAGACCAGACTCCTTCATGCCGCCATGATCATACGCCACGACAGAAGGCTGATACGGCGATACCCTGCTCAAATGGATGGTTGATAGAGATAGAGAAAGAAGGTGGAAAGGTCTCCAATATGGCCGCAGGTTCAAGATATGTACGAACAGCATAAACCAGAGGACGCAGCTGAATGCAACCAACTCCCTGTCCTGTCTCGCTTCCCTTTAAGCGCCGGATGTGTGAAGGTCCAACAGAGCTGTACGAGCTGTAGCTGGTTGTGGATCACGCACGTGATCTCGCTAAATGGGGAGGTACTAGTGGTTGTCGTAACGTCGGCCAATGACCTCGAGCCTCATCTGCTTTGAACCTGTGTGCCAACCTCACCCGTCTCGTCTCGCTAGCACCTACTCGAGTAGTGCTTCACTTGAAGGTATAGACGTGATGGAACAGCTAAGTATTGCGACCGAGTATGAAGCCGCTCTTCTTGCTGCAGTCATTTCCATTCCAAGGCGACCATCGGTATCCATCTTGGACAACCGAACATAAGATCACCCTCGAGTGAAGACACTCTAATCTGCAGGTTTGGTAAGCACTGCTCACCTCGCACTTCGTCAGGATTCTTTTGGGGTCCAATTCGAAGAAGTGAACCTTTAACCGTTCTAGAACGTTAACGCCCATGTTACATCCACGAGTCCTCGTTTCTGCACGAGACAGGTAGGGCTGACGGTTACATTTTGCCCTTGCTCCACCACAGCAAGACCGCTCTTTAGGGAGTGTCTCTCTCTGATGGAGCTAATGAATTAAACCATGTTGCTATGATGGTGCATATGAACGGAGGTGTTCCTCAGCCACCGGCTCTTTGCCACCCTTCGCAATCGCTTGTATACCGGTAAGTATGCAATCCTATCGCCTATCGAGCTCGCAGCGCTTCTTGGTATCATTACGAGTATGTGCGGGATGAAGCAGGTACAGATCCATTTCGCTCCGCCATACGTAATTCAAGCAATCGGAGACATACTGAGGTTGCTTCCTACTTTGAGGCTTAACGAGAGATCCCAGCTGTTGCACTCTTTGCAAGCTTAATCGAGTCGTTGCAGCTTGTGGGCACATGGCTTTTCCTGTAGGGCTCTCTTTCTTGTCGGTGCCACCGGCCGGAGAATAGAATCCATGCACTCACTATGCCCCGTAGTCACTCTCTAATTCTTCTAGGATTATCCAACATAACTTCAAGCATATATGGAATATAGATTCCTCAGAATTCTGGAGCTCTATATCAATCAATTAACATCGCGTCTCAAAGTTCTACTCACCAAACGTTCCACCCGAGTAGATTGGATTACCACTATTGGAGGAAATCGCAACACTTTAGCCATCCACCTCGGTTCTTGACAAATATTCCGCATCTTGATGCGATCGGTCCCCCTAGGTCTCTCTGTCTTCAGCCACCTCCCCAAAATGGACAACGTTGACCCAACGAAACCTTCGTTGCTTTCTCCGAACTCACAGACCCCTACTGAGTTGTATCGAAAACCTTCAGTCGAACGAGATGGCAAGACTGGAAAGAGGGGACGTGCAAGCAAACCCAAGGTCAAATCCGGTTGTATCACTTGCAAAGTAAGTCTTCTCAGTTGTTTCGAAAGAGCTTGTACCATCAGAGTACTAATCTAAACCCAAGACTCGAAGGGTAAAGTGCGACGAAACCAAGCCACAGTGTATAAGATGCCAGAAGTTTGGCCGCGTTTGCGATGGCTACCTACCCGAGCAACCCCCAGCGCGAGGATTTAGCAACATTCGACCTCGAACGCCGTCGGCAGGTTTGTACAATCCAAGTGTTTCGGCCCACGATACAGAGGATGAGAGTCGCTATTTCCGAGTGTTCTCGGAGAGAACTGTTTTTGCACTGTCTGGTTTATTTGAAGGCACACCCAGTAGTCACTTTTGGACGCAGCTTGTTCTACAAGAGAGCCACAACCTCAAAGCCATCAGACATGCAGTGATGGCTCTTGGGGCACTCACTAAAAGTCTAGAAAATGCACCACAACCTAGCCTCAAGGTCAACATTATCCAGTCTCTCGATCAAAAACACCGCGAGCAGGCGGTTCTCCAGCATCTCAAGGCAATTCAAGCTCTCAATCTCTATATTTCGTCATCCACAGCACCGCAGTTGAGGAACGCACTCCTGACGTGCCTGCTTATTATATGTTTCGAGGTTTTCCAAGGCGGGTTTTTGTCTACTGTTCAACAAACTGAAAGTGGTATTAGTATGCTTCGAAGCTACTATAGTGGGCAAGGTGGCTCTCGGACTTTACTTCCTCGATACAATTCGCCAGACGCAAGGGGGGAAACTTCCAAAGCTGGTCCAAGTCTTCAACCACAATTGGACAGCATGACCTTGGCCAATCCATCTATGCTATTATACGGCAGAGAATTCTTAGAACCTGCGAACATGCAGAGACTTGAAATTGGTGTACAGGCACCTTCGCCCGAACACAGCATGTACGGGGAGACGTCGTATTCAGATTTTAGCACAGACATCGAAACTACTCGCATTTTCTCAACGCAGAATTATTTGAACGCTCTACCCAGCAACACCACGACTGCACACTGGCAAGCGGGGTCGCACTTGTCATCTGCCAACAGAGCTACAGAGCCTATGAGAAGTCGCTCTGCTTCCATTGCCTCGTCATCTGTGACCGGGAGTGGTCCTCCGTCGAGATCTGGGTCAATCAATCAATCATCTGTTCCAACGCCCAATCCTCAGCGACCACTATCTACCTTTTCTGGAGCGCCAAGCCCGTCTCTATTACAAAGTGATATGTAAGTGCATATTCTGTTCAGTGTTGAAGCTAGTGCGGCGTACCCGATTACTCTACTCTCAAATCTGCATAACAATTCGGAGTTAAATCGTTTCTGTATTCCAGCACTGACGCTATCTTAGGAAGATCGAAGACGTTCTCATTCAGGCGTTTATCCGACTTGATAGCCAATGTCTCACATGTGGGATACCGCCGTCAAAGCCTCCGATACAATGGGACATCAAAAAGATTCACCACATAGCAATCCCAAATGTCTTCTCGAATTTTTATATGGCTCATCGTAAGTTCAAATTTCCTCTCTCTCTCTGCAAGTATTTCGGTGCGGAACTTCTCCACAACAACAAGCATGAAATACTTGTAGTATTACCGAGAACAAGAAATTACTCCAGAGGCATATTTCAATTTTTTTATACCTCAAAATCTCCTTGTTGTGACTAGGCTAATGCTAACTGCTTTATATAGGATGTTGGGATTTTCTTTTTGACCGTATAGTGCGGTTCCGTCACCAAACACTCTACAGCAGACTATACGCCCCAGAGACGAGCGATTCCCCAACAAACATTGCGACCGAGGTAGAGTTCTATCGCAACCAGCTCATGGCTTTCCACAACGCCTTCCGCCCGATTCTTGACGAGTCTATACAAAATGATGGCACTATTATTAATCCCGCAGCCATATTGGTCTCTTTGTATCAGCGTTATACCGCAATACTGCTCTCTGTTATCTTAGAGGGTTCCGAAATGGTCTACGATAATCACCTCTCCGATTTCCAATATATCGTTAATACATGTCGACTGCTTGCAGAATCTATCGTATCGACGCAACTTCCACGTATGCCGCGCTTCAGTCTCGACACTGGAATCGTACTTCCTCTCTCGCTTGTTGCTAACAGATGTCGAGATCGAACTCTCAGACGGGAGGCTATCGATTTACTGTTTGCCAATCCAAGGCAGGAAGGGATGTGGGATTCAATTTTAGTTGCCCGCGTAGGAAGTTGGATTTCATCGTGGGAAGAAGAGGGGCTGCCTGTTTTACTTGACACGTCCAGCCACTCTGATATGTCTGGGTTGTCTTCAAACTTGCATTCGAACTATGCACATTCGATGCATGAAAATTCTCAGTCGTGGAATTTTAACAGCCATACGCCGGAACTGGTCGATTCAATGACTGACAGAATGACAATGATGGGTGTAGATCCGTTCGCTACCACGAACACCGGTGGACTGTTCGACGATATGATGTATGCACCAGACAACATGCATACTCAACGCCACCCAACAGGAAGAGGCCTCATTCCTGGTGCTGGCGATGGGTTCTCCGTGCCCGAGGAAAACAGGGTCCAGCTTTCACACATGGAGTTTCACATCAACGACCGATACGCTCTGATGAGAGCTCGAAAGGTGATTTCGAGTGCCGATGGGACCCATGAAGAGAGGGAGACTATCCTTAGATGGTAGGTACAATCGAATTTTAGAATGGGTTTCATAGGAGTGATTCACGATATCGTGTTTTCTTGGGGGTACCTATACACTTAATTAGGAGAGGATGTGTTAATTACAGGAGCTGGCTTGATTCTTCGATGACTTCGTTTCTGCTGGACAAAATCGAATGTTATTCTAGCTCTTTGAGTTTGCTCTGCGCATTCTTGGGTTCGTTCAGCGAAACTCAAGATATTATGCAAATGGCTCTCTGCGACATATCATTGCCGCATTTATTTGGTGTACTTTATACTGCGTTCACTCCACTAGACTAGACTATAATAAATTGAAAACAGATTCATTTTTCTCTGAATAGTGTATTACACATTACTTGCTTGAAGTTTTGAGGGTACCAAGAAAACTCAACTTCAGTATCAAATATTTTCAATCAAATTATCAACAGCTGCGATCATTTATTACCAAGGAGCTTCGAAGGAGACCGGTCACATGACCAGCTTATCGTATCCATGGATGGCATCGGCGAAATGTTTTAGCGAAAAGCTGAAAGTACGACGGAACGTAATTTGGGCTTCGATTTGCGCTCACCCAAACGCCAACTTTGGAGGGGCCGATAAAACCTCATATTCACCATATAACGAACTTTCTCGCATTCGAGACTTCTCATTCAAGAAGCACATCTTTCATTCTAAGACTTCCGACATCTTCCAAAGATCCTCCCACAGACCTCCAACCTTGAGGCGCAAACTCCCACCTACCCCTCCGCGTGTATCAGCGTTGATTGCAGACCATCCACGTGTTTGCACACTGCCCCTCCAGCATAACAACCACCAACAAACAAACATTCGAGCCAAATTCAACATCTTCCAATCTCAAGGCTGAGACATCTGGCTGCACCCTGCGTTGGAGACAGAGCCTCACCCCGCACCGCGTTGTCAACAAACCACAGATAGAGACATCCCGAGTCGATAGCAACCACGATCCCGCGAGAAGCCAAATAACTTGCGCACATCTGCTTAGGATATTTCACCAGCTACTACTTCAGCTAAGAAGGGACTCAGTGCAGCTGGAAGGGCTGCGCACAGTGGCTGGGAAAGTTGAGGTGTTGAGCGCTCTGCTACTAGTTACCAAGTTATCCAAGGATGTCTTCCTCGTCCGGTACCCCAGAGTCATGGATCTCATCTTTCTGTTCGCTGCTGGGTCATGAATATTTTGCGGAAATATCGGAGGACTTTATAGAAGATGATTTCAATTTAACGGGGCTGCAGACCCAGGTTGCAATGTACAAAGAGGCTTTAGAGGTAATTACCCATATTCTCGGCTCTGACGCTTGCGCTGATTCCCAAAAAGATGATTTTAGATGTTGAGCCAGAAGATGACGAAGATGAAGATGATGAAGAGGAGGAGGACGAAGGTGACGATTCTATCGAGGGGGAGGAGCGCTCGAATCGAAGAGCAGCAGCAGAACGAAGACATCATCGCATGGCATCTGATCTATCAATCATTGAATCTTCCGCCGAAATGCTCTACGGCCTTATCCACCAGCGCTTCATCTGCTCTCGCGCGGGAATACAGCAGATGTACGAAAAATATGAAATGGGACATTTCGGGACGTGCCCGCGGACTTTCTGCGAAGGCGTTCGCACATTACCTGTTGGACTATCTGATGTGCCAGGCGAAGACACCGTAAAACTATTTTGTCCTTCCTGTCTCGACGTCTACGTGCCACCGAACTCGAGATTTCAAACAGTGGACGGCGCCTTCTTTGGTCGAACCTTTGGTGCCCTATTCCTCCTTACATTTCCAGATTACGATATCAGTAAAAGGGGGGCGGACACACTGGGCGGATCTCACAGTCGAGGAGGGGCTTCAAATGCTAGTGATGGTGAAGATAAGGAGAAGATAAATGGCATGAACGTCCAAAATCTAGGACCAGGGCTTGGCAGAGGGAAAGTATACGAACCGAAAATCTTCGGATTCAAAGTATCGGAAAGGGCAAGAAGTGGACCGAGAATGACATGGTTAAGGAACCGCCCACTTGAGATCAGAGAGCTGGACGAGGCGGCTATGTATGGCACAGCGGAAGAGAGCGAAGACGACCTCGAAGGTAACGGAGTACGCACACAGCCAAGGCAGACTCTTGGAAGCGGTCGGAAAGTACGGAGGACGAACGGAGGTAGCCCTATGTCAATTGTCGAAGCCAACGTAGAATTTGGGCCCGGGCCATAACGCAACGGCTCATAAAAAGGATATTGTTTGTCATTGCGGGGCGTTCGGAGCGCGCTTTCCCAGGGGTGGGATATTCTGAAGATAGAAGGCCATTTGATTTCGTAGGAAGTGGGTGACGGGAGAGAGTGCGAAGCGTCGTGATCGGAATAATGATGTGAGGTTGGATGGGGGTTGGGTGAGGGAGTAGTAAAAATGTCTATGTTGTGATCAGTTTTACTGATGAATGATACCATTACACTTCTCAGGCTTCTGCCAACTTTGACTTGTATAAGAGGTATACTTATGAAGCTATTCCCAGGTAGATTGTCTCACTATTTGTGGCCGCTAGCTTGGCATCCTGATCTTCCCGTACCAACTTTGAGAAATTGAGGAGTCGCCATCTATCGCCAAATAGACCTCGATCCTACCTAAAATCCACAATGCAAACACCACTGCCATCACATTTGCCTCGACACACTCAAAATCCTTCCGCGTCAAACCCGGTCTACGCCTCATCTGCCTAGGTATGAGTCTACCTAGGTACCTAGATTAGGAGGCAGTCTGCAACACAACGCACATGCACAGCAGAACACAAGCGACCTAAGGATACTCAAGGGAAGGGGATTTTGAGTTGTTTGACGTGAGCACTTCATACGGAGACTTACACTTTTGCACCTACGAAAGGATGGAACGCTTAACAATATCGACTTTTTCTTTGATCATCTCAACCTCTGCTCTGCCAACAATGAGGTGATAGATGGGAGTGATGACCTGCGCTCAAAGACCATCACGCATCTGCCTCTACTGGTCAAAAGCTTCCACTGGCAACCCTCAAAGCAAACTGAAAACCCCCTTCGCCCTCACGCCCCCCAGACTAAACCCAACACTAACTCCAAATTCTCCCTCGGGAATCCTCCACGTTTGCGCGTTTACATCCCAAAAACTCACATCCCTCCGCTGCAACTCAAAATACATCCGCGCCGACGTCCCCGGCTCAAGAAACATCTTCTCAAACCCCCTCAGCACCCGTCTCGGCGTCCCTTCCGGTGTCGAGGTTTGCGGGAAAGAGAGGTAGAGTTGCACGACTTGTGCGCCAGCGAGGGAGCCGGTGTTTGTAAGTGTGGTGGTGAGGCAGAGGAGGGGCGTGTAGAGGTCTGGGTTTCCGCCTGGCTCGACTTTGCGGGTTGCGTCTGGGGTGGGGGAGAGTGCTGAGGCGTCTGTGAGGTTGGTGGGGGTTAACGTGGTTAGGTTGAAGGTGGTGTAGCTTAGTCCGTGGCCGAATTCGTAGAGGGGGGTTAGGTTGTGGGCGTCGAAATGGCGGTAGTCGATGAAGAGGCCCTCGTTAAAATCGATTTGCCAGCCGTTTGGATCGGTGTTGTTGGTGAGGTTTGTAATTGGGATGTTACAGTCATCTGCATGTTCGGGGATTGTGTAAGGAAGCTTTCCTGAGGGATTGATGTCGCCATATAGGATGTCAACGATCGAATTTCCGCTTTGTTCACCGGGATAGTGCGCCGCGAGGATAGCTGTGACATTTGGGTTTTTGGCCCAAGGCATGGTGTTGATACCACCTGAATGAGAGACGACCACTGTATTAGGACAGCGCTTTGCGACGTTGTTTACAACAAGGGTGGAATTGTGATCATGCTCAAAATCAACTCTATCAGAGCCTTCTGAAGCGTACGTCTTAATAAACACGATACAAACATCTGGAGACGGGAATATGCTATGGAAATCGCCTCGCGCAATAAGGTCATTGCTGAGGATATACTGGACTCTTGCACCGGTTTGATGTGCGCGAGCCTTGATTGCTTCCAACGGCGAGACAATGTATGTAAACCGAGCAGATCCCGAACCGCCACCAGTTGCAAGCGTGCCTTGAATGAACTCTGTTCCGTCAACATAGGTGAGACCATCAGTGAAGTCTCCAGCATCGTTTCCAAAGACAGCTATGTTCTTCGGGGATTTGAGCGGCAATGCGTTGTTCGTGTTCTTCAAAAGAACCGTGCCATCAGCACCTATCTTACGAACCAAGGAAGCATGATCTTCGCGAACATCTCGAGCAGGAGTGTTGCAACTTTGCTGGGAATAGTGAGCTCCTAACACACAAAGGGTTGATGGATCCAGAGTCGGGTATTTTACACTATCTTGACCAAGCAGATAATATGGAGTCATGACTCGACGAACCATATCGTCGACCCGGTCCATTGTGACGGATCCGTTGTTTACTGCAAGAGTTAGGTTTTTTCCAAAGTAAGATGTGCCTGTGCCGATGAGTTCTTGGGTTGGGCTGCCGGGCATGGTCAGATCGAGACCTCCGTTAATCGAATCTACGCCAGAATGTGTAGCAAACCACTGAGAAAATGGTTAGCTTGGTGTGTCTAAGGCTGGACATCCTAGGCTTCTCAGCGCTCCCTCTCCGAGTCACCCTGTTGGAGTATGCACAGAGAGTATGAATAGAAATAATGAAACTGATGGCGACTTACATCCGAAACGACATATCCTTGAAACCCCAATTCCTCCTTCAAGATCTTATTTAGCAGCCCATCATTCTCGCAAGCATAAGTCTGATTGAGGCGGTTATAACTACACATCACTGATGTAGTCCCCGCTCGAACCGCATCAGCAAATGGCCAAAGATAAAGCTCATGAAGAGTCCGATCATCGATATTCGCAGAGTAAGCCATGATTTCAGTGCCGTCTTCCAGAAACGAATTTGACCTCTGAGTTTCTTGCTCGTTCCCAATGAAGTGCTTTGAAGATGTTTGGATCCCCGCATCTTGCATCCCAAGGACTGTTTGATACATCGCCTTGCCAGTTAGGTATGGATCTGTCGAGAAACCTTCCCAATTCCGACTTCCAAGCGGGTTTCTACCAAGCGGTCCGGCAGTAGGTCTATCTTCGTTAGTGTCGTCAAAGCAATGGAAAGACAACATAAGTACCCCAGTCCAACATGCGATCCTTTTGCTCTGAACTCAGCACCCAGCGCATAACCTCGCTGATAGATGAGATCTTTGTCCCAGGTAGCAGCGGCCCTCAAGCCAGCTGGGAAAACGGTGATGAGGTCCTGACGATTGATAGAGGTGGGCCCATCCGACATGCAGATTCCGGAGAAGTTCAGACGCGGAATCGCAGCGACATTTCCAATACATGATCCTGATGCACCTGTCACCACTACTACTTTTTCTGTGAGGTTCAGTTGAGCGAGGAATGCGTCTGCTTTTGCGATTGCCGTGGCCCATTCATTTGCTGACTTGGGGATCCCTGTGGAAATGGTTAATGCTTGATGAATGGCGGGTTTCAGATGACTTGAAGGATTGTAATAATGATAAATGAGTGTTTACTTGAGGTGATGGTATTGGCATCTTGTGGTTGTACGTGTCCTGCAACAACTACAAGCTCGCTTAGAGCAAGGGAGAGTATAGAATTGAGCAGATGCATGACTTATTAGTAATAGCTAACGAAGAAACTGAGAGGATTAGATACTACTAGAGAATAGAAGGGCGCTCGTCGAATAGTTCCATGATACTTATATATGTGAAGTTGCCAACTGAAAACCAAGTATTGTTCTAGTCATCCCACTTCATTGCGGGGAAGATAGTTTGTGGAGATCTCAAGCTCAAGTATTGAGATCCGGGGTTTGCTATACTATAAAACCGTCCAATAACGACTGGAAAAGAGGAAATGGCCCGCAAACAAACGACTAGAAGGACCGACTTTGCATTTTCTCGTGGTAAATACTATTGGGGCGAGTCAATTCGCAGCTCGTACTTTTTCGTACACTTTGTACTGTATGCGAGGACGTTTTAGCGCATGTGGATACCATGTTCCACGGTGCCGGGTCGACTTTGAGACTTCCAAAATGCCAATGAGAAAGATGGGAAGCTTCTCAGATATATCTGTGTATTGGCTCTGCTAGAACGACGTGCTTTTACACGCCAGCTGGCTTATGTAAAAGGTTGGATCTAGCTGTTCCATGAGTACCTGAACATAGTAAAGTTATCAAAATGTTAAACAAGTTGGTAAGTACGTGTTTAGTATGTCCAAGGCTTAGTTAAAAGTCTTCCCATAGGGAGGAGAAGGGGGTGACTGAAGCTTGGAGCAGATGATTAACTACTTCGCTTCTAAACTACTACTAAATAACTTGCAAATATCTAACTTGTAAATATCTAACTTACCAGGCGCTACTTTGAGTCGTGTGAAAGCTTGGTATTTTTGAACACTTTGTTCAATCTACTGAAAAAACCTTAAAAATCGAGGGATCTCATGGTGTATGAGCGCGTGTATTTTAATATGGATTCGAACACACAACAGGCAATTTTGAGCTACCTCGTGGTACTGCTCGTTCTTTCTCAGCCCGTTCGTATGGGTATTAGCAACCGCTTCAGAAACTGCCTCGTGCAATTAAAGTTCTCTGCTATTCAAAATAGCAAAGCAAAACCAAGGCACTCGGTCACAGGGTTATTTTAATTCCCCATCACCCATCAGCTAAACACAATAACCCCTGTCTACTACAAACCTCCCCAGTATAATACCACAACACGCTTAGGAAAAGTTACTTACATCAGCACACTATAATTCAAAACATTCCTGGAGTCCCATCTCGTCAGCCTCCTAAGCGTTCCTGCTCGGTGATGACTTTCACTGGTAATCGTATAGATAGACAATTTGGCTTTTCTTCCTTTGGTCCCCCAAATGCTAATACGCCACTTGAAGACCCGAAGGGAGATGGGTTATCGAGAATCGATTGGTAAGAGGGGGAGTTGAAGGCGAGCCTTTTTGTGAGTGGTGAAATTCATCACTCGACACTAGTATCTCATTGGAATTTGAGACAAGGGACTTTTGAGGCATGGGGGGTTTGAGTCATGATGCATAAAGCTTTTCTGCAGTTTCAGTCAGTGTTGTAAATGCAGAATCCCAACCCCTTGCCCGGTCCCAATTTTTTACTGATAGATTGTAGCTTCGTACCATCAAAGAACCTTCCGTCTTGTATCAAGATACAAGATCTATTGTTTAGTACTTTGTCTAGATCGTTGCTGGCCGGTACTACTATATACTTCTCAACGCCATGGAAACGTGGCTCCTTGCAATGTAAGACTTAGATATGGTTGATGCTGGTGGTACCCTGAGACGTGGTTTGGATTCGTTGGGAATTCAATCCCATCACTTCCCACGGTGGGAAACACTAGATGCGACCATTTAGATTCTTCTAAAATACATTCCCGTTAAGCAATACACCCGTTGCCAAAATCCCACCACATGGGGTGTCCAGGCAGCCTTGAAACACTTACCTCCCCCATCACCTAAATGACACCCTTAGTCTGATTTATCCAGTCCTTTTTACAGATCATTACTGGCTGATACTATTATATTCTTCCTATGTCATTGAAGCGTTTCTATTTACTATAGTAGAAGATTGGTATAGCTAATACGTCGAAAAGTGATTTGGGATTTAATGGGAATTCAATCCCATCACTCCCCACAATAAAAAACACTAGCCACGACTATTTAGACTCTTCTAATATACACTCCCGTTGCGCAATACACTTGTCTACAAAACCCCACCACATAGACCCAAAGCACCTCAACCTACTCCCCCCCCCATTCCCCTCCCTCCCTCCAAGTCCCAAAATCCTGCTCACATTCCCCCTCCCTTAAACCCAAGCCCCTCCCAAGCCCAAACTCACCCTCTGGCCCAAAACCCAGCGGAGCCATCCTCCGTACCACGCATCAAGAATCCCATGCGCAAAGCCCCATACAGAATTCTCACGGGAAGTTGCAGCTATGCTGGGACCGGCAACGGTTGGATGCATGTAGGGAGATGTTCCGAAGTTTGACGATGCTGGGTTGGTGTGTTGTGATGTATAACATAGGGAGAGGGGATGGGGAGGTGGAGGGTCATGTGATGGGGGATATGACATGATGGGAAGGGGGATTGGGGGAGGGAAGGGGAAATGGGAAGAGTAGATAGAATCAAAGGTGGTTCGAAAGTCGACATAAAAACGCGATGTCTTGCTATACATCAAGTGAGCCTCAACCGCCAATCTGGGGGAGGTTCACATGCATACCACCCGGGCAATTTGCAACCAAGCGGTTGGCTGCCGGATACACCTTCGCACCAAGTCTCCCTCCAATCGAAAGATCTACGTGTGGTCTGATAATGGGAGTTTGCGAAGGCAAAGAAAAGAGCTGGTATCTCCGGCGACACATGTAGATAGATCAGGATTCTTGTACAGTCACCCTCAGCGCTGACTTTCGCCGGATTGGACCGAGAAGGTATTGCTGACAACAGCCTGGCGCGGAAGGCGACACCGAATTCGCAATTAACGGCGGGAGATGATAGCGACGACGAGGTGAGAGACGAGACCCTCAAGGGAATGCGGGGTGAACTTCGTCGTCGTGCCAAGATTCGCATGGAGATACTGATATCTCTGGAAAAATTACAAAATCTTCGACTTATTTTTTCTCACACGCGCAAGCTGACCCATCGCAGCCATGTTTCTCCAGCGGCGAAGCCCTGTACCCAGCGCCGGCCTGCTGGATAAATCCACAATCGGTCGACGTGGGCTCTGCGCTGCATGGAAACGGAGGTGGATCTCAGGGTCCAAGAAAGCTCTCTACACATGTTACAAAAGTTCGCGTTCGTCACACGATCTCATCACCGAGTATTGTGGAAGTTTGGGAGGGAGGTAGCACTGGGTATTTAGCCTCATCTCGCGAGGCGGATTGGGGAGGGAATGTATGATACAAAGGTGATAAGTGTGGCGATCGGATGAGAGGACTGCGACGAGATGTTTTCTTTACCGCTTCTTCTTGAAGGTTTGCAATCTTTTTTGTGCTCTTTGATGTGATTCGAGTGATAGAAAGCATACCCAATATGGAGCACTATGCTCGATGATGCAAGGTTATAAGCGATACTGCATCTCGGTAGAAGATCTGAAGGTTCTGAGCTCTTGCAATCCAAAGAAATGTGCGGGGATAAATATTCCCATGCGATTGTATGGCAGAATAGGGGGCGGTGAGCAGCAGAATATGTCGGCTTGCGGATCATCCATTCGCGGAGAGCAGTATGCAACTAGCCATGCGCTATGCATCATGTTCTTGGTCGTTGCCCATGGAGGAAGAGGCTGTTGGTGCTGACGCCAGTGAGTATGCTGCCTCACATTTCGATAACTACCTCGATTTGCGGGACGGCATGTAAAAAAGAGGCGGAGTTGACGGAAAGGTTGATTGATCCCACGCGAGACTTTGGATGCTTCACGCGATTCCATTGGAACACTCGGCTTTTGACAGAAGTCAAACTGATAGCTTTGCAGGTGCAGGAGCTCGTGGAGCTGTGAATGCGATGCTTTCACGAGTCAGTAGAAAGTCAGAGCGTTGAAGATCGTTGGCCCGTCGACGTAAGTAAATGGGAAACATGTTTGCGATATACTCGTTATGGAGTATGTGATCGCTTGACCGTCGCATAGGATTCTGTACAGCTGCAACAGCCTTCCCTTTCTGCAAAGAATCAGAGTTTACACGAATCAGAGGGTGCAGCATTTGAAGATGCGTGCAAACGCCAATCGCCCAATATTCTGCCACTTGATGACGAAAGAAGAAATAAGAATTAAGGCCAGCAACATTGGCCGTACTTCCATATGAGTTGTCAACTTCTAATACTCATCTTCCTGTCTTTGCGACAACGAGATTGGGAAGAATACAGTAATAGATATTGTTGTGGTGGTCAGCAAACTGGAAGTAGTGTCCACATCGGGTTGTCCGCTTTCTTTTCTGCGCTTCCGAGAAAGTGATACCAGGATATGACGCTGTTGGATCTGCATGCCAGCTGACGGCGTCCAAAAGAATCCCTGAAGGGCAAAATCCTAGGGCTTCTGTTTGTCGAGTTTAAAAAAGTTCAGAAGGAAACTTGCCAAAACGAAGCCTACGACCGCGGATGCGCAGGCCCTGACAGGTCCGTCGGGGGAGCAGAAGCTAAAGAAATGATATTTTCGTATCAACCAACGGAATTCTAGAAGTTGTGGAGCAGACAGAACAAACTTTTGTACTTGTTGCCCTCGCAAGTTCAGGCTAGAGCAAGCTCCACACTAATGGAAAATCTGTGCTCCGAGTCTATGGAAGTACCCAAGTATCGCAGGCGCATATTATTTGATGTTCTGAACGACTTCAAGATAATATTTCTTTTCCCTTTCCTTTCGACCGTTAGCCACGGTGTACCCTTGCTGGCGTACTTCTCGATTCTCGCTCCAGCAAGAAGGGAGCTGAATAGGAAAGCAACAAAACGACAAAAATTGGAAAAGGAGAATATCGAAATAGAAAAGAAGGAAGCAAACCAGCGAAGAAAGAATGGACCGGCTCCTGATCCTATCGACAATACTATTTTGTCCCTTTCGTAATATCCATCCCTTTTCTGGTAAGCGAGGCGACTAGCCCCTTTCATTGGCGGCCCGACCTGACTTTCGCAGCTGGACGCGGGAGCTTGAGACCCTCAGTCAACGCTGCAACGGCCACGGCCAAAGCGTTCTGTGAGAGGCAAAATGTTGCTTTTGATACTGAAGCAGTCGCGAGAGTTGTATCTAAAACCTTGGGACGTAGCGCTCGAGTACGCTTCTTTTTATCTCCTGATTCTTTTCATGCGACGATATTCTCGAAAGCTTTGCCATGGGAAAGCCAGAGCTTCGTATGCAATTCTCCGCCCCTTAGACGTCAGTCCCAAGCTCTAAAGCTTAGCCCCTGTACCGAATAAAGTTCACTCTCACCTAGCCAGGAGCTCTAAAGGCTTCTGGGTTTAGTTTGGATGTCTAGTTTGAATATCCATTTGCCTCGACCGACTCAGTCAAGATGCGATAATTCGATTTCAAGATCACTCAAGCAAGCGTCTCCTTTTCTGTGGCGGAAAATTAGTAGAATCGAACAGTAACCCATTCGTTCGACCAGAAAGTCAACGATAAAACTCACTAAACTTCAAGGTATTTGTCGGCTTCTGCGGATTGCTGTAAAAGTCATGTCTTGTTCGCAACGACTTATATCTTTCATCGACCTATCTTCTCCGCCCGACCAAGCCGGCGCCAGCATCCTCCATACAGAAATCAACGCTTTTGATTCCTGCTGCAGCTTTGCGTACACCTCCAGCTGCAGCTCAAAATAGCGGTGTTGTGATCAGTGCTCTTGTAACCTTTACCGCTTCCCCGTTTGCCAGTGCCAGAGTCATCGCGCCGCAGCTCGGCAGCAGTTGGACGCAGTTGGAACAAGTGGAGAGAACCTTTTTGGGCCGCCTCCACCTCCTTTGCCTGCAGCTTCATGGGAGCCCTGGCGATTTGTGTCACCACTACGCCAACCTACATTCCGAACCGCTCCCTGCCAATAACAATTGCTCAAATCAATTAACCCGTCAGATCACCGTGCAGGAACAACAGCCCGATCCCTTTCTCTCTCCTCGACCTGTCGCAAACACCTTCAGTCTTGAGCAACAAACGACTTTCGAATCTCTCCTATCGCATACACCTAGCATTCAACAAACAAAAGTCGGCATCATGATTTCGCCTACGATATCCAGCAATATGCCATATAACACACGACGAAAGTCGTTATCATTGCCATCGCTAGGAATTCATCTTCCAGTAACGCATGCTGCTCGTGCTGCTGCTCGACTTTCACCGCCTATACCCGGTACAATCGCTGAGAATCCCCCGATTAAAAAAATAAAACGGTCGCATGAAGAATCGCCGTCAATGTCTCCTCCTCCAAAACGAACAACACCAAAATACGAAAATACTCCTCCGCCATCTCCTGGAGCCGAAACACCCGAATTAGATAGCGAGACAAAGCCAAGAGAGATTGACCTAGAGTCAATACACGATGAGATTGTCGAGGGTGTGGTTGTGCAGTTACAGAAAACAGGCAACAGGCCTCACTTAGTGAAGGAACTTGCAGCGATACTGTCGCAGAAGGTCAAAATCGTAGAACAGTGAGTTCTTGATGGCCTATACAATTAAGGGATGTGCTAATCAGACTTTCAGATCCGCTAATCCTTCTGCGATAATCTCGTCGCGACTTTCAACATATCTCAAACGATCATGGTCTGTATCATCGCCTTGCCCTGTGGCGAAAGAGCTAGAAACAGTCCATCCAAGAAGAACGTACTTTTATTTAACAACATGTCCACACCAACCAATGCCCGATCCATCGAACGTACATTTCCTTCAGCGATCCATAATTACACCCTCTTTGTCTAGTGCTTCAAGATCCGACGAAGCTGACGCGGAACGAAGGAGAGAACTGTCACCTTCCCCTGAAGTCGACTTATCATCACCCGAACTTGAAGGCGATGATATGTCGCCACCAACTTCAATAGGGTCTTTCACTTCCCGCATGGAATCTAGTATTCGAAACAGTCGCGCTTCATCTCCACCACTTGAGAAAGATGAGAAAGAGTTCACCCAGACGGCTCGAGGAATGCAGAAACGGAAACTTAGTGGCGATACGCGTATGAGTGGCGTTCCATCAGATATGGCCGACCATCCTGTCAGAAGCTCGGAAACACACCCAGATGCGTTGTTTGGAGAAGGACGACATCTAGCCATTCCACATAGCGGTCTGTTTGTGAGCAGTCCGGCCATGAAGCCAAGCTTGTCGCTCAACACATTGAAACGAGGATTCGACGAGACAGAACTATGGGCACGAGTGGAAGGCGCCATGGAATGGGACATGAGAAGTCCTGAGAATATAGAATTGGAAGAACTAGACGGGATGTTGGACGATTTTTAAATGCTCAGACTTTTGAGCTTCGCAACTTTCGATTCGATGTAACATTTTATCTCACGACTCTTTAACTTTGCAATCGCTTTCCATCTCTCCGCCACTTGGACTAGAATCTGGATTCGACCCATGGATCTTTTTGGCATTGCTATTTGTCTGTTTATTTTGGGCCCTTTATTTTTCGAGGAATCTTGCTGTACGATCTAGAAAAGACGATAGATGGGTCGCGGAAAACAAAAGCTTTTGAGCAAACAGACAAAAGTAGACGGGAAGAAAGGGTATTTGAAACAATGCTGGGTATTTTGCTGGGTAAAGGCGTTGAAGGAGCGATTTGATTTGAACAATTTGTAAATATATAATTTGCTGCTTAGCAACGACTTTGGCACTGCTTCCTGGCGCGCTTGTGCGCCTTGCGCGAGAGAAATGAATAAGAATCTCCACCTACTTAGGTTTCGATTGAAGGGGATGAAAAAGTCTGTGATGTTCAGAATGTGAACTAGTTAAGAGGCAGAACTGGAAAGAAGCTGATTGTTGACCACTGCAATGCTAGCGTCAAATTGTTCTAGCCTTGTCAGCCTCGCATCTATTTGGTCGAACAACGCCGCTAAATTTCTAACCCAACTTCAACCTCACATCACTCCAACTACCAACCATCAAGAGACCAAAACATATCTCCGATCAGCCAGGGAAACTGCATTGCATTTTTAAATCATGCTTTGACGCGCTGTATAACTCCTCTTCTTCCCGCAATCAACCACCATCTGAATTCTAGTAAAGTTGAGTGGTGCCGGACTCTTAAAATGTCATTGTGTCGGAGTTGCATCTCCAGAAGAGTTGGGATGTCAAGGACATTATTTCTCAATACGAGTATTGCTGATTCGACAATACGCTTTCCCTACTTGCACCCAATCCAGCGTGGGTATGCGTCGAAGAAGTCGAATACTCGGTTGAACAAACCGCCAAAGCAGCAGCTTGATTATAAGTATGATTGATTTGACTTGGAATTGATCAATAAGCTAATATTTCTATGTAGACCATCCATAAAGACGATAAGGAAGCCGCCGATCCCCGAACCTGAGCACGAAGCTCCGAAAGCAAAGCCCAATCCTCTCAAATACCGGACTATCCCTATTGTCCTTGGAAGCATAACGCTTTTCTTTCTCTCCGGATATTGCGCATATATTTTTGTCGCCGTTAGCAAGCAGCCAGCGAATGCTGTACCAAAGGATCCATCTGCTCAAGCTGATGTTTCGGACCGGTATAATGACATTGCCAACACCTTCGACGCGGAGGTGGATTGGATGGAAAAAGTGATGGGAATAGTGAAAATGCGGAAGAAGCTTGCGGGCCTAGCGAAAGGGGATGTGTTGGAAGTTAGTATTGGCACAGGCAGAAACCTGGAGTATTACGACTTCAATTTTGGGAGTGGGAAGGGCAATGTTAAGAGTTTTACGGCCATTGATAAGAGTGCGGAGATGCTTGAGATTGCACATGAGAAATTTGGAACGCTATACCCTGGGATTTTGGGCGTGAGATGGATCGTGGGAGACGCTTCAGAGCCAGGACAGATTCCATCCCCTCCGAAAAGTGCGAATGAGAGAAGTGGAAACAAAGTGGGTGCGAAGTATGACACTATTATTCAGACAATGGGATTGTGCTCTACGGAAGACCCAGTAGATCTGCTGAAGGCGTTGGGCAAAATCGTCAAAGAAGATGAGGGACGCATATTACTGCTTGAACATGGAAGAGGAAAGTGGAAATGGTTGAACAGCCTACTAGACAAGTCGGCGGAAGCTCATGCCCATAAATTTGGTTGCTGGTGGAATCGAGATCTCGTCAAGATTGTTGAAGATAGTGGGCTTGAGCTTATCAATTTCTCGACAAAGCACGGTGGAACTACGTCCTGGATTGAGCTGAAGAAGCCGAAGCAACCTGAGCAAGTTAAACCAGAGGAACCATCTGTAGTGGCACCAAAACCGACCGAGACGAAAAAAGGATGGTGGTGACAAAAATATTGCCGAAGACTTTCTGCACTACTGGACAGCTCTGTACAAATCACGATGCTCGGCCAAAATACGTCACTCAGCCATAATAGATATCAAATCTCACCTCAACCCGAAATCAGGACCATGGGCAAGCTGTAAGATGATCAATTGAAAGCGTTTTGGCTCTGGAAACATGACCGCGCGTATTCAATTGGTTGTTCGCGAATCTAGATCCTGAAGGCGAGTCTTGTCTGAGCACTATTCAGCTACCATGGTTCCAGCTCCTTATTCCATATTTTGTTTACATCTCGTATGAGTATCCACAAGTGGGTTTCCTCAAAACTTGATTGCTTCTCTTGTTTTTACTCCGCCTTCAACTGTACATGGCTCCGAGCTCGTTTCTCTCTTTGTGTCCCGGTGTTGACCTTTGTCATTTTTAACAAGTTCATTGTGTTCTGAGGTCCGACGCTCAAATGGCACAAAGAAAGTTCTTGTTTCATTGAAGCTGTACTCGGCTTTATTTGCTCTGAACAGTGAGTAGCGAAATCGTATATATGGTTTTGTACAGTTGCTCGGATTTTACTTCCGGGTTTTTTCTTCTTCCAATCTTGAAATAACAACTTGGAAACATCTCATAACAGAGACAAATCAACAACACTACCCTAAGTCAAATCGACCAAGAGGCGAAAGCCCAGAAATGAAATATTGCGATGTATTTTCGCCGGACGGGAGTACGGGACGGAATATGACTGTGGCCGACGCTCGAGAGTTAGGAGGCGGCCAGCCAATATCAGATTCGACAATAAATGGAGTATTACATCTCGGGAACCTATTCGAGCCGACTCGCGATGCGGTTCTATTAGATGCAGGTTTTCTAAATCAGCTAGAAACGCTCATAGATTCCTCTGGCATTACTGCCGCGACTGCACAGATGTTGGTTAGTACGGCACCACCCACTCACGGGAATCGCAGCACGTGCGTCTTAATGCCATACTGCTTCGATCACTCTGATGAGAATGCAGCACATTGGGTTTTGATCGTTCTCCATCGTCGTACCAATCAATGGCTTTTGTTTTCTTCCTTAAACGGTTATCAACAAACCTCAAGTAAGCGAAGAAAGGTCCAAAGGCTGGTAGATTTCTGTGCTCAACGGTGGAACCGGAAGCGAAGTCACATCCGCGCTAGCCCGGCATTCATTGAAAGTGAGTGCCAGCAACAAGATGATCATGTCAGTTGCGGCATCTTTGTCATCGAAAATGTGGCTACTCTGTTTCGAGATGGTACGCGCCTGACCGATTTGAGGCACGTTAACGTAGATCCAACAGAGAAGAGAAAAGTGTGGTTCGAAGCGCTCTTTGGCATATCATATCATTCAGCTGATTGGGGAGCACTAGAGCCCGTACAGTATCAGCGCTCGATACCGTCCTGCCCCAATGGATCTGAAGACAGCGCTAGCTTTAGCAGTAGCAATGATGAGACGGAGAATGTGGGAGCCGTCAATAGTGTGCAGATATTGGGAAACAGAAGGAGGCAGTCAGTGTTCGACCAAAGTCTTGGCTCAGAAGTCATCTTCGTTCAACAGAGCGCTCTAATGCATCTACCAGCGGGCTCCTATCGATTTGTGGGTAATCAACCCACTGAAGACTACTTAGTGGAGGCTTCTGTTGACGCTATTCACAAATTCTTGCCTCGTAACTCATGGAAGCAAATACACAATTCTAGCACTGACAGCTCTCCCGCTAGCACGCTCTCACCTACTTCCTCATTCGGCAGTGGTAGCACATCAGACTTTGGTTCAGATACACCTAGCCAGCAAGGACCTTCTGGCTCGATATCCAAACTAAGTCAGTCGCCCAGCTTTACCGCTGCTTCGCTGCCGAGTCAAACGGACGCCACCGCGTTCACGCCCTCGCTGCAACCGGTCATGCCTACGATTTTTACTCCTTCTTTTCAGCAGAGGCAGCAAGTAGCATCTCCCTTCCCTCCTCTTACAGTTTATACGGCCTCATTATTTCAGGTTCATGAACCACTGTACACTACTGTATCCACATCGCAACAACTAGGTACCCAGATTCCAAATCTGTATCAGCCTTCCAGCTTCGCTAATCCAGAGACTGGCAACGCGTTCCATGGCTATCTCAATAGTCATACTCTAGGATACGTGCCCTGGTACGACTCTTCAGATGCCGATTACAATCCAGCGAGGTATGGTAGTGTGAGTCATCCGGATTTCTTTGATTAGTTCAACCGCCAGAACCAATGCTCATATGTATATATGTATATATTCATAAATACATACTAATCCATTATGCCAGCTAATCAAATGGTGCGGATGAAAAAAGCTTGCAGGCCAGTACTTTGTTTATCCGTAGTTCGAATTGTAAAATTATGAATGGCGTTCAGTGTACGGTTTGATCTCCAGATGCTGTTTGCAGATGGACTTTGATCCTACGAAAAAAGAAGTTGATAATAATAAGAAAATATAAAAAATGAAAAGACTTTTAAAAGTTCAATTCGATTGGTACCATAGTTACATGTAGATAATACACAATGCATACATAGAAAAACTCACTTGTCTAATTTTGCTGAGTACTGGCGCCGTCAGAAGCGTTGCATTTACCTTCTCTTTTTGTACTTTTCGTTCTTTGTTTGATTAGTGGCTTCTTCAATTGTGGTTTGCAAATGTAATGTAAGTCTAATCTTGTGCATGATGGAATGAGACTAGACTAGACATTTACAAATCACAATGCTGTCTGAAAGAAAATCCTAGAATCAAAGAAAAGACTGCTTGATGCTTTAAAGCGGTTAGTGCCTTGAGGAAAGTTCTACACACCACATTATCTTCGCTTAAACTATGCTCTTTTAAGAGCTAACAAGTTGGCAACCTCAGGTGCAGTACATGATGCCAACTTTACTTATGGAGGCAAAGATTCGCTCATGACCATTCTTATGTCAGAATTTGACTATTTTTGATCATTGTACCTCATAACATCTTCCGTTTACTGTAATAGTTTTATTATTCTCCACGCTTATGTTGATGCACAGCTGAATGTAAGGGTAACGGTTCAATTCATAATCTATACGTAAATCTGTAATTGACATTTTATTTAGCACCACCAATTAATTTGCTACATACTATTGATGTCGCATTGAAGAGTCAATGTCTAGCGAGCATTAGCACCAAGTACTCAAACACGTGTTGATCAATTTATGGTCAACACAAAAGAGTAGCATTTTGATATCTCATTTGCACCCTTCCAGAAGGCGCGCGCGTAGTAGGAACGAAACCAGTATCACACGCTAAACAAACAAGAGGAAGCATCGACAGTAGATTTCTACTGTAGATTTGTTAATAGCAAACGGGCGCCTGCCTAGATTGATGGTATAATTCTAATAATTGAATGTTGATCGTGCAGAACAATTGGTAGGCGTGGCGGAACAGCGGCTTAAACACACCACAACAAAAGCCACAATCCCCTTTTGTTCTGTTCTTCTCAAGTATAAAAAGAATTTCCGTCCTCCAACTAATTTCCTTCCATTTCATCCTCAATTTGTAACAAGACTTTGAGATCAAACCTTTCAAACATGGACCGCAACGATATTCAAGACATCCAACATGGCAACCATCTTTCAGCCAATGCGATTAATATCATCATTCGCATGCAAGGCCCAGGACTTCATCCTGCGACTAGAACCCTGATGTCAGCTGGGTGGTTGAATCACATCGAAGACGTGAAAGCTGCATCCACAGAAGAAGCCGCACGGTTGGTATCATGTTCCGATCTTTCGAAGAAAGTGCACCACAACGATTCCTGGATTATACCGTACCTGGTCAAGCATCGTCGTGGAGCTCTAGGAAGCGCTCCTCAAGGACATTGGATCTATATTCTTCTTAGCTTTGAAGGCTACATGTGGACTATCGGGGACCCAGGCGAAAAGATCCAGACCGGAAGCCCAGAGTTCAAAAGAATTACCTCTCTAGTTAGTTTTTGCAATCAGACACTAAACGCCGGAGGACCGTGGGAGTACCGAAAGACTCCATCAAGACCTCTTATAAGAGATGAAGACTGTGGGATCCATCTCATTGAAAATGTTTTGGCGCTCATACGTGGAGACAACTTACGTGAAATTGACTGCAAGAGTCTACGAGGTTTCTACCTCGATCGTCTCTCTAGGAACAAACTTCTTCCTGGCCAGATTCCTGATCCGATAGATGAGTATGAGATTAGATGGGAGTCTTTTGTTCCACCGAAAGCGGTACAGCTGGGCCGCTTCTGTGACTTGACGGATCCGAAACAACAAGCTCTTTACCAGGAAGAAATCAATCGTCAGGCACGTATTGATCTATCTTTGGAGCTTCCTGAAATCGAGGGGACGACTTCGCAAGAGTTGAAGAACCACGGAATCTTTGCGCCTCATACCACGGACTTGCATGACCCTTTCGCGAGGGAAGTCATGCGAGAAAAGGTCAAGACTGTGGTCGCAGAAGAGAAGGTAGCAATTGAAGGTCGCCGCAAATCTATCGCAGGAGGACTCGCGATGGTTAGACTTGATGATGAGGATGCAAATGACGTTTCTATTCCACGAGTGAAGTCTCCTAGGCCAAACTCGTGGTCGCCTGCTTCAAATACGCCCCTGGTGATCCACAGACAGACCGTGATTAACAACATCACGAATAACTACTACAACACACCTCCCCCAGTACAAACTGCTGGATCTAGCAATCAGCCTCCCCAAGATGGGGAGCTGTGAATGTCTAGATAGACAATAGCGTGTATACTTGACCAACGCGCAAGACAAGCGATGGCTGAGGTACCTCCAAAGTAATAAACTTAAGTAGACGAGAACAGCAGACGTGCAGTACTGCTTTTCTCTTCGCGGAAGTCACTTTTCTGAGGCCGATCCTCAAGCCAGACTTGATAGAGGCTCTGTTTCTATCTTCTTGAACGCTGGCTCTCTTCCAAAATTCTTCTGGCTTCAACAGAAGAACTATTGACACATCACAGTGTCTTGGCTCTGCTTCCGCTGCATGATTCTTCCATGTGGTCAGGAACAGCTACCACAATGTACATAATACTTACTCCTCTCCAAAATATATCTTTTTCTTTTCCAATCGTGTCTTCCCTGATCGTGCCCTGCCTCTGCCATAATGTTAAACGCTATTTGGGTCTTGCGCGGTAACCCCTGCACGGCGAGCTGTATACTTGATCGGGACTAGCGCCACTGTGCCTTGATGTAGCTGAAAAGACAACAAAAACAATAATAATGTAGCTGTAAAACATCAAAAAGAACCAAGAACTGTTTTCGCAGTTGTACCTCTCTGTCTCAGTGTTAGTGAAGCAGGAAAGATATACGAAATCGCGACTAGACTGCGGAAAATAACAGTATCCTTCGTTCGCTACATATGTAATATATCCAGGGTCAAATTCAGCATCTTGTATGATTGTTCGATCGTGTGGACGGGAAAACAGTCGATCTTAACTACATCTAGATTGCTTATCATGGTCTTCTGTGGAAAGCCAAGCAGAGGTTGCTCGAACTGTCGAGCGAGGCGCATCAAAGTAAGTGTTTTGATATTTTGTTACGCATAAGCATAATATAAACCTGGCATTGCATGATGAAGAAGCTGGCTTTCCTTGGAAGCCAATCATGAGAGTAGGAAGACAAGATCCAATGCTTCAGAGTTTCGGCAATCGGGTGTATCGCCAGATATTGAGACCTAGCTTCGACGCGGTGGCCGCTTAGCCTGTCTGTTTAGACGGGTCATCATTGTTGGAAGAACAAATGCTGGACTTATCCAATGCTGACTGATGTGAAGTGTGACCAAATTAAGACTGGTTGCTCGCAGTGTTTGAGGGCCGATAAAGCATGTCCCGGGTACAGGGATTTGACGAAACTTCTTTTTCGGGACGAAAATGAGACTGTCCTGCGAAAGGTCAATTCCTCAAAAGACCACACTGGAGTCCAGGGTACCAGAAAGGTGGTAAATCTGTTAACACCCAGGACAACCTCGCCAGAGAATAAATCAACCACTTCAGGCGTGACTTGGAAGTCATTGATATTGAGGTCTGCCGCAAACAGTCAGCCTTTATACAAGCAAGTGTTTACTGGTATAGAAGATGAAGGCATCAACTTCTTCTTCGCCAATTATATCACCGCTTCCTCGAGAACGAAGACTTGGAAGATCAACCCCTCACAATCCCCTCTCTGGGAATCCATGCGCAATAACCTAATACTCTGCAACGCCGTGTCAGCTGTTGGACTCGCTGGTCTCTCGAATGTGCGCAAGAGCCAAACACATATGATTGTTGCCAGAAAGAAATACGCGGTAGCGCTGCATGAAGTCATCTCTATCTTGGACACCACTGACTCAGTAGACTTGAACACAACCTTCAAAGCAGTGACAATGCTTGCGGCGTTCGAGGTGAGTGCCTATACAAAAAGCGAGTTGCTCAAAGTTGGTACTAACCAACAAATAAATCTAGATCGTCAGCGGTACATCAGAAGCTGCGGACGGTTGGGGAGCACATATAGGAGGAGCCGCAAGTCTCCTGCCGATGATTAATGCACGGTATTCTGGAATTCGGGCCGTAACTCGAATCCAAACGCAAATGTTTTTCTCGGTCGTAAGTGATCCCACTCTCAACGAGAGCAAACCTGACGCCTGTGAAGATGATCAAATGCATAACGAAAGCCGAACGGGTACCACAAAGTCTCGAGCGATGGTGTGCCGACATCCGAAAACTGATTCACTTAGATGATGCTCCTGTTGCAGATTTAATTTCGATTGCTGTGAGACTTGTCAACTTGCATGCTTCGACCCAAAAGACGGATAGTTTCATTGATTCTTCCGACGTTGCCGAAGAAGCCTCTCGGCTGGAAATCGAACTAGGTCATTGGGAAAATTCTCTTCCGATTAATTGGCGCTTTTCCGTGATCCCATGGAGTCAAGATTCGGAGGATATTTACAATGGCCATATCCACGTATATCAAGATCTATGGACCGCGCGAGTCTGGAACAACTACAGACAGACCCGTATTCGAGTTAACGAGATGTTCCTTGTTCATGCCGACTCTCTCCGGAAACTTGGGAAATGTTCCAACGAGGATAGGGTACAGCGAGGAAGGTGCCTCGCTACAATCTCGAGAATCGCAGAAGATACATGTGCAAGTGTATCGTGTCAATTCCACCATGACGCTAACAAGAAACTTCTCGAGCAAAGGGCGTCGCAGGCGTCAGGAGCATACCTCATACTATGCCCTCTTGTCGTCGCAGCAAGTGCTATAGGCGTCTCGAAGGCCATCCACGACTTTGCTGCGAGGAGATTGGAAACAATAGGGAAAACAAAAGGAATCCAGCAAGCGTTATATATGGCTGAGAGAGCGAGGATTAACCGTGCTCGATGGGAGACGGCGAGATTAAGAAGAGTACAGGAGCAAAAGTAGACTTGTCTATGAGTGACGGAAGTGTAATTGAAGTTGGAATATCGTAAACGAAATTCATCCTGGACGTTTTTACGAGATGTCGGATGAGCTCACCGAACAGCGGACCGGTAGCGGCCCGAAAGTGGGCCAACTCCTCTACAGGACCGACGACTACCGAGCCAACATCACCGTTACTCAAATCTTTCAACTCAATCCCTCCACTCCCAACAAAAACAACCCTTCTTAACTATCTCAAATCCTTCAGAAGATCATATTATGCAATAGCTACAACGTTACTTCGGTACTACTTCTCCATGCATGCCATCGTTCTCCAACATGAAATAGCATCCTCTTCTCAGACCTCCTAGTACGCATCCGGAAGGCGCTGTTCTTGGTGCATGCTGATCATTAAAATGCGGTGTTATGATCAATGTGACGCCTGTCACTCACCCCGCACATTGTGGTCAGAAGCCACCACGCTATCATGGCCCTAGCAACCTCTCCCCTCATTGTCGACCCAATTCAGGGGAAGTAGCCAATCCGGACATCCAACTTGTCTGGGATGAGTTATCTAGAGTTGGACTTATACCATCAATAGTGGGCGATCCGGACCGACGATGCTTGAACGTTATGTTCAAGTGAACACTGTTTAGACTCCGATGTAGTGAACACAATGAGCACGGCTACGGCCTGCAGCTTTCCAGAATCGAGGTAGCACTCGAGATTTGTCTACATAAAGTTGTCAACCCCCAGGTGCTCCTTCCTTGCGAAAGGTTTCTTCTGTTTTCTTGCAAATGCTCCAGAACGGAGCTGGTCTATTGAAACGACGACGAGTCCCTGCTGTTCAGTAGGCAAATATATTATTTACAATGGTCTCCTTCCGTTTCGTTCTAGCAGCACCTTGCTTCGCTCTGCTATTGCCATTTACTTTTGCAATTCCGCATAGTAAAGATAATCTGAAGAGGCAAGGAAGTCGCCCTGATGACCATGTACTAAATCGACAGAGAGCGGATGCAGTGAAGGAAGCTTTCACATATGCGTGGAATGGATATTATAAATACGCCTTTCCTAATGATGAGCTAAATCCTGTGAGCAACGGTTTCAGCAACTCCAGGTGAGTGGATGCATGTCAAGGCGGAAGGTTTTGGTCTAATAGATGTCTAGAAATGGATGGGGAGCAAGCGCAGTCGATGCTTTCAGTACTGCTCTAGTAATGCAGATACCTCAGATTGTCAACCAGATTCTGGACTATATCCCAACAATCAATTTCGATGAAACAGCAGATGAGATCTCGTTATTTGAAACGACGATTCGATATCTTGGCGGATTGCTTTCAGGTCAGCCGAATATCCCGCTTCGATTTCGTAAGTGACTGACTTATGAAAGGTTACGATCTACTGAAGGGCCCGCTATCAAACCTCGCAAAGAATACCACAGCTGTTGATGCTATTCTGACCCAAGCACAAAGACTGGGCAACAACCTTGCATTTGCTTTCAACACACCAACAGGCATTCCAAGCAACAATCTTTATTACAACCCAGATAGAACAGATGGCTCAACAACAAACGGTCTTGCTACGACCGGAACTCTAGTTCTAGAATGGACTCGCCTTGGCGATCTTACTGGCAACAAGACCTTTGGCGATTTGGCTCAGAAAGGAGAGTCTTATCTCAACAACCCGCAACCAGCCACCTCGGAACCTTGGCCAGGACTAGTAGGGATGAACATTAACATCAACACTGGCTTATTCGAGGATGCATTTGGTGGATGGGTTGGTGGTGCTGACAGTTACTACGAGTATCTCATCAAGATGTACGTATACGACACGACCAGATTTGCATCCTACAAAGACCGTTGGATCAAAGCAGCAGACTCCTCAATCGCCCATCTCGTCAGCCACCCCTCAACCCGCCCAGACCTGACCTTCCTCTCCGTCTACAACGGCAAAAAACTAATCTACGAATCCCAACACCGTACGTCCCCCCTCCCCCTCCCCCTCCCCCTCCCTCGCTAATCCAACCCTCACAGTCGCCTGTTTCGACGGCGGAAACTTCATCCTCGGCGGCCTCGTCCTCAAACAACAAAAATACATCGACTTCGGCCTAACCCTCGTCAACGGCTGCGAAGACACCTACACCTCAACCCTCACCGGCATCGGCCCTGAATCCTTCCGCTGGGTCCAAAACGACACACTGCCCACCGACACCAGCAACCCTGGCCCGCCTGCATCCCAAGCCGATTTCTACGCCAAAGCAGGCTTCTACATCACCAGCTCGTACTACATCCTCCGTCCTGAAGTCATCGAGTCGTTTTACTACGCGTTCCGCGCTACCGGGGACCAGAAGTACAGGGATTGGGCGTGGAATGCGTTTGTCGCCATCAATTCGACCGCGCGAACGGGCAGCGGGTTTGCGGAGTTGAGGGATGTGAATGCGCCTAAGGGAGGTGGGTTTGTGGATTTCCAGGATAGCTTTTTGTTTGCGGAGGTGTTGAAGTATAGTTATCTGATTCACGCGCCGGTAAGTTTTGTTTGCGTGTGCTATAGAGGGGGTGTGCTAATTTGGTACAGGATAATGTGTGGCAGGTGGAACATAATGGGGTTAATGAGTGGGTGTTTAATACTGAGGCGCATCCGTTTAAGGTTGTTGGTCCGCCAATTTGAAGATGTGATGGTTGCTACGAGTGGAGGAAATGCGATAATGACATTCTTATCTTCTACACTTCCTAAAACCAGAATCCCTTTGAATGCTAAGTGAATAATCCTCATGAGCTTAAATGTTTTGTTGCATATCGCACCAAATTCACGTCATGGAATATTGCATAGGGGTTCAGAAAGTAGGAGTTAATGTCTTGGGAACCATGGTATTGTCATTGCCAAATTCTCATCCCAGAGACCACCTCGTCTATGTATTCCATCCAAGACGCATCGGTATACTTATATATACAAAAAAACCAAACCATGCTCTACGTCATAAAATACTTCGGACCCTCACCACCCTGCGGTGTAGTCCAATTGATATTCTGATTCGGCACCTTGATATCACAAGTCTTGCAGTGGATGCAACTATTCAAGACTCGTTAGCGCTGTAATACAAACAATGACTACAGGGCAACTTACTTCTGAGCATTAATCTGAAACCTCACGCCGATATCCTTACTCTCATCCTCAACATACTCATACACACCCGCCGGACAGAAACGATTCTCGATACCCTTATACTTAGGCCACTCTTCCTGGGCATGTTTATCCCAATCTGGAACGCGCAAGTGGACTGGCTGATCTTCCTCGTGATTCGTCCCAGTGCGACTGACGCTGGTTAGGATGTCGAAGGTGATTTTGCCATCCGGCTTCTCGTATTCGATCTTTGGGTAGCTGTCTGCGGCGCCGGTGGCGTCGTAGTCTGTGCCTTTATGCTTCAATGTCCATGGTACTTTGCCTTTCAGAATGAAGGCTTCGAGACCGGAATATAAGACACCGCCGTAGAGTTTGAGGGGTGAGTGGAATGAGGGTCGCATGTTTCGGACTTCTTTGAGCTCTTTCCAGATACTGGATTTCCGGAGTGAGTCCTCATAGTCGTAAAGGAAAATTGTACCAGAGTCGCTACTGCTCAGTGCCGTCCATGTAGCCTCGGCCGCAAGCATTCCAGACTTCATCGCAGTATGCGTACCCTTGATTTTTGGGACGTTGAGAAATCCAGCAGTGTCTCCAATCAAAGCCCCACCTGGAAATGCGACTTTGGGTATCGACTGGAAGCCTCCTTCATTCAGAGCTCTCGCACCATATGAGATGCACTTTCCACCTTCAAGAACGGATTTGTATAGTGGATGTTGCTTCATTTTTTGAAACTCCCCATAAGGTGACAACCAAGGATTTGGATAGTCGAGTCCAACAACGAGACCAATACTAACGAGGTTTTCACCAAAATGGTACATCCAACCACCACCATATGTGTCGGCCGGCAGAGGATATCCCATCGAATGTGTGATTTCTCCCTTCTTGTGCTTCTCGGGTTCTACTTCCCACACCTCTTTTATGCCAAGTCCATAAGTTTGTGGCTGCGATTCGCTCCGTAAATCGAATTTTTTGATAACCTGCTTCGTAAGACTTCCATGGCATCCTTCAGCGAAGAGCGTCGTTCTCGCATGGAATTCCATTCCTCTCTCAAAACTGTCTTTTGCCTTTCCTTGTCTCGAGATTCCCAAATCATTTGTCGCCACTCCTTTAACTGAACCATCTGTTCTATAAAGCACTTCCGAAGCGGCAAATCCAGCATATACCTCTACCCCGACCTCTTCAGCTCTCTCACCAAGCCAACTTGTGAATTGATTCAAACTAACAATATAATTTCCCTTGTTATGCATCTGCGGTGGCGCGGGAATAGGTATCGCACTCGATTTAGTGAGGAATCGCATCTTGTCGCTTCCAGTTGCCGTGGTTCCATCGAATCTGTTCTCATTGTCCTCGGCGAGCCAATTCGGGATCAATTCGTTAATTGCACCAGGTTCTATCACCGCCCCAGACAGTATATGTGCTCCAATCTCCCCCGCCTTCTCCAGGACCAATACTCGGAATTCTTCATTTCCAGCTTCATTTGCGAGTTGCTTTAATCTGATTGCCGCACTCAATCCAGCAGGACCTGCCAAAGTCAGATGTTGTTTGCCAGTGGCAGATGAGAAACTGACCTCCTCCAACTATACACACGTCGACCTCGTCACTTTCTCTGTCAATTGTGTTTGGATCAAAAGTCTCGTCCGGTGTGGCAAGTCTTCTAGCAACCGAAACGGAAAACGCGCGTTGCTGTAGAATTCTCTTGCTCGCAGATAATTGCCCGCGGGGTCTTGTGAAGCTCAATCCTCCCTGTCGCAGTGGGGAGAAAGAGGGCAGGACTCTGGGAGATTGTCGCCTCACCAGACTGCGCTGCAGGCGGACAACTGCAGATCTGGATGAAGCCATGGTGATGTTGGCCCTCACCACATTTCCTGCAAATATTAAGAAGTCAACAAAATACAATTGGTGGCGGCAATAGAATACCGAGGCATAGGCTATGATTGTAGAGAAATGTTCAGTACCCCGAGCACCGGCCTGCATCGGGTCGAGTCGGCAGCAGCCAATGATGTTGTGGTTGAATCAAATTGGCTCTAACTTAAAGTAGCCTAGTCTAATTTTTCTCCTTCTTCTTCTCAGTTTCACAATCTTTTGACAACTGGGGTTGGTCACTTTATATAGAGTAGTACTGTTTATCATAAAGTATAATATAAAGTATATTTTATGTGATAGTTTACTTTATCTTCTGCCTGAGGCAGAACTTTTTAGGCCAATAGAATCGTCAGGATTATACTTAATAAATAATATATATTTTTAGATACTAAAATGTCGAAAAAAAGGGGTCTTTCGTAGGCTCTATTTATGCAAGACTGTACATAATTCATAAATCTATCATCACCTACTTTACGTGATGATATAATATAAACATTTTTACGTGATTATATGATTATATCATGATAAATGCCGAACCCTATTGACAACACCATGATCTTCTATATACTTCAAATTTAGCCGTGCGAATCTGTTGATAATTCGGTTTGGGCTATTAAGATTTTTGTCTCAAAGTTTTGTTGACTGGACGTCCATCGATCCTGGAATGAACCATCACTCTACGTCTTCTTGCTGTTTGCTGCCATTTGGATTATGCACCAGTTTTTCTTTCCTACGTGTATTTTTTTTACGAAGAACTTATGCTCAGTCAGTCGCTGGCAAGTTTTGGAAAATCATTGTTGAAGAAAAAATCCGGTCTTACTTGCTTTCGGACCACTACGCATTGAAGGTTACCCAAGTGGACGAGTCGTACTGACAATTGAGTCGTTCTGGAGCTATTGCCTGTGGATTTGGATTTATTTAGGAGAAGCACCTTATGGCGAAATACTATGGGAGCAAAGCCTAGATTAGATTCTTTAGGATATGCCGACGCTTCGAAGTTCCATTTGCTACAAAGCAGAGGTTGTTTGTTGCTCTCTATTGCGTCTGGGAATGTTCCTCTGCAAAGCGTTTCTGGAAGGACGAAGTTATCTCGATATCTGTTATCTTTATATCGCATTGCTTCTCACAAGTCTCCATCCTTTCGGTCTGGTTTGGAATTTATCGAGCTACGTCTGCTAGAAACAGTCTTAATAGAGCACGGCACTTGCTCGTTATGGCGCAGTCATCGAGATATCTCGCTCGATAATCACGTCTCATTGCAGATCGTTATTTTTATTTTTAGCGGACGGCAGGTTGCTACAGCCGGCATGGTTTGATGTACGGTTTGATCAATGAGCCCTTGTCGCTTCGGAACGCCTTTCACAAGGGATTGAAGCGGGGATGCTCCGTGCATCATCAAAACAGCAAGACCACCTCCCTATGATTTTGAAGATCTTCCTCAAAAGACTTGGGAGTCGTTGAGTTAAGGCGTGCCCAGGTGCATCACTTTCTGTGGGCAGTGTCCATTATCCGGAGGTTTCGAACAGGCCACGTCCGCCAAGTCTGAAACATCCCAATTGCAGCCTGTCTCATCCCTTGGCACTCCTCGTCGCAGCCAATCATGTACCTTGAAATCTGGCATTGGGAGACGCGGCTCTGTTGGATTGCTCCAATTATCTCATGGTTTCTCTGACTATTCATCCCTTCATGGTATTCTGTGAGCTGTTTTACTGGTTCTTCAACTGAACTTCGTCCCGTCGACAGACCATCTCTGTCGCCTTGAGATGTAGATCAGACGAGTCAAGCAAGTATGGAGCTAGACTGAAGTCACATCGTTTCAACGGGATTCTCCTTCACGAACCTTGAGGATGTTGTGATCATCGATCAATCGAGGTGATGAGCAGATATAAAGCTGGGGGATTTCCGTGCCAAGAATGTATTCTTCATCCACTTCTATTCAGATTGCTGTGCATTCAAACTATTTTCTTCTTTCCAAAGAGGTGAGTCTCTTGGCATTCTCAGGAACTTACTTTGCTAACCGCCATTAAGCTGAGCTCATTGATTTAATTTTCTTCACTCATTCGCCTCCTAATCCACAGCTCGACTCTTAACTACCACCACCGACTATAATCCATCATCATGAAGAACTTCGGCGTCATCCTCACTTTCTTTGCTGTTTCAGCCAGCTCTGTTACCGCACTTGCGATTCCAGAATCACAAAGCGCCATGGAAGCACGATCACCATATCCAGTTCTAAGCACACTTGAAGATCGATCACCAAAGAAGAACAAGGGAGAAGCTGCAGCAGTAAGTCCACCAAAGACACATCATGATAAATTGCCGATGATTATTTCTGTTTGGTTGACATTTACTTACTCTACTTGCAGGCGAAGAATGCAACAGCCGTAGCTGATAGCAAAGCAGCTCAGGTACGTGAGACGCTTTCCATGTTCAGATCCATCTTTGAGCGTAGAACCAGTGCTAACAAGATGGTACAGGCTTCTGCAGGAGCATCTCTAAGCGCTGCGACAAATGGAACAGCTGCTGCGGACGACAAAAAAGCCGCGAAGAAGGCAGCGAAGGAGGCCGAGAAAGCAGCCAAGGCCGCAAAAGCCAATTCAGCTGCTCAAGCGGATTCTGCAAATGCTGGAAATCAAGGTGGTAACAACGATGCTGCATCTGAGATCACTGGGCTACTCTCATCGCTTGGTATCAACCTCCGCGATGTCGACAAGCGATTCCCAAAGAATGAGAAAGCTACTGCTGCTGCTGGAGCTAAGGCAGCCGGAGCCAAGGCAGTAAGGACTTAACTGTTCATTCCGTCCATTATCCAGAAGCTTACTTTATTACTTAGGCGAAAGCAGGAAAAGCAAACAACGCCGGAGCGGCGGCTGCAACAGCTACTTCTGCAACTCCTGTGAGTACTCTCCCTTTATGCAACAACTGTCATTTCAGGAGACTTACTCGGTACATAGGCGAAAGCAGGAAAGGGAAACAAGGGTGGAGCGGCAGCAGCTAGTTCTGCCTCAGCTGTGAGTCTCGTCTATGCATCTGAGATGATAAGTGCTAATATTTTGTTTCTTAGTCTGCGGCCTCTGCCTCCGCAGCAGCTGTCGCGGCAGAAAATGCCAAAGAAGATAAAGCCAAAGTAAGTACTTCATCCTTCTTACCTTCAATAAAAAGCTATCAGCACATCTTGTACTTCAACATGCCTTGTTTCATCTTTCACGTGATCTAGATGTGGAAATACTGACTGGCATAGGATGTCAACGCGAATGCATCAGATGGAAGTGCCGGACTCGCCGCAGCAGCAGCAGCTCAAGTAAGCTCTTTGTACTCTTAATATACACTATGTGCTAACGTGTTTTCTCCAGGCCGCAGTCGTAGCAGCTGGTGAGGCATAGATCCCACCTTCACTGGTCGTGGTCTATGAGCGTCTAGGGGATAGAGATAAAAATGGTGTGTAAAATAGAAGAATAACAAAATTACCAATACTTCAAAACACAAATGCTGAGTGACAAACCAGAACAAATATTGAGGCATGAATGAAATTTCTTGTGACATCAAGGTTGTATAAGCATCGTATATGTAGCTATGTACTTGCAAAATAGATATCTAACAAAATAATAGCGAATGTCTTTTCCCTCGTCTCCTAATGCGTTCCAAGAACTCAAATCTAAATAATGCAAAACTCCGGTAGGAAACCCTATGCACATGCATTCTCCACCAAAACATGATTTGTAAAGAAAATCCAGTCAGTATCTCAAAGCAATTTTAGAACCAAACCAGAGAAAAGGAAAGTACCTCGCCATTCAACGATTTTCACCCCTCACACATTCCTCAACGCAGCAGTAACACCCGACACAAACGTCTCCTCCCCAGCTAACCTTTTAATCTTCATACTCTGTCCACCACCACCACCCCTCCCCTCATTCCTTAACAGCGTAACCCTCGCCGGCATAACCTTCTTCGTCGTCGTCGGCGTCGCCAAAGTGCTCGCGCGACTAGCCCTCGTCGTGCCGCTATCGAACAAACTGCGAATCCCCGGCGACATCAACGTCGTCGCGCTCAGTGAAGGCACCATAAGTGACGACGTCTGCGTGGACGAGAGTTGTGGCCGTGTAAGCGGCGTTGAGGGACCGATCGCTGCTGTATTCCAGACGTTTGATGGGACGGGGCCAGATGGCATGGCTGGACGCAGCGCGGGACGTTTGGGTTGAGCGGGTGCGTGGAGGATATCGTAGCGTGCTTTTCCTATCCAGAGCATCTGCTCGTGTTCGCGGAGGTAGCGTTCCCCGCCGAAGGATTTATGGACGATTTCGCGACTGCGCATACCTAGAGCACGTCGTTGTTCGGTTTTAGCGTACATCCGCGCGGTGATGCCTGCTACTTCGTCGGGAGTGGGTTTGTCTGTTATGGTTGGGCATTTGAAATCGGAAGGGTCTTCGGCGTAGGATGACCATTCATCGAGGAGGGCTAGGAAGTTGATTTGGGCGCGGGCGAGATTGCGAGCGTCGTTGGGTGCGACGACGGCGCTGTAACATGCTCCTGTGTCTGGATCCGTGAGGACTCGTAGAGATGCACCTACGTCGGTGCAGACTACGGGGGCTCCTGTGAGGGCTGCCTCTCCGAGGGCAAGCGGGAGGCCTTCAGAGATAGATGAGTTCAGGAAGACCCAGGTCTTTGCGAGAACGGTGGAGGGATTTGCTTCTCCACGCATGTTTACGAAGCGCGGAAGAGATTTAGAGGCTATGATCTCGAAGCAGTCGGTTGAGTATGATGGTGCTTTGTCGACTGCCCCGTAAATATCAAGACGATAGTCAGTGAACCCCCATTCATTTACTATTATATCCGCTGCCAAAATGGCAGTTTTGATGTCTTTTGCATACCAAACATGCGACAACATAGTAACTGTTGGAAGCTCGGATGTGATCTTTTTGATCGGTGCGAATTTGGACATGTCGGGGATGCCGTTGACGACGGGATCAATCTTTCTCTTGAATGTGTTGCGGTGTTCAAGTCGACCCTGGCTGCTGCCAATCTCGACCTCCCAGCCTGGATTGAAGAAGTCGGCACATGGTAGTATAGTATCGGCATGATGGAGGATTAATTGACTGGTAACTTTCATGAGTCCCAGCAAGGCGTTTCGCACAAAAGGTGCCATGGTGCAGAGATCTGAAGACAGATAGAGATTTGTTTCGCGCCAACTTATAGCATGGTCCCAAATTTGCAGCGTAGACCCACGTTTTATTTTGCAAACGATACCGTAGGAAGCACTGACACTGTGGTGAGAGGCCTGAAAGATTGCAGGTATGCGTTCTGGTATAGGTATTGACATAATGAACAGATAACGATGCCACAGGTCTAGCGCAGCATCGAGTTGAGCGACCGATGGAATCTCTGTTTGGAACCAGGTCTCCGACGGAGTTGGACTGACCAGATCTTGGCTTATCCAAAGGTTTCGCCATGCCTTTTTAACAACATCGCTTGTCCATATAGCACTCCAATGCTTGGAATCTGAGAAGTAGGTGTTAAGGTTCACAAGAGCTCGCGTCGTTTGAGCAATATCAGCCATGCTGAAATTGGATGTTCGAGCTCCTTTGACAAGAGCCGCAAGGATTGGTAGGAAATTACTTTTCACATCTAGTTTTGTGGCATATCTCGGTATGTGCTCAACCTCCGCATCTAGGCGATCCTTAAACAGACCATGGGTGGGCGTCATGAAATCCAATCCCCAAAGCGGGATGACTTTTAAGCTGCGTACGTTCATCTCGGTCTAGTGGGTAATTAGCGTGTAGACCACCTATAACTGAGAACAACTTACTTGATGCTTTGGAAGACCAGAATCGTTCGCTGACTCGGCTATCATGTGCCAATTTACAGAGCGAAGATTGTTGATCATATCCCGTCGGCATGCCGATACACCTCCACCTTCATTTGGCCAGGTCCCTGAATCAAGAGCAAGAACTTGTAACTCGCCATTATCAAAATCGGGAGCTTTCTTCCTCGTGCGGCTATTAGCGTCGCCACCCTGGCCGAAGCTGTAAAGATCCCCTATTTTCATTGCTAGAGGCGCCCAGCCGGAAATGGAATTGTCCAAGTCGACAGTCGCCATAATCGCGTCTGCATTCTCATTCAGGAAGGTTTCAGCTCCAATGAGATTACCACGGTCTCTTCGACGCCAATATGGTCGAAGTAATGGTTCCCTTCTAAGCAGTTGCTCATCCAAGTATCTCATTATGACACCGTCGAATCCGGGCTTTGACTTCCATGCAGTCCAGAGTTTTGATCGCGCACGAGACGTAGAAACACGATTCCGGTGGGTATTGACACCCATCCATTGTGGCAGAGCGTGAGGTGTGAGTGATTTGAAATTGACAAGGGGGTCATCAAATGAGAAGCTTGACTTTGTCGGCTTCTTCAGTACTCCTAGGTGATCCCACTGGATGATTGGGGGCGTGTCTATATCTTCTCCATTCAACGTAGTATGAATCGTTGGGTGAAATTTATGATCGTATGTCCAGTGTGATTCATAAACGTCAGAATCCAGAACGAATGTTGCTTCAGTCACCTGTGAATGCGGAATCCACTTGTCTAGTCTCTCCTGATGTGTAGCCGGCGGTGCTGACCATGACACAGTGCAGGTCAAGTGCGGCAGCGCGAACTCGGCTCTCAAAAGCTCATCTTCAAAATCGCTTCCTTGTCTGTAGTGGCAATTGAACCGGACCAGACTTCCGTTGAGAATATGAGAACCGCTTTGAATAAGACCTCGCGAGTTAAACTGAACGTCCTCAAACTCATTCTTTCCCTCGACGCACTTTCGTGAGATTGGAATGCGAGGGTTGTGAGCTCTACAAAGGCGTTTGCGTTTCTCAGTCTCGCTCTTATCAGGATATTCATATCTGTAAACGTTTATTTTGGCGCCATTATTGAACTCTTCCCTCCTTAATAATAGTTTGCTGCTGCTGTAGGTACTAACACGCTGGAGTTTGGCGTTATCCTCTGGCTCTTTGTCTAGTTTGCCGATATACTGATGGACTTTGAAAGTTCCCCCAGTGCCGTAAGGTGCATGTACAAACGCTGTTGAAAAGCCGTCGGTGTTCTCAATTGAAATCTTTTGTCGTTTCAACGTGACAGTCGTACCTCCGATACGACTCCAGAACGTGCCGACATTCTTGCGACCATGGAGCAAGAATATAGGCATGATCATACTCTGGAGCCATTTTGTATATGTCCAAATACCAGTTGCTAAGAACATTGTGGTGCACGCGACGAATCTTGAGCTGGAGCTCAATGCATATGTAAGTTCTCTCTGGAATTCCGGCTCCGCAACAAAAGCAATTGCCATAAGTTTGAGGCATACACCAATTTTATGATATATTGTGCTGATTGGAGCTTTAGTGTCTTGAAGTATCTCACGTATGGTACGCTGCTCGATCGGTTGTACGACCCGTAAGAATCTGAGGGACTCCAACGAGTCCTGGTGGTGTAAACTCTCATCCAAGTCATCGTCCCTCGAACCAAGTGAGTATTTCCTACAAGCCATCGTAACATAAGCTCCATAGTTGCAACGAGTCAAGAATGTTTTGACTGGAAGCTTCAAAGCCTTGTTGAAAACAAGCCACTCGTTCTGAGACCGTGTGGAGACAGCTTCCTGACCGGTGCATCTCCGTATCACCAAATCGCGAATGTCCCTCGGTAATTCATCCCAAGCGGTTTCTGTCTGTATTTGCAAACTGAGATAGTTCAATGACCGAGTTTCGAGGTGCTTTGATAGTGACTTGGCTTGTGTTGAATTTGGTTCTGATGTTGCTAGATACTCTCGAATACAACTTGACACTGGGGAGTATCTTATTTTCTTGGACTGTGTCGCGGCAACTATCAAAGACTCTGAAAGTGACGAATCATCATGGTTCATACCCATAAAGGTCTCGGCGATTCCGTGAAGAATAATTTCAGCAGTGCTGTCTTTTGTCAGCTTGCAACGTCATGTCTTGATTTGATAGCTTACCTTCGACAAAAATTGTGGATGAGCTTTTCTTGTGGCTCGGAGTCCATCATGGCGCATCCTACCAAGAGATGAAGTCTTCCGTCGAAGAAAAGGCTTAATGCCTTCACATTCTGTGCGACACCATTCATTGCCTTCATCGAGACGCAATCAACAATAACTGTTCCGCGGTCGAATGCCGATATGGTAAGTTCTAGAAGCTCGGTGGCTTCTGGAAATGCCTCTGCGGCGAATTTTGCCAAAGCTGTTCGGGGTTCACGATATTGTTCAAGTGCTTGGAAAATGACTCCTTTGATGTCGATACCAGGATTGCCTTGTGGATCGAGTCGGTAACGTTCTTCCTTTCGCATAGAGCGTAGATTGTTGAAGATGATCTGGAGCTCCTCCTGAGAAAACAGAGGATCCTGTCCAGGGTCAGTGAAAGCGTGATAGCCTCCTATGCGAGACACTGTATCATCGTGCCACGTGAGGGTCGTAGAAGTCTGTTCTTTATGTACTTCCTTCATTTTGATACGGGCATAATAAAGAGAGAGGAATGCCGCCGTCCAAGTCGCAACTCCTAGGGTTACAGTATCGCAGTACATGAAGTCCTGGAAATGATACCTAAGGACCTGGCCTAGGGGAAGGCCAACAATGACAGCTGCTAACAGAGGCTTGAGGCTTCGGGGACCTGCAAATATCTTGGTGTACTACCTAAATGTTAATCGAAGTTCCAGTGCGGTTGCAAAGCCTGCAATCTGCAAAGACTTACCTGATACCATAAGAGACCTGTCAGCTCTGTTAGCCTGCCTAGCTTTGAGAATGTAAGCGATTCTTACATACCTGTATAAGCAAGAATATACGAAAGGAACAGTATGGTCGACTCCTTAGTGCTATCAAAGATCCACAAGAGCACTGAAGCGATTGCTAAACTCCAAACGTGCATTCCAAGATAGCGGCAAAGCATGGTCCAATACAGGTTTCGTCGCGCTGTAACTTCCCGTCTAACAGCCTCAGGAATTGATTTCACATCACCAATGAGCATATTTTGGCCAGCAGCTGTCATTTTATGAAGCTTGGTGGCGTTAAGGTCGAGGAGAACTGCGCCAATAAGGTAATATGCTAGTGCAAATCCGACAGGCATTCTATATTTGGTGTTGTTGGCGGAAAGACCGAGAAGCTGGCCGCCATCAAGTAGCGAGGACCACTTGTCGAGAAGAGCGACGATAAAATATAGAATGCTGCAACCGACCTACAGAAGTGGTTATTACTATATCGCGTCTTAAATCCAGGAATTTAAACTCACTTCGTCTCCGGCTTGACGCCAATGTATGAACGCGTTGTGAAGACGCATACCAGTCTGTAACTGCGTGAGTGTCTGCAAAGCTACCTTTGTCTGCATATTCCAGGTGGACGAATATGGTATAGGAAGGGGAGTTCCAGAATATCCGCTGTACCATTCAAGCAGGAAGACAGTAGCATCGTAGCTTTTTGCAAGTGCTAGAACAAGTGGATCACCACATTTTTTTCGCTGAAACCGTTTTCTCGCATCTGTTACCGCCTTTGTCATCGCCGTCCTCGCAACTTTCAAGACTGCAGGATCGGTCATGCCCGCAAGATCTTTTTCGTTACCGTCTTTTTGCGTTTGAAGGTACCACTCTCGTAAGTTTTGGTCGGTGAGCTTTTCTATCTCTAAATACCATGTCGTCCATTTTGATCCAGTGTGTCGTACCCCAAGAGTGAGCAGAAATAGAAAAGCATATAAGACAGAGACGTAGATATAGATGTCGCGATTGGGGACCCAGATTGCGACCACGGGGGAGATAAAAAGAAAGGGAACAACCATCACAATCACCGGACGTCCCTATTTGTGCTATTAGTAGAGCCACATGAGAGATCTAGCAACAACTCACTGATAGAAATCCCGACCCAGGATATTGAAAATTGGCTAGAGTTGCTAGCAAACACAAGTAAGTTGTCAGAGCGACAAGGTATAGAAAAAAGACAATTCCCGCATTAAAACCATTCGTAGCGCTCACGGCTATGAGTCCGATGGTGGCAATAGCCAAGGTGAAGGCAAGACCACCAACCAATCTGGTCATTACAAACATGTTCATCGCTGAAAAAGCCATCGAGATAAGGTAGTAGGATCCACCACAGGTAATCCAGGTACCTACCGCTCCCGAAATTAGCAGCGAAATCATAAGAGCAAGAGTTGCCGAGTGCTTTTCATCGTCGCTCATAGACCCACTTAGATAGAGTCCTCGGCCGGTTGTGGTAAGAAGAATAATATCCAAAAGCGCCGGGATGGCGAAGACGCTCAGGAATGTGGCTCTTTGGTGCATTGACATAGAAGACATTTTAGTGTCCGGGTCGACGTCAATTTTTGCGGCAGCGTAAGCTGACTGAGTTGTAGGGTTCATGTCCGACCAGATTGGAGGTTCATATCCTGCCCGATGGTGATAAGCTCTGTACCTATCAGATAGTAGCTTTCCAAACGCGCTCGGCGTGAGATCAAAATATGCCTCACAACGAGCTCCAGTAGCGAAGAGTTCAGCAAAAGCCGCTGCTTGATCGCTCTGATCGTTGAATAAAGTATTGCGATCCGTTACTTCCATGTATGCCTCATCGAATGCATGCCTTCGCATAGCACAGAATACGGAAAATGCAATCATGTCTACTCTAGAGTCGATACAATCAACTTCAAACGCCTCGGCTAAGCCATCGGTTATCTCAGAGAGAATGGCAAAATTCCTTTCCCGGAGAATCTTTGTGATGACCCTATCGATACGAAGAAAGTTATCCAAGCATGACGAAAAGCTGGGGTGATGGCAGCCCATTTGTTGATACCACTCAACGCGGGACCTTATCAGGTCACAAGCTGATTCACGACCACTAAGGTAACCAGTCGTGCCCACTTCCTTAATTTGAGCGAAGTCCGTACAGTCCAGTAATTGGTTTTCGCACGCCAGCCGAATTAAGTTCAACAAAGACGAGTCCCCAGTGGCTGTAGTCAAATTGAGCATTTGGAGAAATCCAAGTAGTTCCGTTGGTGATAGAAGAGTCAGGTCATGTTGTATTCTCGGCGAGAGATTTGAAGAACGGTCTAGGCGCTTGAGCCATCCAGAGTAGCATAGTTCTGCCTGGAAACACTGATATCTTGAGAACCCTCGGCTGGACAAGAATGTGTGGAGTATTGCCGTCGCAAAATCCGGAACATTTCTGGATAAAAATATGTCTAGAACCTGCTCCTCATCAAGGGAGTACACACCCCAAAATCGAACGCCTGGCCGTACCTGAAAGCCTTGATCGAGACCAATGTGGATTCGCAGATCGGAACCGTCTGAGGTAGCTTGGGAAAGTAGGTGAGCCAGGTCTGCCATTGCGTTTAGACAATCAGACAAGTGATCTAAATTTTCGTCCTCAAGAAAGTCGCAAAATTCTGACATACTTTTGCCTATGCCGTGAATTGTTGGTAGTTTCATGTCCTCTAATAGGTTCATTCCCTTGAAACGCGATTGATATTGCATCACCTCTAGGAATGCTTTATTAGAAATTTCAAGGCCAAGCGGAAAGCATCCAAGATAGTCGTAGGATAATCCACTAGGTGATTTTGATATTGGATTGCCAGTACTTTGGTCCCAAAGAGAAAGCCACGTGAGCGAGCCGACCGAGAGTGACGCAGAACTAAGCGACACCGTTGGGGTTGAAACTCCGCCATCAATTATCGATTTCATGGAGTCTGACGACCACCCGTTTATGCTCTCTCCATCATATGTGCCGGTAGAACTGATAGTGGCCCGTTCAAATGCATTTTCATCATATAGTAAACAGGGGTCGTTCGACGCAGCGGCGGGAAGATCTGAGAGAAGCTCCTGAAGCTTTTTTACGGGCAAAGTTGATTCCACGATGTAGTGGGGGTGGATCTGGTCTGTGTTAGTGTCAATCTTGTTTGAAATATTCGGTGCTCAACTAAACAGTTGAAACGCGAGGTAGAGACTGACGGTGCAGTTAGAGCGCCATTTGTTATGAAACTGCATGACCTTCAATTCCTTCAGCCAATCAAACGCACCAAGTGGCTCTATCTGCTTCAGACACAACTCGGCAGATTCAAGGGCATTTTCCGACCCTATCCATGGTATCGCACTGTAGAATCTTGACCACTGGTAACTTCTCTTGACGACAGCGTTCAGGGGTAAGGCATCTTGATCCAGCGTTTCCCAAAGCAATACAACAAAACTCCTCAGACATGCTTGAGAGACGAACGCCTTAATCGTGGGTCGCATGGCAGACATCTGGAATGCATCTCGCTCTTCGCCGTTTGGGGAGATGGTACCATTTCGAATAACAATACCCTTGACTTCATCTAAATTCGCAAGTTCCGCATCGAAAAGAAAAACGGGAGCTGCCGCTTCGAGATACGCACAAAGACCAAGTGAGTCAACAAGATACAGGAATTCTTTCAGTAGCGGCACAGTAAGCTGATTTTCCCAGTTGCTGATCAGAACGCCAGATATTATGTTGTTGTGACTAGAAATGACTTTGCAGGTCTCCATCAAGTTCTGCAGCCACTCTGTGATGCATATGAGCGCTTCGACGTCTACGACGCCAGCAACTGTGCGAACATCAAGGCGGGCAAGTGCTTGCGAGGGTAAGGAGTACCGCCCACTCAGCATTGCTTCCACGATACCGGGCCGCAAGGGATCAAAAATGAGTAAGTCCCATTGTGCTAGAAGCCTTATTTGATACTGAGTTGGAGGACTCGCAAATTCGCCGAGATATACTCCATAACTTCCAGGTCTACCCTGTATTCTTTCGATACGACGGTGGGAGAGGGTTTGAGCGGCGCCATTCATGAATGCCCTGACCGACGCTGAAGCCCGACGAGGAGTCGACCTGTGTTTCTAAAGGACGTTAGCTAGATTCTTGGAAACCGAATCGCTGTTGAGGGAGTTTTTGGAGAGCATATTTGTCAATTGGCAAATCACACACGGAAAATATTTCTCTTCGAACAACGTACCGTCCATCTTTCTCGAAGTTTAATGAACACTGTGTACGAGATAAAAGAAGCACCGATTCCTAGCGAAAGGAGAATGAAGGCGATGAGGATCTAAAAACTCATCAGCAGAAACTTCTTGCTTAAACAGGAATGAGTTTTACGAATTGCCACCAGTCTATGAAGAGGTCTGTATAGTCCCCGGACGCAACACCGGTGATAGCAGCCATCTGAATGTACAAAGTATCTCAGAGTCGTGAGACAATGCTGAGAATATACATCAAAACACAGGTAACGAATAGCAAACGACGAATATCTTGCATGTAAACATAGCCGTGACGAGAGCATAAGGGTTACCAACATTTACTTCACTCGGCACTGCGTGGCAGAATAACAGGTGGAAGTAGCATAATTGAAAAGCAGGATGATCCAATGGCTAGAAAAATATGAGGGGCATGAACCACAAGTACACATTTACCAAGATCCTAAAGGTTACTTCCGCTCAGGCGAAGTAAGCTTTTCGAGAGCTCTTGCCCGAACCACATGTTGATGAGCATTTGCTATTCAGGATCCACGATGGCGAAACAAGTTGTATCCAATTCGGGCCGCCAGCCACTTCCTTCGACTGAAAGATGGAAGAGGAGAGAGTGACCCAAAAAAAAAGAGCCAAGGAGCGCCTGGCTTCCGTGGCGGGGTCCCCAGATTTCGGCGGTCAAAGGCTGAATGTTGCATCCTTTGCATCCATATAGACGAGGAAATCTTCGAGAAACGGCAGTGGAAGGCGGGGATGATGTCCTCACACGTGGCACAGAGACCTTTTCTGCAAACAATATAAGCTCGACTGCACCAGATAGGAATTGAATTGCAGGGAAGCGATCACGCCGACTACAATAAATATTGCAATGCCGCTCCTCTGATGGATCCTGCAAAGCGTATTCATTGAATCATTCTCGGCCATTCACATAAGTGCTGGTGGTATCACTCCAGAAATGGGATTCTTTGTACAGCTTGACAAGCGGAGTTGAAATGTCGGGCAGACAAATTAAAGAGATAATCACCGCGACCATCTAGGATGTCCTCAGTGGTGTGACGACGAGCGTAAGCGTGGTCGAGGATGATGGCATGAAGCCGCGTGATGAACGAAGGGGGCCATATCGCTGTGGGTACTGGAGCAAGGACAGATTTGCAAGTGTATAGCTGACTTCATACAGACGGCTCAATCGGATAGCAAGTAGGAAATGACGAGGTTTGACATTGGATGGTTGATGTTCAAAGAGAAATGAACCTGCACGTTTACGATAGACGAAGGCAGAATGATATTGGGGCTAAAAGAGCCCCACTTAAGTTCCACTATTAATTGGTTCCGGTATAACTTCGGTCTAGCAAATACAGTTGATGCCTCAGGCTCAAATTAATATAGACTTACCAGATTTCGGCGTGAACACCACAACTCTTCACAAGAGCCACCAAAGCTATCACATACATGCGCTATACCAATGGCGAATCTCTTGAGCAAAAATAATTACCTCGATTTATAACCGAGTACTTAGGAGGGGTGGATAACGGTAAGTGAGACGTGGTTCTCCAACGGCTTTTGGTTTTGACAAACATCCTCACAAATCACGGCTTCGGAGAAGCCACCCTATGGCAAGCATCAAATACTCTCCAGCCGAGGCTACTGTCATTTACCATAGGAATTTTTTTTCCAGGGCTATCTGCATGCTATATTGACGGCAATCTTGTGATGCCAGGAACAATACATCAAGGGTACGCGTTATTTAAATGGAAAGCGAAAGGGAAAGACAGAAGCGAGAAACAGACCACCAGAACCGCTCCGGGAGTGCAAAAACTGGAAGTGTAAAGCGCGTAGGGCTCAAAGCCAGGCGAGCTACCCCAGAGTCTCTTTCTTCCAGGTTTGGATTCATCCACAATGACCCTTGGCGGCTATAGCAAAACAGCACAACCACATTCACCACAGCATAACAATTTAAGCTACGGCACTTCGTTGTGTTTCTCCATATACTGCTAATACGAATGAGAATTCTCGGTTTCACCCTAGCTACCGTTCTTTACCTTAAGAATTGCTTTCCAAACTCGTAAGCATATTCTGCCGAGTTGGTCACGCTTCTCGATCCGTCGTACATACACGACACTAGCTGAAGTCAATGGGATGAATGTTCCATATGTGGTGACCCAACATGGATTATTGCTTGAAGCAAGCAACGTTAAGCCGCTTTTGTGGTTGTTGCCAATCCCAATCAATCTCGCTTGGGCTTCAGTCGAATAATGTCTGATGTCCACGCGTATTGTTCAGAGTTTGCAATGGCACGTTGACTTTGGTTACTTTGTGGTAGCAGACTCGTCTCCGGCTCCTTTCAATTTGCGGCATGTTGTCTTGTATATATTCCAGTCAACATCTTTTTCGGGCTTTTAAATATCACACCTTCTTCGATCGACGAATGAGTTGCCGTTAAAAGTTCGTTGCCGAAAAAAATGATGAGGACCTGCTTCACCTTGGCCTTGTGCCTCACTGCGGTCTATGGGTGCCGTGACAATCGACTCAATCTGAGACGAACAACTGGCGAGGATCCGATCAACAGCGATCAGACTGTGATGCCCCAGCTCACTGATTTCGCACCTCTGGTTTCCATTTCGGTTAATCGACTAACTGTTAACGTCAACACTTCAGCACCAGTCGTTGCTGAAGCCCCTCCCGCACCAATCATAGCTACCACTGTGTCTAGCACAGTGTTAGTAATTGCCCGAGACCCCACCAATGCATACTCGGCATACTCTGGTCTGAATGATTATGGTATACCATACCAGTTGCTGATAGTTCCTGCCCAAGGAGCAACCCTCCCCAAGCTTAATGAAACTTCAACCCAAGGCAACTTCGGTCTCATAGTCGTGCAGTCAGAAGTCAGCTATCTCAACCCCAAGACAAACACATATGGTAGTGCCTTGACCGATGCACAATGGGCGTCAATCTACAGTTATCAAACGTCGTTCGGTGTTCGTTTGGTTCGATTGGATGTTGCTCCGTCAGCTTCAACGGGTACAGCATCACTTGGAGGCTGTTGCAACACAACCGAACAGCTGGTCTCTATTTCTAATGATGCTGGATTTACTACTGCTGGACTCAAAACGTAAGTCTACTATGGTACTTAAACTTCTGAATATTGCTAATGGACTTCTAGTGGCGCAACGCTGGGGACACTCGGGTTGTATCACTATCCCGCTAACATCACAGACCGCACAATCGCCACTGAATTTGCTCAATTTGATGTCGCTACCGCTGAAGGCTTCAAGTCGAAGTCAACCGCTGGTGTTATTAACAAGATCAACGGAAGAGAACAGGTTCGTCTTAGACTCCTGACTGTTCGCACTATTGACTCAAATTGATTAGATGGTATTTTTCATTGGCTCTTCTACTGACTGGAGCTTGACTTCTAATTTCTTGCAACATGCTTGGGTTCACTGGGGAACTAGAGGCCTTTGTAAACATTATCCTACGCTTCCCCAAAATGTAGCTGCTAATTCGCTTAGATGCTGGATTCCGCAGAGCGATATTTACTCCACAAGGTAAGTCGATACCCCCAAATTCGTGACTATATGCAAAATACTGACTGGTCCCAGTTGATGATATCTTCTTGTAAGTATCATCTTATATCTAATATCAACCTGCTAATTAACCACTAAGACTTACTCCACTGTATGATCACAACACAACTGAGTTTCGCGTGCGAGGAGCCGATTTGGACAATCACGTGGCATGGATTCCAAAAATTACCAAGAAACTTAATACTGGAAGTTCTTGGTTTATGGAGATTGGGCATAATGGAAACGGAAATATTGAGGTTCGTTCGCTCCTATGAATGCCTTGCAATGTGCTCACATGACCAGGAAACTGAACTCACCCAAAATGATGAAAGCCTTTGCAAGCCTGGCGCAAGTATGTAGATTCAACAGCACCTGTGGCAAAAGGAGTATGTTTACTAATTCAACAACAGTCGAATACGCTGATCAAGTCGACACACCACTAGAATTTGTCAAGCCATTAGGATCAGGAACGGATTTGTGGCCTGCGAAAATGGTCACTTACGCCAAAGATGGAAAATACACCTCTGATTGTATTGAAAACGACGAGTTGATGCAATGGTTCATGGATTCTGACAATCTCAACTCATTTGCCCACATTTCTCACACGTTCACTCATATGGATCAAAACAACGCGACCTATGCCGATGCATTAAGAGAAATCACGTGGAACACAGCGTGGCTTAAGTCTGCTGGGCTTTCTAAAGCGAAGAAATATACGGTCGATGGTATTATTCCTCCAGCTATCACTGGTTTACATAACGGAGATGCACTTCGAGCTTGGGCAGATGCCGGTATTAAGCATGTGGTTGGAGATAACACTCGTTCTATTCTTCTAAATCAGGTATGAAGCTACTGAGCTAAAAAAGGGACAATCACTAATTTCCTCTGCAGGATAATGAGCACTGGCCAGTAATTTCAAATAAAGCCATAAATGGATATGATGGTATCCAGATTATCCCGCGGTGGGCATCAAACATCTACTATAACGTTAGACTCTTTCCTCACTAATCATTAGGCTTGCTAACAGTTACATTCAGTGCGATCTACCAGCTTGTACAGTAGCAGAATGGCAAAAGTTCTCATCCGGAAAAGGCGATTTCAAAGATCTTCTGGTGCTCGAGAAGAACACCAACGTCCGACATCTTCTCAGCCTCCGCCATGATCCTTTCATGTTCCACCAAGCCAACATGAGAGTAGACGATGTTGCAGACACTACCGTGAACGGAGTCAAGGGACAATACTCGCTCTTGATGGCATGGGTCGACACAGTAGTAACAGAATTCGTACGCTTAGTGAAATGGCCCGTTGTTTCCCAAAAACAAGACGAGGTAAATTCAACACATCAAATCATTCTTGCTCTATTTACTGACAATTGCATAATAGCTTGCAGCATCATTCATGTCCCGTATGAACCGAGACGCATGCAAACCAGCCCTCAGCTGGACAATCGACACCACCGCCAAAACCATCACAGGCGTAACACTATCCGCCAAAGACCTCAGCTGCAAAGAAAAACTCCCAGTTACACTTCCCGGCCCCGTTTCCAACGTGCAAGGCGCAACGAAGGAACAACTCGGCTCTGATCCTCTAACACTCTGGGTAACGCTGACCGGCAAACCTGTCACTTTCACTCTGACTACACCAATACCGCTTTCAGCGGCATAGTTACGGGCATGTTTGGGTCATACAGAAGTTGAGCTTACACAAGATCCGTGCTACCAAATTCAATGTTATTTTCTGCATTTTCATTTCAGTGTAATATCCCTGCATCAACTCAATCCACCGATAATATATCGCACATAATCGCACGACATATCGGCATCTTATTGCTTCACAGTCCCATCCTTCAATTCCTCACTTCCCATCACGACGTTGTAATTCGGGGCCGAAAAGTTTAATATGTAATCAAAAATTGTCCAAATCCATTACCACTTGCATTGTCAGTTCATATAAACCATTCAAAATACAACGTTCACAACATGAGTGATCTTTCTTCAACCATGACACCATCAGTGCCAATATCCATTCCCGCACGCGAATTCCTTGCTGCATCCACGGAACCGGCTAAACGATCCGCAAGATCCAATATCAATCAAATCGAGATGTCCAACCCCAGTCCCAACATCACATTCAATCTAACAATTTCCGCAAAAAAAACTCCCTCATCCACCAGAAAATGAAAAATCCTACTCTAATCACACCTGCTCCCCAGATTTTCCCTCGTGGGTACTCTCATCGCCAAGACACGTCACATCCTCATTAAAAGAAAATATACGATGGTACTTCACGGCCCAACGTACAATCTGCAGTGCCAAGTCCCCACGTTCCTGAAGATCACTGCCGACAAGTGCCACTCGCTCATTTACAATGCCACGAAGGACGATCATGGTAGTCTTTTAACTTGCTCACGCCATATCTCAGCCTTTTTGTGCTTGGCCGTGCGGCTTCAGGCTGATGGAAAAGGGGGGGGGGAGCATCCCGAGCCGGCGCTTCCCCGAGAAGATGGGACTCCGAGGGGACGGCTTGAGGCAGAAAGCCTGTGCTGATCATTCGGTTGTGCATGAACGTGTCCCATAGCAGAATAACAGGGTGACTTCGAGCCAAAAGGAAAGCTCCGGTATGCGGCTGTTGGAAGGCTATGTTTGTTCAAGCTAGAGATCTGTCTACGTGGCGTTTTTAGACAGTCATCCGTGTGCATAAAGAATGGAGATCCGCAACATGGATGGGAGGTGCCGTCATGTTGGTACTGAATGACTTCCGTAGATGAAGCTTACTACCGCACCTGTAGCGGTAGATTTTCCTGTCAAGGAATATTTGCTACTGGGTCCATTAATCAGAAACAGCAATGTCAGAAGACAGGTTCAGTAATTTCTTTAGCTTCCCAACAGACCAGCCGACCTTGAAAATGGTGAGATCTTGGTGATGTGATGGTGAAAAAAGTAGATTGAATTGTGAAATCTTTGAAAATCGGTAGACGCGACAGAGATCCTGTGGAATCCTTTGCTCCGAAAGGTTATTTACCATGTGGACACGGCAAACTCAGCCTCATCGACCCTGGAATTACATGGTTCCCCACGAGATCTGAAGAAAAGTGCAAACTATTGCGTAAGCTTATACTTTATACTTAATTGCTCTACTTGTTCTATGTAACTGTAACCTTAGCGGAATAAAAAACTCGCAACTGGCCGACGATCTCTCCTATTATTCTATCAAACACTGTCAGCATCTCGCTGTCAGTCATCTTGAGGCATAATTTAATCCCTCAATTAAGCCATCGAATCATCGAGTCAACTGCCCGAAATACGAAGTGCAATTTGATTTTCCTTTGCGAAGAAAAGTCGTCAGCATGTCATCCGGTGGCATCTTCCCATACTCGCGATACCCCACTGAGGATGTACAACCGAAGAAGAGGTTCACCAATCGCTGCAAATACTTCACAGTCACGACTATTTTCGTTATTGTAGCGGTAGTTGTTGGTGTTTACCTACTGGCTCGAAGACAGCGTGGAGCAACAGTGCCGGAGGATCACTGATTGTCTCCAAATTGAGGATGCGGAACGGTAGATGGAGCTTAGAAATTCGGAGTTGACGGTAATCCAAAAGCTTGTATTCTGTTGTGTTTGAGACTAGTGAAGCTGTAGAAATGGTATGTGTCAAATCTTGTACCCTACCAAGCCAGATTATCACAACTTTCTGCATTTCATGATACACGGAAACTAAGTGAAACTGTAGCCTTCTACTCGCATTCAGCTGTGTCTTTCATTTTCTTGGAGAAAGGGGGTTGACGACGAGCATTCGACAAACCAGACAACTTCGTCGTTGAACTTTTCAACTATATCTTTGGGCAGGGTACCGGTTACACGCAAGCGCAGCAATCATCATGCAACAAGGGCAACAAGAGCAACAAGAGTAACCTAAACTATTGCTACATGTCCTCCGATCTCGGATTCAGACTAAACTTGCAACAGCTGTTTACTATCGTAAAATCAAATTCAATGAAAACTGACTACGGGAAAGCCTAAGTGGCAAATCACAAAGAAAAGAAAAGGCTAGATGCTATAGGGCCGCATAGTATTACTCCCATAGAAGATGCGCTAAGCGTAGTCAACTGGAGGCAATAGAAACACAAATAAAAAGCTCAAAGCTAGAATCTCCAAGTTCGTGGCGAAAAGTCTGTATCTTGAAGTGAAAAGTGACCTGGTAGTAGACTAGCCTCCTGGTCCTCCTTTCGGACGCTAGCTCTTTGCCGAAATAAACTGCTCGTTGACGGTTGCATACGGCGGTGGAGTTCCTCTGCTGCTTGCATTCGGTACCAAATCCCAGAAGATCTACTTCGATCAGGATCGAAAACCACTCGTGGATTAAATTTATTTCTGGTGCACTTAAGAACAGGCTATAGCATATGCATATAGGCTAGGTCTCATTCACAGTCGTAGAATCGCCTGTGAAAACGCCATCACGCCTCCCATCGACATCTTGATATGCATCGAGTTTACGGCGATGCACTTCGTGTACTCAGAATCGACATGCATACCATGAAACGATCACAGTTGACCACACCTGATCCGGAATCTGATGTAGGACAATCCTGGATCCAAAAGTGTTTAGCCGAGATGTATAATTAAGCGAGGAATTCAGGGGTTAAACAGACTAGCTCTGGAGCTCAGGAACCATTAGTTTGAACACGTCCGATAAAGTACGTCCGTACAGATATGTACAATAAGGGAATGTTTCCCCAAACAGGCGTGCGCCAGCTGATTTTGAGATTAACTGCAAAGGTGCGGAGACCCTTAAGAAGAAAATCATATAATTCTCACCCCGCGATGCGTTGAGACGAAGCCGGAAGGTATTTTCCTTGCGCGACACGACGTGAACACTATGAAAATCACTCGATTTCCCAGCATCAAGACTCGCATCATATCGACCATGAAGTCGGAACGGTGCCGCGCGTACATGGCAACGATTCGACAGCCATACTACCCTGAATTTGTGGGGTATTATCCAAAATACATACATACTGCAGAAACAAACAACTCGATACGCATCCGATCTTCAGAAAGTCATAGCAGTGATAAAGCCGGCATTTGACTCTAGAATACGGCAGACAGCGTACGGGTGAGATTCCGAGGCTCGAGCAGCAATAATTGAGTGCTCGACCATGACTTCGAATGAACGGGATTGAGGGCCGACGAGCAGTTGAAGAGCACTGTTGCCCCTTTACTCATCACATAGAGCAAGCTTCGAGATGAATTTTCGGTCCACGCAGAACGCGGAAGTTTAATGGTACTGAGCGACCCATCCGGACAGAAATTTACCATGAACGGCGAAAGATCGACAGTGTGCATGAAGGATTCATACACTGGCTGGAATGCGAGTGTACAGAGTCAGTAAGATGCTCCATGGGGAAAGAATCTTGTTCCTCGTTGTCTCAATGTATATGCAGACGTTGTGTTGTGGTACCATGTGCAGATAGCAATCCATGTTTCTGTAGGAGATGTCCGGCATGCCATGCAGTCCCCGAGGATAATATCAGCCTCAACCCAAAGTAATTTGCAAGGCTCACAACTCACCAGACTTGATGCAATGCTGTGAAGAATGATGTCTTCATACGACAAAGTTGTTGCACCGGTAGCAGCTTCTCAATTCCCGTTTTTCGCCTGGATAAAAGCACGTGTGGGATCTCCAATACAGTAGATATTTTTCTCATCCATGCCACACGTCGTGAAACAAGAGCTAAAGCCTGTAGACTATTTGATGGTGAGATCGATGCAGTTTGAACATATCAATGGCGAATAGTTTCCTAAAATGTAGGTTGGGGGCCGAATTCAATCGAACGACAGCAGTACGGGCAACATGAACACACTGCATGATACCAATGCCAACTTTGCAGTCTTCATCATCATAAAGTAAATAGGCAGCCTTTTCCGAAAGTTACATATGTGGTGCTCCCAAGTATAAACTGCATTAGAATCGATAAACGCGAGGAATTGGTGTGAAGCCTTAGTCGTTGAATCATCGAGGCAACAAGTTCCAGCATCAAGATGAGTTTGCCAAGCCACCAGGGGGTCCATTTTTCAAGCCTTTTTGAGAAGTAGAAAGTCGATTCCGAAAATCCTGCTTTCTATCATGCTCGGTTCAATGGCACTATCTTCATGATAGTTTAGAATGATACTATACATTTTCAACTCCTACAAGAGACACAGCGTTAGCACATGGTATAAAAATTGAACATGCATGGATAAATTCTTAGCAAGCAGCAATGATAAGTTGGTTATTCTCCGATGTACCCCGGATTTCTCCTTCGGCATAACCGCTGTACTGCTTTATTTCGGTCCAAGGCGGAGGAAATTAACTTCAGATCGTGTAACACCGGAGTGCGATATACCACATTGAAAAGATAAAAGTGCGAGTTGGTAGAGTTATAACATCGATGATACTGGTGATATGGCCAACTATTCGAAAAAAGGTCGCGGAGGGCGATAAGCTGGTGCCTGGCCGGTACCAAGTGTTTGACTTGTCCACAATATGCACAAGAAATTTGAACACAACGTGCCGGCTCCTCTGGACCTCTGTGCGTGCGTTTTCGAAGCCTTCTAGAAGCTTACTCCCAATTTAGACGCCTAAAACAATAACCGTTTGAATTCCCACGGCTGAGCGGGATCGAGAACTTGGAACTGAACCGAATTGGGCTAAGAATCATCATCCGGCGCAAATTTAATTGTGCGAAATGATTATGAGCTTGAAAGAACTTTTCCTTTCAATCAAGAGGTATAAAGGGCTGTATACTGCAGATCGATAAGCTTTTTCGCAGCCTATTCCCAAGTCTTCAGTCACAAACATAATTTAAGCGAAATGCCTTGCAGTACATCCACCTCTGGTGCGTCCACTCCAGGACGATCCTCGGAATCAGAGTACGATGATAGCTGGACGCCCTTCACAGAACGATCAGTTCTCTTTGACGATCATGATATCGAGGTTGCGATTCAGCAATCAACCGAGTCCCAGCATATTCTCGTTGTGGGTGGGTGTGGATTCATCGGATCTCACACAGTGTGGGAGCTTGCCAAAGCGGGATACAATGTAATTCATATCCCGTAGATGGGATTATTGAACAAGACTGATATTTCGAGATAGGTTGTAATCATCGACAACCTCAGCAATGCGTTCGGCTCCGTCTTCGAAAGGTTGCAGGAAATGATCGACAATCATTACGATACTGTCAAATTGGGATCTCGTCGACCTTCGCTTAAACTTTTCGAATGCGATTATCGAGACTCTCAGAGGATGTCATCGGTTCTTGAGAGCTACGAATTACTCGCAGAACACCCACATGGTTCGAGATACCAACGTCAATCGCGTATCTCTGGTGTCATACACTTCGCTGCGTTCAAAGCCGTCGGAGAGAGCATCAAGCAGCCGCTGAAATACTACGCTAATAACGTAGGGGGCCTGATTGACTTTTGTAGTCTTTTGGGAGACTTTGGAGTCAAGAACTTTGTCTTCAGCTCCTCCGCCACTGTGTATGGTACCGTTGCAGACATGGGGGTCCCACTCCGCGAAGAGTACTGCAGTCAACAAACAACAGTATTCGTTGACGAAGACGGACAAAAGAAAGTGGTGGAATCTGGATGTGCTGGACTGACAAATCCCTATGGTCGAACAAAGTGGATGTGCGAAGCAATATTAAGTGATCTTGCACATGCCGATCCAGAATGGACCATAACCGCACTTCGATATTTCAATCCAATAGGCTGCGACGAATCTGGTCTGCTTGGAGAGGATCCTCGGGCAACTGCCACGAATCTCATGCCAGTGGTACTGAGGGTAATGTCAGGAGATATCCCAACGTTAAGCATATATGGCGACGATTATGATACCCCCGATGGAACCGCTGTTCGGGACTATATCCACGTCACAGATCTTGCATTGGGACATTTGGCGGCTCTTAAATCTCGTTCTGATCGAGGATTCCGGGTGTACAATCTGGGTAGCGGGCAAGGCTACTCCGTCCTAGAGGTCGTAGCGGCAATGGAGCGAGTTTCACAGCAGAAAATTCCCACCAAACTCGTCGGTAGACGAGATGGGGATGTTGGCATGTGTGTTGCGAAGGCTGGTCGTGCGCGAGAGGAATTAGGATGGCGAACAGAAAAAGACCTTGAGGCTTGCTGTCGAGATATTTGGCGATTTCTTGAGCGAGTTGCAACAGAATCAAAGTAGCGGACGCATTTGGTGGGCATCTGGAACATTTTGTGCATTGGCGATCGGTGTTGCAGGAACGCCCTCACATTCGAGAGGGCACCGGAAGTTTTATTTTGCATAGCTGGGTAGCATATCTTGTCTTGATGGGATTCGAGGATGGCTTTTTGCTTGAAGTTCATGGTTCTTTGGTCGTTATGTTGGTCATGTTGAATATCTAAAGAGGGGAAGTCGGTGGTGCCGTCTCAAGACGGAAGGAGGTGAGGGTGGATCACGTGCTTGGTGGTATCACGTGTCGTTTTACTATTATGTTTTAATAATAACGTTTATAAAGGTGTCAAATTCCCCGAAGATGTGCTATAAAACTCAGCAGTTTGAATTTCTATATTACACTGTCTTGTCATACTGCCAAGCAGCTAATCAAGGTACTACATGAATGAAAAATATATGCTGTATGTTTTCTACAAGTGTTCATGATTTGCAAACGAATGTGATTCCTCGATTCCTCCTATTCTAGATTCTCGGGTCTCTCAATACCGAAATTCGACTTTGTTGACCACCTTGTTCTCCAGCCAGTTTTTAGGACTAATTGGGATCTTTGTACAGCGTCGCCACATCTCAACAGACTCAATCGTTTTGACAGGTTCCAACTCCCTCTTGGCACGATTCCACGATACTGAGTGAGGATTGTCAAAGGATGCCTGGGACGAAACTTCGATTGAAGGACTTGTCTCCCACAGTAAGCTTTCTTGCGTCGCTGGACTTACGGTAGGGGTGGCTGTCCATAAGGTGCTAACCGGAGACGAAGCTGGCGAAGAGGTTGGGATATTTTCGGTTCTGCAAGTCAAGTGTAGCCAATGCTGGTTTCCTGACCCCTTTTGTTGCACTTGGAAGAGGCTGGATGATTGGAGTGATGGAAGTGAGGTGATCTGGGGAGCTGAGACTTTCTTCTCAAGATCATGCAAGACATGGCTGAAAATATCTTCGCGTTGCGGTGATGGCCTCATCTCTGTCAATGACCACATGGCCGTCTGCTTCTGGGTAGGTAGCTCTGATCGTGGGGTCCAGGTGTAGAACTGAACAAACATGGTTTTCAGGTTACTTTGCAGCCAATGTTGTTCTGAAGAGACAACACGAAGTGGCTGCCATAGCTGAGAAGACTCCAAGATCGCGAGATGAGGTGAGGTGTGGTTGGGCACCTTCTTGGTACTTCTGTCGCTGGACGCTGTCATTTCCAGATGGGAATGCCGTTGATTCATTCGCTCTATTGACCATAGATGACTATCGATATCACATGAGCCCACTGTTGGTGGAGACCAGGTCATAGCTTTCTCCTTCTTAGTAGCAAGTAGCCAGGTGTTTTCTGTATACACATCTCGAGTTTTTTGCCAAAGCGAACTAGAACTTAGGGCAGGAAGCTCAAGCGAGACTGGGTTGGACACCTTCCTCGGCAGGGTATAAGCATCAATCAAAGCATCCGTTGCCTTGATAATGACCGGGGAATCGCGCTTGGACCACAAAAGACTGGGGTTGTTGTGAGATCTCACTTTAGATGTACCCAAAGTCCAGGTGAATGTCTTTGGTGGTGAAGTGCTGCATCTGAACAGCCAATTTGGCTCCGATGTTTCGTGCTTAGGAGCCGTCCAGCAAGAGCTTGAATTAAGCTCTGCCATTTCTGTTGGCTCGAGTACTCGAGCTCTCCGTATCGACTCCTCTTTGAGAGAAGCAAACATGGCAGGATTCACTTCTTTCACAGTTGCGGCTTTCGACCAAAGCAACCCAGAAGCTGGGCTTTTGGTGTGGACTGAGCCGTGCCATAGTTCTGGCTTCGGAGAGAATTTGCAGTATCCAATGGCCGCAGGGTGAATATCGGCAGTAGTAGAAGTCATGTTTTTGACGAAAAAGACAGGGTGGCAAACCGAAGCGTCGGATTCAATAGTTGCTAAGATTGGTGTACCTGCAACAACAGCATCTTCAAGAGCAGCTCGCCACATGGCAGGTGTAGCTTCCGGCTTTAGTAATTGTGGTTTGGATGCAGAAATCGCAGCTTCCAATTGGGCTTTCCAATCTGCGGTGGTAGCTGTTCGTTTTGAACGAGCCATCTTCGGTCTGCCAGCTATGATTGCTTCAGCTAGTGCCGCTTTCCAGGCAGCGGTAGTTGCAACGATGGCTTTGCGTCGATGAATCAAGGCCTCCTTTGGTGGTGGTGTAGAATCGACAATATTTTGAGCCATTACGATAGGCAAGGTCTCTAAATTGAGCCGAGCCTCGAAAAGGTCCTTTGAGGATAGTACTCTTGATTCTCTAACGGAGGCTAAGACCGAAACTGGTGCAGGAATCTTGGTCTTCTTGATCAGCTCTGCGTTGGGACTGGCTGCCCGTTTGGCAGATTGCCCGTCGGTAGACTTCAGCGTTGGTTTAGGGGCATCCACAGGAGAACGAGGGGTAGAGTTTTTCACGGACTTCAAAGCCCATGGCATAGACGAAGTAAAAGAACCCCAAATTGAAGACGCCTTTGTACTAGTAGACTTTATGGAAGAAGTATCAGAAACTGGCGAAGATTCGCCGGACGAGGTCGGTGACGAGATAAATGGACTCTCGGGTCTGACCGAGGATTCAGAAATCCAGTGATGTTCAGATTGAGATCCTCCACAGCCACTCCAAAGTTTGTCTGATGACAATGAAGCAAGTGGTAGCTGACTGGGTCTTGGTTTACACGTCATGGAGAGTGCAGCCGGGACTTGAGACGTAGTGCGAGAGGCCTTCAATGATCCAGATGAGGTGAATAAACCATCAGAACTAACAGTCTCTCTTTTGTTCACTAGCGACCACAGCCCAGCAGATTTTGGGACGAATATCATGTTGACCGGTGGCAATAATTGTGAGTTATGATCGGACCACATCAGACACGGCGTCGAAGGCTCTGTATATTTAGGCTGAGCCTCCCATAGGCGCGAAGACTCAAGCATTGGCAATTCGCTGAGAAGATGCGACATCGATTTGACAGGAACATTAGTCGGAGTGAGGAGCGACGTCCACACGCCCTCGGATGGCTGTGGCAATCCTTTGCCAGTCACGACCGACTCGAGAGAGCTTTCCCTTGCCCATAGCAAGGAAGTCGGCTTCGATGTTGAAAGAGGTTGTATTGGAAGTTGCATGGTCGGCTCTTGGGCAGATTCACTATAAGTCTGTGACAAACCGTCTTCGAAATCACTCTTTGTATCGTGTTCATCAATCACATCTTCCGACCACTCTACTTGACGAACAGGCGGAAGGAGACTGTTCTTGGACGGCACGTTGGTACTCTGCAGTAAGCTGGCAATTTCCCACAACGTCGTCTCATCAAAGTCATCATCACTTTCTGATCCCATATCAGAGCTATCGTCTTCTTCTCCGTCGTAATCATCAAAGTATGATGCGGAATATTCATCAAGATCAGGTTCCAGTTGCAGTGATCTTTCTTGAAGCCTAGCGCTGACCAAGGATCCCGCAAGAATGCTGGGATCGAATGGTGGCTGGTAAATCGCGGTGTCTGACTTCTCACCCCATGGAAATTGGTAAATGCCAAGAGTATCCCGCTTGTTTGGAAGCGGTACTGGGCTCTCAACTGTAGAAGTTAGTAATTTTATATATTAGAAAATGATAGCAACTTACCAATGTCAGGCAAGAATGTAAGACGCTTTGATTTTCTTTGTGGTCGCTGCGTGACTCTCCGGGTTATGATACTTCGTGGTCTTAGAGCTCTTGAGCCCCACAGTCCTGTAACGGCCCGTTTTTGTTCTGGGGTTTGGGATTTTGTCCATAAAGTAGAACTTCGAATTGTGAGGATATCACCATTCCGACGTGGAATTGGTCGAATGTTCTTTGCTGGAGGCTCGCTTAATTCGGCACGTGATGTTGTCTCGTAAGGGGGGTTCCACATGCGGCCCGAAGCTGCTTGTGGAGGATCAATAGCTGGCTGCCAGAGTGAAGGAGAAGATGCTTTTGTCACTGAGGAAGACCAGCGTCCGTCCCTCAATAAAGTCTCTCCGCTTTCGGATTCCGAGTCAGATGACATGTCGGTTCCCGAATCTACACTTTCAGGGGGGGTTGGGCTTCCCAATTGGTGGGATTTTGCAACGGAAAGGAAGTTGACACTTCCTTTACGGAGAAGCGCCGGGGCTTTTTCCAGATACTCCACCTGAGCTTCAGCAAGACGTTGCTGCCAAATGCTTGCTCCAGGGTTTTGGATATTTTTAGTAGAGGTCAACTCCTGTTTTCTCGAGCGTATACTCAGGCGACTTCTTTCCCGCTTGAAAGATGGTGTACGAGATACGATTATAGAAGAATGCCTAGATACCGAGCGTTCAGAGAGTACAGTCGTTGCGGGTGAGATGGCAGAGACCGAGTCTTGATCAAAGTCGTTGTGCATCTGTTGCCACTGATTCTCCTGCTGACCCATTTCTTTTTCTAGATTCTCAAGAAGCCTAAGTTTGTCGCTGTCTCCATCTTGTTCCAGTCCAGTGACAGGCAATCGGCGGAATATTGAGTCTACGGAAGCTCTGTTAGGGTCTTCCATTTTTTTGAGCTGTTCCTGAATTTGTTGTAATGCGCGCTCAGGAGAATCCATAGGCGATGGCTCCCTAGCCTGAACAACCACTGCGGTTGCATTTACCCTGTTGTTAAGCAGTAATGGGGTAGGAGGAGGTAATTTTCGAATTTTTGTATTCGTTGTCCGCCCAGAGAATGTCGGTAGCTCATCACCAATTCGCCGATGCCATCCACCTCTAGTCTCGTGTACAGAAGTTGATTGTGGCTGATTGACGCCCAGAGCAAAGGACAGACGATCAGGAGCAGGAATTGACAAAATAGGCTGGCGAGTCTCTGCTGTATCAAACATGACTGTCATAATTTCCTCTCCATCATTGTACTCAAGCGGAGGCATCGATGGAACGTCTCTTTTATCGTATGTCTCTCTTGGTGTTATAAATGTCGAATGTGCATTTTGCCTTGCTTTGGGAAGGTCTACAGCAGGAGCTCTGGAATGGACAGAGCCCCAATACGTCGCTGAGTCTCTTGTATCTCTTGGGGAGCTTTCATCACTCGATGTACCTTCCGTCCAGGCAGATTTTCTCCCATCATAAACTTTGGTAGGAGCATGAACGGAGTTTCGAATGTCAACATTTCCGGTGGAAATTCCTGGTATCCAAGTTTCTCCGACCTCGTCTGCGATATTTCGATAAGTGTTGGCACTAAATCGCTGGGTCGCAAGTGCTACGGCTTTTCCTAACTCCTGTTGTATGTGACCTGGTGAGCCTTGCTTCTCATTGATATCCAGGAAAGCATAAGAGGCGATGGTCGACCTCTTTGAAGTCATTTGGCTGTCGCGTACATCTGCTGGGGATTTTGGTAGTAATTGGGCTATTGTGCCGAATTGAGATGGAACGCGCGGGAGTGATGGGACCGAAGAACGTCGGTTGGGTATAGTTGGAATTCCTGGTGGAGCTGGGAAGAGTAACTCTATCTTCTCATCAAAAGTCATGCTTTTTGTATCATTCGGAAGTAGTCGTCGTAATTTCATAGCACTCGTAGGAGGCGGCGGAAGTGGCGGTAGGTTAGTCGGACTTCCCGGTGCAGATGAAAGCATGGATTTCCTCATTAGCATCGAAGGACCCGATTTGCTTCGTTGGTGGTGTAAAGGAGACTCGCTTGGGAATATAGCTCGGTCTGTTTCCGAATCTCGTCGGTATGGGCGCGGCCTGTGTAGAATAGAGTTCGATGACTTGAGATTGGCAGATTGCATATCTTCCAATTTATTTCCACTAGTCTTGCGTCGTGTTGTATGACTAAACGTGTGTGGAGCGGCACTCATAATCGAATTTACCGTAGCAGGGTCGTTGTAAACAATGTCATTTACAAGCATGATAGTTGGATCTTGAGCAGCCTCCTGGCCAATGGCACCTCTCTGTACTCCCGCTCTGGGGTTTGACGGAAGACCTATTGTACCCTTCCTCTGTAGAGGTGGTTTTGGAGCGGGCTTATCTATCGATCTCTCAAAGCTCTTAGAGTTCCGAGGCGATCTACGCCTGACTTCCTCATGCCCCGGGGAGAGTGACGTTGATGTAGTGCTGGCAGTGTCATCGTCAACGGAAAGACTGGATGATTTGGATCCAGGGATCGAAGGTAGCGGCTGGTCCATCATTCCCGGTGTTACTTTCCTCTTCAGATTGGTGCTATTCCGAATACCATTCGTGGGCCCCAAAGCTCTTGGCTCAGTGGCAAGCCTAACTTCCATCAGTCGAGCTCTGGCCGCTGCTTCCTCACGTCGCTCACGTTCGTTAGCTGCCGCAGTAGCGAGATCGACTGTAGGTATCTTGGAAAAAAGCTGATTCGCATTTTGATTGTCCTCACTCATGACTGGATTGGAAATGCCCAGGTTACGAATGTTGGTCTTCGCAGGAGCCTTTGACCAAAACATGCTGCGCTTCTGATGGCTAACCTGTGGCGGCACTGGAGAAGATGACTCTCTCAACAGTGTTCCAGTTGGAATTGCCAGGCTTGACTGCGGCCCAGATTGTAAAGGGGTTGCAAAGATAGAGGGAAATACGCCACTTGATCCTCGGTAGCCTGGTCCATTTTTGGACATTGAATTATCAGCTACTTGGTTGACAACTTCTCTGACTTCACTGTTGCTGTTCAACTTTGTGAAGCCTCGCGTAGGTTCATTAGAGCTCGAGAATCCCGAAAAACGCGCTGATGCTGAAGATCCGACAGAGGTTGGTTGCTGAGAAAAGAAAACTCCGGCTTTGTTCGAATCCGCACCTGAGATAGGAAAGGTAGTGTCTGCATTCTCTCGGAACACTTCTCGCGTATTTGGCGCTGGCGCAGCCATGAATGGCGACTGTGCCTCTGGCGTTGTCCCTTCGTCCTCTCTCTTGGACAACAAAGCTCCCGGAAACATTGTCAACACGCCTTCGAAGGGTTAGAAATATAAACTCATTTGTTTTTTGCAGTTAGTACTTACCCACAAGTATCAGAAGTCCATTAGAAGGTACTACTGTTCGAACAATGAGAGGCAGAGTTGACACTCCCAAAATCATGGGAACACTTGTCTTAAAGCGAAGTCAGCATCATATCAACCTCCTCAGGTATTTACTTACCCCGGTCCATAGCGCATATGCCAGAACACCAAAAATGAGAGCCTTGCTTTGCTCACGAATAGTGCTTTTTCCCGCGACCCGCATGTCGCTAAAAATGCCCATCGAAAAGATTCTGATAATCGAGACCCCAATAATGACAAAATCGAGCGCAAGCACCACAATAGCGATGGGCAGGACCGAAGTGTGGGCGGCGCAAACAGGTGAAAATTGCGGAGCATCCGGTCGTGTCAACCCCACGAGCACTCCTCCGACAATCAATCTGATAACCAAAACACCCTGTAACAAATACTGTTGAGTCGTTGCTTTCGTGCCCTGGCTCATAGCCCATAGGAAGAATTGTTCTATCGACACGCGCGCTAATTGATCGAAAGTAGTTGTAAACACCAGTAGTGCCTGGCAAGTCGAGGTGGAGGTTGAAGTAACTATAAGATTGATAAAACTGATTTGCGCCCACAACGCGGCAAACAGCATGAACAGCATGAGGACCAGCCTCCGGCCGTCCTGAAGAATTTTGGCATCTTTGGCCTTGTAGTAAATGAATAACGCGCCTGTCGCTGCTTGAAGTAAAATACCACTATTTAACAAGTTAGCTTAAGGAGTACTTGGATTTTAACTGTACTGACAAGGAAAAGGCTGCCGATAGCGTCTGAATGGAAGCAGGTAAAGACATGGTGTAGAGAAATTAAAAAAGGAAAGAAATTATGTATATAAGCCCAGTCTATGGGTGAAGGTTGAATAGAATATTGAAACGAAAGCGCATGGTGAAAGGTAGCAGTTAGCACAATCCCATGATGGTCGACGTCGATGACAACAAAGAGAGCCGTCAAGTCCAGCCAGCAGGTACGGGTACAGATACTTCAGAGTATCAAGCAAAGGGAGAGATGGGATGTCACGACAGTCACATGGCGAAGCCGTTCGAGGTCGCGCTGGAAAAGCGTGGGTGGCAGCCAAGACATGCTTAGGTCTGACCGTTTGAGGTGGCTGGCCTTGCAGAAGTTGTCGAATTCTGGTGTCGTGATTCGTTCCGAGTGGCATAGACTCAATCCGGGAGATCCTCAAGGTGCTTGGAGGCACTGTGACAAGATCTCCGACATTGACAAGTGGGCGCGCATTGCGTCGAGATGCAGTTTTGGCAGGCGATGAGGTTTACGGGTCAGCGTTGATTGGGCTATCTGATGATTTGTCGAGGTGATTGTGCAGTGTGGGGGAGCCTCCTTGCGACTCCTGTTTCACACGAAACCAACTCGAGGTTTCGCATACGATAAAGACCCACCACTCGGAGAATAGAGCATTGTAGAAAAGAAGTCGAAAGTCGTTGAAAAGGACTTGAGAATGCGCGTAGATTCGCAGCAGTTGAGGAGATTGGCTTGAAGACATTTCCAGAAGACAGCGTAGGATCGACGAGACTTTGCATCTTGCCATCCGCTGCAGAATGGCGTCTGCATATGTTCACGCCTCCACTCGACCGTTGAGAAGTTTCTGGTGATGATGAAAATGTTTTGAATGGAAGGGAAACAATCGTGTTCCTGGATTGGGGAGAGGCTTGAGCTCGTCTGATTAGGCCCGATTAGTTCGTCGGCCAACTCCATGAGTTCAATGAGTAGGAGGAAAAGAATTACAGAATGTTACCGCCCAGTTTGCAACATAATAGAACCCGTGAACAGCATAATGGACCATCAGTTTTGATTCTTGGGTAAATGTAGGTCCCAGAACTGAACATGGTGATATCGTCCCAACCGCACCACAAATTATACGGCCAAGCACCAGAGACGTAAAAGCATGAACGATGGCCATACAAGGCATTCGAAATATTCTCTTCAATAATGCATATAGACAGAAGCCCACTACACGGATCTTGACAGCTGCTGTAGACCGGATATGCTTGCTTCTGATCCCCATTTTCCACTTCGAAGCGATAACCTTATCTGTAACTTTAATACATCTGACAGCAGCGCAGTCGAGAAAGGTAGCGTAGTAACAAAAGTTTGGCTACTGAGTTACTAGAAGAATTTCAGACGCTGGTATGCTCTCAGAGTCATTCTGATCCAGTCTACCTGCCTGTCCTACCTGCGCGCGTCAAAGTAATCAAACCAAAAAGGCTAGAATTATCAAGTCTCGAATCCAAGAAAAGTTGAGACTTGAAGCAGCCTGCTTCTTTCACTGTTCTTCTACACTGTAGCTGCTCTGGGATTGGGACAGAGACGGTGTCAAGTGATTGTGAAGTGACTTGGTGATAGGGCCTGACCATCCGAGCCGATTGGGAAGATAGGAAGATACCGTCTCAATGGAAATGGAAATAGTCAAGCACAATAGAATGATGCCATTTGTGAGAGATATTTGGAGAAGATTATGATTAAGAGTTATAGAAGTGAGCATTCTAATAAGCACAGAGTCCGTACATCGGGGAAAACTGTCATGATAGTAGGTTGACGAAGATCTACGAAGAGAGAATTCGCTCAAAGGAGCAAGAGAAAGCGTATATATAGTAGAGCTTTTCTGAATGATTAGAAAAGTCATTTACAAAAACTATGTTGTATTGTGTTTAAACAATAGTCGCACGAAATACTCAGCTGTCCGACTTGTCATCCTCTAGGATTTGAAAGGGAGTACCGCTCGGTACACAAGGAAAATTAATACGGCGAGGCATAAGACCTCCTTGCTCATAACCGATCCGAAGCCTATCCTCGGCACCGAAACACCCAGAATTGCGCAGGAGAACACACCAACTTGACCCTCTTCCTCGACCACCGTAGACCCCACCGGGATCTCGCCTCTAACAACAATGGTTCGAGAGAATCGTACGATTTCCACCGTTCAATATCACCACTTTTCATCGTACGTAGGAATGCAAAACCTTTTCCCAACAACCTCTTCTTTGCCGTGTGACAACACCCCAGTCCATGTCTGGACCGCCCTGCAGTCTACCTTATGAATTATTTCACTTAGGCCGCAGCTGATCAGCGCCCTATCATGGCATCCAAACTTGACTCTTCCTCCCTCTCGGGCATATCGGCGGGGTTCGATCTGAATAGCTTCGACGACACCGTAACCTTCACAGATGCCCTAGAAGACGAGCCTCTGTTTCCGAGCGATTGGGATCAGCAACAAACTCCCCCCTACGACGGCCTCTACTCCACTCCCTTGAATTGGGACGCTCCACAACCCAAAATCGAACCACTTCCACCCGCCTCATTTACTACCATGAACTCCCTTACTCCAGCTCAGCAGGAAAAGTTACGGAACATTGCTATGCCTCAACACCTTCAGTATCGCGGAGGTAATAGCCCACAGTCGACTGCGAGCTACAAGAGCAATTCAGTGTCCTCGCCCGACGACCACCACAATCGGAAGCGCAAGTCATCGGCTTCTGGGGATGACGAAGATGATGAGGATTCGGCCGGCCAGCATCCTCCTGTAAAGAAGACGGCGCATAATATGATTGAGAAGAGGTATCGAACCAACTTGAACGATAAGATTGCTGCGTTGCGCGACAGCGTACCCAGTCTGCGAATAATGACCAAAAGTGCACGAGGAGAGGATACGGCAGACGACCGAGAAGAACTCCATGGGCTTACGCCAGCTCACAAGTTGAATAAGGCAACGGTAAGAAGACTTTCATTTGTTGAGTGCTGGGGTCCCGCTTAAAAATATATAACACACATTGTAGCGTTCCTGTCCTCCCCAGCTCAAAGAGAGCAAACACCATCGCCTTGTGAACAGGCTTAGTCAAGAGCTAGTTTTCAGTAAGGGCAGCAATTTTGGGCGATTAAATATTTCTTTAGAATCCGTAACACGTCGAATCGCGGCCCTGCTAATTGGAGTCCTAGGTCCTGAGCAAAGCAACCGAGTACATCCATCATCTAGAAAAGCGTGTGAAAAGAATGGAAGAGACAGATGTTCAGCAAAAGGCACGACTAGCTGCTTTTGAAACTCTATTCAGATCCGGTTCAATGGGATACAATCCGCAGCCAACAATGAACAACCCGTTCCAGTACCCAAGAGATTATAACACTCCTGGTCCATCGCCTACGGTTGATCCTCAAGGAATGATACAGGTACCAGATGACATTCGACGACTCCATACCCAAGCAAGTCAACAAACCTATCAGATACCACAAGAGCAGTATGCTCAACAGCCTGGTCGACAACCCATTGGTCCTAATGGCTGGCAGACCGGGGGTGGCTATTTTGGAAAGCTTATGGTCGGGTCTCTAGCAGGCTTGATGATCATGGAAGGTTTCACTGAAGCCGAGCAAAGTGAGGACACACCCGCTGGACGAGGTCTTGCCGCAATGCCACTTCAACTTCTGAAAAGTGTATCTCAAACAGTACATTCATCATTGGACCTGAAAGTACTTGGCTATCACGTTCCAGCTGCTAAGTCGCTAGCTTACCTGAAGATGGTCCTTGTGCTGGGGACTTTGCTTTATATTTTCTTACCCTCAATGTTCGCTACCAAGCGCAAGTCAGACAGCGGAAAGACTCAGAGCACTTCTCTTGCGGCTGCTCCATCTCTTGCTTCGTCTATTTCAGTTCGCAGACAAGCCTGGCTCACCGCTATTCAAACCGTCTGGGTCCCCCGCCACAATTTCTTTCTCGAAGCTGCAGCATTATGCTTGAAAATTGCCAAGTTGAGCACACGGAACTTCATCGGCGCAGATGGATATGCATATCTTACCGGCATCACTCAACAACAAGAAGCAGCTCGCGTTAAAGCTTGGGAGATTGCTCTCGACGCACAACTCGCAGGAGGAGACGTAGAGGTCAGCAAGAGTCGCTTGACATTGACACTATTGGCTTCAGGCACTCTACCCGATACACCTGCTCGACTCATGCTCAAAGCCTTGCACATCAGAGTACTCCTTTGGGAAGTTGGAAATGCCGGGTTCAACGGATACTATCTGTTCCATGAAATGGCCGCCAAAATGGCTCGGTGGAAATGGAACGAAGCAAAGCATCTCCAACGCATCATGGCTGGCTCTAAAGACAAACCTGACGGCGAATTCCCAGAACATCTCGAAGCGCTCCTCGAAGAGGAGTGTGACGATGTCCTTGCTGATTGCATTGGCCAACGCGCTTACAACCTTGCCTGGAATCTTCCCACTACATACAACGTCCGAGGCCCAAGCGAAGGCATGGACGGCGTTGTCGACGACTTTGCAATCCGCAGCCCGCTCGATGCTGTCGCTGCGTGGTATTCCAGCATCGTTCTCCAACGTGCTCTCGCAAAATTTCTCGAAAAAGACCAAACGGAAGAAAAGAAAGCCTCTGTGCTCCAAGATATTGGACTCTCTATCAAGGTATCTCCTGTCGGATCACGAGCTCAAGTCCGCGCTCTCGTCGCTCGTGCCATCTTGGTCAAAGAGAAACGTGGCGAAAATATCGCAGTCTCGCTCCAAGGCCTTACGCCATTTGAGCCCAAAACTGACACCAATGCCACGCCTAATCTTATCAATACCACATCTTCCATTGCCAGTCTCCCAGATATCAAGATGTCCTTACGCTGCGCAATGGCCATCGCATATCTTGACCGCTACCCAGCACCACATAACCCTCCTGCCGTTCACCGTCTCATCAATAGTATCGTCCCTATCAACCTCAGTATTCTCGGTTTCACCGCGGCTTTTCATCTCATGGAACGTATTCATGCTCATGACAGTGTATCTATGAGTTGTGCTATTGCGTTGGAGAGACTTGCTGGGAACTTGCGCATTTGGATTGGTGGACCAGATGGAGAGAGGAGTGGACTGGATAAGGGTATCAAGAGGGAGTTGGTGGAGAGATGTCTTGTCGTTACCAAGAAAGTCATTGGCATGGAAAAGGATGCTGGTTATGAGACTATGAGTGAGGAAGATGCTGGTGAGGGGTGCTAAAAAGATATGAGGATTTTTAAGGTCTGAATCGGCGTTTCTGGTGTGGAAGGAGGTCGGCGTCGGAACATTTTCCACTCGATGATATGAATACCTCTTATGCGTCCTTCAGCGCAGTCTTATATGATGGCTTTTGCTCGTTGCTTAATTTTTCATTGACGATGTATTCATTCCAGCTGTCAATACACTTTTAGTTGATCTCATGAGTGTAGTCTGCCAACTGAGGAATTGAGAATAATTGCAGCGATCTCTATCTTCTAACGCTCTCTCTCCCTTTCAAGTCGCAGTCGTGAGTCCAGTGCCGTATTTAATATCGCACATGCATATTTACATCTGGAGACTTAATCGCAGCACTCACCTTCTCGCAAATCATAATACGTTAATCAACTCTCATGATTCATCCGCACCACCAAATAAAATAAAAAGTACACAATAATAAATAATTCAATCCAGCTTCTCCCAGCTCACTTACCTCACCAAGCTACACCTCCGCCCCATCTCCCGTCCCCTATTTCTAGCTCGACGCAAAACACTTCCGCCAGATCTCCGCGCATCTTCCCCATCCTTATCAAAGCGGGCCACCCTTCCTTATCCGCCAATCAGCGCCACGCATGCACCTTTATCGGATCCACGTCCTCGATTGCTTAAAAACAAAACAATACATGAATTTCGTTATCGCGGTCCCAACTGGTGGTTTGGGTCACTGGGAGGTATTTCCTAGGCCGGAGAAGCTGTGTGAAGAGGGTATGTCCAATTGCAGTGGTTATATTGGCAAGCTAGAGGACGAATGAGGGTAGGTAGGTAGGTTTCCGAGGATTTGTGTGGGAGTTGAGGGACTTGGTGGACGCGGTAGGTGATGCTTTTGTAGGTTCTTTTCTTGGGACTGTGTTCTTCTTCTTCTTCTTCTTCTCTTGTTGTATTCTTCATCTTGTTTTCTGTATTGCTTCACTCTTGTATAGATTGACTTGATGTATATCCTTGGTGTTTCTGCTTGAGGAGTATATACAATTTCAGAACCATGTCAGGTAATTGGCAGCCACAGATTCCGATCCAGGAAATCAAGGCTGGACCGATTGAGAATGGTCCAGATGGCGTTGTTGGATCGGATAAAGTGAGTAATGAAGGGGAGAGGAAGAAGATTGTTGTGGTGGGGTTGGGGATGGTGGGGATTAGTTTTATGTGAGTTCAATTGGGTGTCAAGCTGGAGCTTTAGGTCCCTAATTGATATGGTGGAAGAGAATTGGGAAGGAGGGCAATTGCTAATTAGAATATAGTGAGAAATTGATGAAGCTGGACGCGAAGAGACGAGAATGGGATATCATAGTTATTGGAGAGGAATCACATCTTGCGTACAATCGTGTGGGATTGACGAGTTTCTTCGCACATCGAAAAGTCGAGAATCTATATCTCAATCCTAAAGAATGGGTATGTCTTCTATTCCATCTATGTTCATTTAGGTCCGGGATCCTGACTTGTATAGTACTCAAATTGCCCCGAAGGATCCTTAAACTACCATTTGAACACCAAAGTAACCGAAATCCACCTCAACGAGAAGCTCGTCTCCTGCTCATCCGGGGAAACCGTTCCTTATGACGTTCTTGTCATTGCTACCGGCTCCGATGCGCTTCTTCCACGGCATACGCCTGGCCACGATGCAAAGGGTGTATTCGTATACCGAACGATCGAAGATCTAGAAAAGCTTATAGAGTTTGGGGCAAAGAATAAGGGGACGGTTGGTGCGGTAGTTGGTGGAGGTCTTCTTGGACTCGAAGCTGCGAACGCCATGATGGATTTGGAGAATTATGAAAAAGTCAAACTGATTGAAAGAAATCGATGGGTGTTAAGTCGACAGTTAGACTCAGATGCTGGCGGGCTTGTCGTTGAACAAGTGAGAGAATTGGGACTGGATGTCTTGTTAGGCAAGCGAGTTGGCAAGATTGAGGTCACCGAGGATAATTATGTGAAGGGTGTTGTTTTTGAGGATGGGGAGAGAATGGACTGCTCGACGATCTGCTTTGCGATCGGTATCAAGGCTCGCGATGAGCTGGCCAGGAAAGCGGGTATCAAATGCGCCGATCGTGGAGGTGGTATCGTGGTTGATGGAGAGTTGAAGACTAGCGCACCAGATGTTTATGCAATTGGAGAGTGCGCAAGCTGGGAGAACCAGACTTTTGGTCTTATCGCTCCGGGCATTGAAATGGCGGACGTCCTCTCATTCAACCTTACTCAAGCCAAAGATCATGCATATCGATCATTCAAGCGACCAGATCTCAGTACCAAATTAAAGCTTTTAGGTGTTGAAGTTGCGAGTTTTGGAGATTTCTTCGCGGATCGAGATGGACCAAAACACCTCCCACTTCGAGCAGCCAAGAAAAAGGAAGGAAGTCCTGATGCTCTGCGAAAACTCACCAACGGTACTCCACCACCGCCAGTCAAGGCTTTGACATACAAAGATCCATTCCAGAATGTCTACAAGAAATACCTGTTCTCACTGGATGGGAAATACCTTCTTGGTGGTATGATGATTGGAGATACCAAGGACTACGTGAAACTGGTTCCAATGGTAAAGAACCAGAAGATGCTTGATGTCCCACCCAGTCAATTCATCCTTGGAGCGAGCAAAGAAGGAGACGAGGGTGGAGATGACCTTGACGACGATACACAGATTTGCTCTTGCCACAACGTCACGAAAGGCGATGTCTGCTCGGTTGTCAAGGACGGAAGCTGTAAGAGCATTGGTGATGTTAAGTCCTGTACCAAAGCCGGAACTGGATGTGGAGGTTGTATGCCCCTGGTCACCAGCATTTTCAACAGCCAGATGAAAGCTATGGGCAACGAAGTCAAGAACCACATTTGCCCTCATTTCAACTATTCTCGAGCTGATTTGTACAACATCATCTCCGTCAAGCAACTCAAGACTTTACAAGAAGTTATGAAAGAAGCTGGAAATGACCCAGAGAGTCAGGGTTGTGAGGCTTGCAAACCTAGCATTGGGTCTATTTTCTCATCACTTTACAACAAGCATGTGATGGCTAAGCCATTGATGGGTCTGCAAGAAACTAATGATAGATTTTTGGGTAACATCCAGAGAAACGGTACTTACTCCGTGGTTCCACGAGTTAGTGCTGGTGAAATCACGCCCGAAAAGCTGATTGTTATCGGAAATGTGGCAAAGAAATACAACCTCTACACGAAGATCACTGGAGGTCAGAGAATCGACATGTTCGGTGCAAAGAAGCAAGATCTTCTGGCTATCTGGAAAGAGTTGGTGGAAGGTGGTATGGAGTCTGGACACGCATACGCGAAGTCATTGCGAACAGTTAAAAGCTGTGTGGGTACTACCTGGTGTCGATATGGTATCGGAGACAGTGTGGGTATGGCTGTGCGACTTGAAGAGAGATACAAGAGTATTCGAAGTCCGCATAAAATGAAGGGTGGTGTCAGTGGTTGTGTCAGAGAATGTGCAGAGGCGCAGAATAAGGAGTAAGTTGGGTCCACCTCCATATATACAGCACCACTAACCTGTTTTAGTTTCGGTCTCATCGCAACAGAAAAAGGATTCAACCTCTTCGTCGGTGGTAATGGAGGAGCATCTCCGAAACACAGCGAACTTCTCGCCAAAGACGTACCCCCAGATGATATCATCCCCATCATAGATCGCTACCTAATGTTCTACATCCGCACCGCCGACAAACTTCAACGTACCGCTCGCTGGCTTGAAGCCCTTCCAGGTGGAATCAAGTACCTACGCGAAGTCATTCTCGAAGACAAGCTCGGTATCTGCGCCTCTTTAGAAGCACAAATGGAAGAGCTCGTCGGTACCTTCTTCGACGAATGGGCTGAAGCGATCAACAACCCTGAAATCGCAAAGAAATTCCAACAATTCGATAACACCAAAGACTCTCTCGAAACCATGGATACTGAAGAAGATCGTGGACAAACCAGACCCGTTTACTGGGCCAACGAAAGCGCCAAAGTCGATTTCCGCAACACCAAATGGACGAGTCTCACCTGGCAACCCATGATCGAAGCCTCCCACTTCGTCGGCGCAGACGACACGCCCAACGGCATCTCCGCCAACGTCAAGCGCGGCGACACTCAACTCGCGATCTTCAAGGTCCGCGGCAAATACCTCGCCTCGCAGCAAATGTGTCCTCACAAACGCGCCTTCGTCCTCTCCGACGGCCTCATCGGCGACTCCAAAGATAAACTCTGGGTCTCCTGTCCGTTCCACAAGCGGAATTTCGAACTCAATGGCGAACAAGCTGGACGATGTCAGAATGATGAGGAGGTCAGCATTGCGACGTTCCCTGTGGAGGAGAGGGATGATGGGATGGTTTATTTGAAGTTGCCGCCTGTGCATGAGCTTGATGGGGTACTAGGGACTAAGAAGTGGAGTGTGAAGAAGGGTGAGAGTGGCGCTTCGCCGTTCGAGAAGTTGGATAGGAAGATTGGGGTTAATGGGACGAGGATGAAGGGGAGGAAGCCGTTGGAGGCGAAGAGACAGTTGCATGCTGGGGCTGTTAAGGCGGGGGGTGGGGATGGGGTTGATATTGATTGGTAGAGTACTAAAGAAGGCTTGTATATTTTTCGTTCAGGCTGGGCGTCTGGATTGTGAAGGGTATCAATATATCACTATCGTTTGTTTTTAAACACTTTCCCTTTATGTGTTGGAGAGAGTACTGGCGATCAAAAATGCATTAGTATTCTGTGTTGAAGTCCGACATGGAAGCGATGTCTGCTAAAATATTCCAAGACCGTTTCCCCTTACACACTGAAGAACAACATTCCAGAATCCGTTCGATCTCAACAATGTTACAATTACGTCAGAGGGCACTCACAGAACGAAGTTGCACTGTTTACCGGTCTTACACATCTACGCCAAGACAACCTCCTCATCTCACATTGAAACAGTAAAATGTGGTTACTAACCCGCATATTCGTACCAGCCTATGAGTTATCCCCCAAATCATATTGTCACCCAAACCTTTTACAAAACCTGTCCTCCGAACTTTCCGAACTGCACATTGTGGTTCGAGATTTAGTCACAACTCTTTTCCTTGCATGTATATCTTCACTCGGCATTGAGATGCACAGTAACGCCAGTTGGCGGGATGGTATGGTGGTTGATGGTAGGCTACGCCGATTGATGGTATGTCGTGGTTTCGATCTCCTAGGTGAGGTGAGATGGCGAGATGAGGAGGGAGTTGGGGATGTAAGCGAATTGCAGTTTGGATGGTGGTACGACAGCATACTCACTCACTAATCTATGATATGTTGGTGATGTGTAGATGAGTAGACGAGGACATGAGGATATGATTTTTGGGAGATGAACGATATATAAACCCATCCAACATCTTCAGATCTACTCCAAGACAACAATACCAACAACATCCTTACTCCACTTCATTCCATCACCACCAACCCCCCAACCACCATCCAAAATGCTCCTCCCCCGCACAAACGATGCCCTCAAAATCAACCCACCCCCCGGATCCCACCACCTCTCCACCGCCGGCTCCGACTGGATGTGGGCCATCTGCGGCATCTACTGCTTCTCTCTCCTCAGTATCCTAGCGCTCACCTACTTCGCTCGCGCCGGCGAGAAGATCTTCCATTACCTTTTTACAGTCTCGTTTTTTATCGGGTCTGTAGCGTACTTTGCGATGGCGTCGGATCTGGGGAGTGTAGCTGTGGAACAGAGGATGGGTGATGATAGGAGTAGGCAGATTTTTTGGGGGAAGTATGTTAATTGGTGAGTTATATTCAAAAGATCTAAGAATTAAGGGAATGGGAAGTTGATTTAGATGTTAGGTTCTTATCTTGGCCACCACTACTCATAGCCATTGGACTCACGTCCGGTGTGTCTTGGGCTACCATCGTCTATAACATCCTATTATCCTGGATCTTCGTCGTCAGCTACCTCATGGGCTCCCTCACGCCTACGGTTTACAAATGGGGGTTCTTCGTCTTCGGCACCGTCGCACTCCTACTCCTCCAAACCTCACTCTTCCTCAATGGTCTCCCAACCTCCAAGCGTCTCGGGATTCACAAACACTATCTCGCTCTCTCCGGCTGGTTTTCTTTTATCCTCTTGCTCTATCCTATTGCGTGGGGTCTGAACGATGGCGGCAATGAGATCAGTGTTACTTCTGGGGTTATCTTTAGTGGGATCTTGGATGTGCTTACGATCCCGGTGTTGGCACCGGCGATGTTGTGGTTGAGTCGCGGGTGGGATTATAAGGTGTTGAATATTTATTTTACGCAATATGGAAGGGTTGCTGTCCAGGCTGGGGAGTTTCCGGAGAAGACAACGGCGCCTGTTAATGCTCCTGTTCGAGAGGAAACCCCAGTCGAGGCAGTGTAGAGCAGACCGTTGAGCTGACCATTGGTGCGAGGGTCGCGCTAGACACCTCGTTGATTGTCCTAACAACTAGCGAGCTTTGTCCTCTCTGATGTTCTAAGTTTAGAATGATAGTTTGCGGTGGGGAGATTCCCAGATTGGAGTTGAGAGCGAAGTGGTGAGGTGAAGTCCGCGATGGTGTGTAAAACGTTCATTTTTTTCGGAAGTCAGATCTATTGGAGATATGATAGTTAGTAGTAATGTTGACAGTAATGATATATAATTCGAGATAACATAAGTCGATTGACAAGTTTTTTTTTAAAGTTAGGAGTGTTCGGATATCTTGGCTTAGAAGGGTTGATTCGCAAGTGTTGAGAGAATTTGAAGCATACAGAAGCGTCCTCTATCAAAGATGCGGTTGGAAGCACCAACGATGACTGACCTGTTAGATCTATAGAATCATGTAGAATCGTGTCGGTAGCGCGTTTCTTCCGAAGATACACTCCACATTTGTGGTGTCGTCAAGTGTCGCGAAATCGATGGCTCAGTGCACACATCAATTGGGAAGTAATCGATACAACGCATGCGACTCTGCCATTATATTCTAATTAGCTACCTACCCAAGGAAGCTACCACGAGTCTCAAAGTACGTTTGGAGAAGGCGGGTGTGAGAAACTTTTTACTTCCATCTTGATGTGCTAGTCGGCTGTTGGATCTGGTCAGAGTACGCGTAAGAAGGCATTGAGATGGCCTAGAAGCAAGACTCGAGGCGATGTGAGTTTGTCAAGAACCTTTCTATCATCCATGGCAAACAGAACAAACTCATCTACCTTAGCTTTGTTTCCCAAGAGACCACCTGGGCACCTACAGCTGTTAGCAAAGGAGAGCGGGAGCTACTAAGCGAGGTGGGTTAGTACCTATTGACCATCCAAACACTTCCTTCCTTCCCTCCTTCCCTGTCACCTCCCATTGAGATAGATCGCTCCGCTGAAAATACCAAAATGGCACCAAAGAAGAAGCCTTTGCCAGATATCAGGAAAGTAGGGTAAGTTATGTTGTTCTCGATAGTTTTGCAAAACTGACAATCACCAGACATGAACGGTATCTTGCTCGACGTCTGTTTACTTCTTCCTGTCAATACATACGTACCTACTGATCGATCTACAGAATGGGATGAAACTTCTACAGTCGCTGGATCTACAGTCGCTGGATCTACAATCGCAGGGGACGAAGAAGACCAGCAAGCTGAGCCTTTAGGGCCGCTCATCGATTTTGAGGATGCGCTTCCCATTAGACCAGCTCCAGCTCCAGCAATCAACGCAGCAGCTAGTCGCTCTACCGCAACACCAATTTCTACAAGTCAACGTCATGCTTCTGGCAATATAGGTGGCCGCGCAGGTGGTATCCCACTCCAAAATCGAAATGTAGTATCGCCTCAGAGAGCACCACTAACCTCACCTTTAAACCCACGTCAAGTCCCAACGATCAACCGTGCTTCCCCTCAACGTGGTGGTCCTCCGACACAAGCCCAGAGAAACCGAAGTGGTTCATATGGACGTCCTCATGCTCAGCCTCTTTCCGAGCAGCGAAGAGCCAGACCAGAACGACCTCCAGCGGGTAAGGCATTTGCTGATGGCGCTAAGCTAGTAACTACAAGATTAGCTTTGACGCAAGAAGCACGAAAAGAGCAGGAAGCAAAAGATAAGGCGTATCTGGGCGAACCAGACGAAGATGCAGCTATTGCAGCGCAGGTATGTTCACCAAGCCTTACTGATATTCTGGAAATAACGTACTCTTTCGTCTAGGCATGCTATCTCTGGCCCATTAAAGACACTCCACCAACCAGTTTCTTCGGCTCAGTCCTGGAAGACCTTAATCACATAAAATTGGAACTAAGAGTTTGGATCGTCTGGGATGCTGATATGAATTCTTTAGTTATTAGTTCAAGACCCTGGCCACAACACGATAAGGCACAAGAAAATGTCCTTAAAGCAATTGCTGCAATCCGCCAAGACTTGCTCGATGCCAAAGCTAGAAGACTGTCGGCTACGCCACTTTTTATAAATGTTCCACCAACTCCGAAAGCAATGAGAGAAGAATTTCGACCGGTAAAGTATCGGAACAGATTGAACATGATAGAATTGAAAGGCAGAGAGCTTTCCATCGACGAAAAGGAGGAATGGTCTCACCATCGTACTAAGCTCTTAGCAGACAATGAGAACATGTTCACATCGCACCTCGTCAAGCACTTACGTGCTCTGGCACCACTCAAACAGATGATGCAGATGAGGCTTCATTTTGGCCATCTGAATCTCTCGCAATGGCCAAAACAGTTTACTCCAGGTTGCACTTACAAGGGTCTCATGGATGTTTTAAACGATCCTCGGGCGCAAGCTGCCTCAACGTTTAACAAAGTATTACTGGATGCCCAGACTGGTGTCGCTCTAGGACGCAAATTCGTTGGTGCCCCTGAAGTATTTACTTCCATATACGGACCACATTATCCCCTCGAGGAAGTCGAAATTAGCCACATGCTCTGCGTGTATTTCAGGACACCTCAAAACATACCCGTTCGTCTGGAGACAGATATTGACCGCAATGGAGAGAACCAGTATCAGCTAGGCTCCACTAGATACTTTAGGGACAACACCAGAAACAAACGTGTCGAGATTTGCAATATCGACATTGAAAGGTGCGTAACTTGGCCAATTTTGTTTTTAACGGCATACGGTGTGCTCAAAAGTCAATCTATTGTGCACCGAGAGGTATTGTCACTCGGAAGAAGCTGACCGTTACTTATAGAAAGATTGACTGGGCCTTGGAGATAGTGACCGATAACACTATCAAAGATCCACTTCCAGAGTGGCAGAAGCTCGTTGAGCGATCAGTCACAGCGCAGACAAAAGATCGCATGGATGCGAACGGAGTTCCGTACCCAGGCGTGACTGTAAGCTACGGTATAACCAAAGTCGAGAGAGTGATAGTGAGGAGCACAATCAAGTATAAGTTTGCGAATTCCGGATACGTTGTGGAGATCGCCGTTTATCGTGGCTGGGTAGGATCAGACACCAGACCTGAGCCAGAAATTCGACTGGGCGTTACTATGTACCATCCTGTATGGGACTACTCAATGCAATCAATCGAGGACACGACAGAAGTTCGAGATTGGGACAAGGATTTGACTCAGTTCTTCAACAATGGCGAGGAAGGTAGCCATGGCATTCCGTATTTCCTCACAGAGGTGGATTTGATTAAGAGCTATCTGAGTGAGGCTTCTACTGGCTTCTTCCGAAGTCTCAAGGCAGAGACCGCTTCGTCTTGATCTTGGCATTGCCTAAGAACCGAGACATTACAGATTGTGTCAAGTCGATAGCTACATGAGTCGGATTATTCAAGGGTGCTTGATTAAGCTTGTACCCTTAACCTGCTTCCTATGCCCTCTGCTAGAGCAGTTGCGGCTGCATCTTTCTAAGCGAGGAATTAAGTATTTCTTGACATTCAAGAAACTATCCGGACACATACAGGCGCTGACCGAGGAGTAGACCAGTGGTTATATGAGGGATACCGGTTTTTGACCATCCACTTTGCTATTTGTTCCCCCTGTTCATGATGTAGCATTTGCAGCAGCAGCATTCTGCGCCATGACTTTTTGCCGTAATACTGTTTGTAGATATTAGTGTTTGCATCTCGAAATGATATTTTTGACTTGCTATACGAGTCTAATGTGAAATGTCGTGACCATACGAGTTTGTAATAATTACAAACCCCCCAGGTGTAACGTGGAATCCAGGACCACAAAACAGGAGATATTGAAGGGAAAACCACTAACCATCTTCTATAAGTCGTAAACCATCAGTTTTTTCTGATATAATCTTCTCCAAAGCTTTGAGATTTGTCGCTAGCTCATCCACTTTGCCATTATAGAACTTATTCGCGTCTTTGGTACTCTATGCCCGTTAATCAGTATGTACGTCTATAATCGAGGGTTGTCCAATTTCCCTACCTTCTCAACGTAAAACCCAGTCCCCACATCCACAATCACATTGTCCGCATCCTTTAACGTGCCCGGTACATACAACGACGCCGTAAGCGGCACCAGTATTTCCTTTCCTACAACACTTCATGTTAGACATGACGCTCCATCCCAATATCGAAATCGCAATAGGTTTCTACCTTCAGCCTTAGCACCAGCACCCTGACTGATACTCCTTAGACACTCCTTGAATCTCGCTTGCGCGGCGCGTAGTTGTGAGAAGGAATTCGTGAGGTGGGTGAGCTCGTCTTCGAATTGTTTCTTTACTTGGGAGAGTTGTTGGAGGGAGAGGGCTGTTATGTCGACTGTGGATTTCGTTAGCTTCTTTTTGATGGATTTGTGGGAGGTATGGGGGATAATCTACCTCCTTGGCCTTTGGGGGAAGACATTGTGAAGTGATGGGTGGTTTGGTGGAGGGGAGCTGGTATGGTTGAGCTCGAGGCTGGAGCTTGGGAAAAGCTGGGGAGAGATGTGGGGCTGTTACTGGTGGGATGGATTGGAGGTTATCACGTGTTAGGTCGTAGATGTTGAATTAAGCTTCAAAGTATCTCATTTTTATGGGCACTTGTGATTATGTAGAGTTAGAAAAAGGTAGGTATCTAAAATCATGTAATTGAAAGAGATGGCTCAAGAGCATCTGGTATTGTTCTACATAACTGTAGTTAAAGTAAGCTTGATATTTTCTACAACTTATTCTCAATGAGATGAGAAACAGCCTTTGGATTTAGAACTCTATGCGAAGAGGTCTGAACTAATACAAATACGAATTCACGATTGCAGAAATACAAAGAAAGTGTAGTCTGAAAATGACTATTGTTTAAAGCTACCGGGATCGGCTCGGCCCAGTCGCGTAAACTTAACCCGACGCGTCTCCCAACATGCAAGCACTTACGACCCTGGTCCAAAGACACAACCCTCTTGTACTCATCGGTCCAGACCACGACCGAAAACCTCAGAATGCCTCGTAAGGCTGGTCCGCAGACGCCGAAACAGAAACAAGCCCAGAAATCAGCTCTCGCTAAGAAGGTCCTCGATGCGGCGCTCGAAAATTCAGATCAGGAGGGAGAAGAGGAGCACAGCCGCTGGGAATGGATATACGAGACGACCTTGAAGAATGGAAAGATCAGTACTACGAAAGACCGAAGTAAGAGTCAGTCAGAAAAGAAGGTCGGGTTTGTAAGGAGAGCAGATGGACTTGAATGCCGGATCGGTGATTGCGTGATGTTGACTGCGCCGGGAAATAATTCGGATTGGGTTGGCATGATTAAGGGATTTGTTGGACAGGATCATGATGGAGATGAACTTGCGGAGTTCTTGTGGTTTAGTAATGAAAAGGAGATACATAATAAAGTGAAGAAAAGAACGGATTTCCTACCAGTAAGGCTCAAACCTCTGCGTAATTGAATCATGAACTGACTGACTGGATAGAACGAATTATACATTACTGTGGGCATCGACGAGAGCCCAATCGAGGCGATCAAATGTAAAGCCATAATTCTGACGGAAAAGGCATTCAACTCTCGATTTCCAGCCAAGAAGATCTCGCGGCAGGACAAAGAGGAATATAATAGAACATTTATATGTCGAAGAGGGTGCAATACTGGCACAACTACTTATACAGAAGAACTCAACTGGGACGAGATAGAGCATAGAACTGACGAGGATATCGAGAAATTGATCCAGAAACTAACCTCAGAAACAGTCTCCCGAAAAAGGGGACGCAAACCTGGATTCAAGGTGGTGAAAAGAAAAAAGGAGGATTATCATAGTGAGGAAGATGAGGACTTCGAGGACGATATCGTCAAAACTCCTAGGAAAAAGCAGAAACATTCGGCGATAACGACACCTCGTAAACCTAAAACGCCGACAAAATTGCTCACACCAAGTCATAAGAGGTAGAGTAATCGTCCGGATCTGTTCACACTCGCTTACTATGTTATAGAATTGTAGTCAAAAAGCCTTTAGAATTCACACCACTGGGTACTCGAATACTAGATGCAGATCATGTATACTCGTCGCCATTCCAGACTGCCCGTTCGAGACTACATGTGGCATCTGTTCCTGACACGCTTCCATGTAGAGAAGATGAGTTTGCTTCGGTTTACTCACATCTTGAAGCTGCAATCTACGAGGGGACTGGGTCTTGTATCTATATTTCCGGAACCCCTGGAACTGGGAAGACAGCTACGGTACGGGAAGTCGTAGCTCAGCTGAACGCGTCAGTACAAGCTGAAGAGCTTGACGATTTCATCTTCGTTGAGATCAATGGTATGAAAGTTACTGATCCACATCAATCATACTCTCTGTTATGGGAAGCTCTGAAGGGAGACCGAGTCAGTCCGTCACATGCTCTAGATCTGTTAGAGAGAGAATTCAATCATCCTAGTCCTCGCCGAGTGCCTTGTGTGGTGCTTATGGATGAATTAGATCAGCTGGTCACGAAAAACCAGAGTGTGATGTACAATTTCTTCAATTGGCCAGGTTTAAGACATAGCAAACTGATCGTTCTCGCTGTTGCAAATACCATGGATCTTCCTGAGAGAACGTTGAGTAATAAAATCAGTAGCAGACTCGGTAACTCTCCACCTTACCCATCTCAACTATCAAGATTTCCTAACATATTCCAGGCCTAACAAGAATAACATTCCCCGGTTACACCCACGACCAACTAATGAAAATCATCCAATCCCGTCTCCTCGGCGTTCCAGGCGACATAGTCGAGCCCGACGCTATCCAATTCGCCTCCCGCAAAGTCGCAGCCGTCTCGGGCGACGCCCGTCGCTGTCTCGACATCTGTCGCCGCGCCGTCGAACTCGCCGAAGCCGAGTCCCAAAACATCGTCCCCAACACGCCCAGCAAAAGCGGGAAAGGAGAGAAGATCTCTCGGTCCGCGGGACGAGTCACGATCGCTACGATTAAACGAGCTATTAATGAGGCGACGACGTCGCCGCTGCAGTTGTATCTAAGGGGATTGCCGTTGGCGGCGAAGATTTTGCTTGCGGCCCTGTTGGTTCGGACGAGGAGGACGGGGGTTGCGGAGAGTGTGTTGGGGGATGTGCTTGATGAGGCGAGACGGATGGCGAAGATGGATACGGGGGGAAAGACGTCGGAGTTTTTGTTGAAAGATGATGCTCAGCGGACAAAGACGGCTTCATCTACGCAAGTAACGAAAACTGCTAGAGTTCTGGGGATGGGTTTGTCCGCGGTTGATCTGATGGAAGCTGGTATCATCGGATTAGAAGCTCGGAAGGCAGATAGGACGGGCAAGATACGGCTGAGTATTGGAGACGAAGACTTGAAGCTGGCTTTCAAGGATGATCCTGAGATTAAGGATCTTGGATTTACTGTATGACCAGCTTATATGATATAATATAGTAATTATCAGAACATGAACTTCCACCTTTTTTCGAGCGGATACCTATTCCTACATGAACTCCAGATGCGCCGATCCTGTGCAATTTCCTGTCCGCGATGCTATTAAAATTTTTGTCGACCTAATGTTGGTTTCCATTCTAGAGGATGGGTCTCTGGTGTTGCTGTCTCGTCTTGTTTCCATACTTTGACTGTGAGATGTTAGTATATACCTTGCTTTTTGATTCAAAGGCTAAAACTTACTGGTCTTATCCGCTTCTCCGCAAATCAATCGTAGTCCAGTCTTATCGTATGTAGAACTCATAAGTCCAGCTTCTGCATCGAGCGAACCTGGCTGAGCTGTGGTCTCTAGCGACTGAAATCTGTGTCCCGATTTCCAATCCCAAAAGCTCATAGACCCATTATCGCCTCCAGAGAACAAGACATTATCCTCATTTACCGACATGGTGTTGATGATCGAGTTCTGGCCTTCGAAATTCTGCATGAAAGCTCCTTCAGGACACTTCCACTGCTTGATACTCCCCGTACTTCCGGTTGCAAAGGTAAACTCCTTAGGATGAACAGCTAATGCTCTTACGCCCTTCTTATGGTGCGTCAATACACCCATAGTCTTTCCAGCCGCAAGATCCCATAACCGTACCGTCGAATCCAGCGAAGAAGTAATGACCTGTGGATCCGCCTCCTGACATTTCAAATCCGAAATCGTGCCCTTATGTCCCGAAAGCACATGGATATTACTCCTCGTCCGCATATCCCACACTCTCGCAACACCATCTCGACCCCCAGTTACTAGAACATCGAGCGTAGGATGTAAAGCCAGCGTATAGACACCACTCAAATGACCATGGTAATGTCTGATAACCTTATTCGTCTCCAAATCCCAACACTTAACCATCTTATCCTCTCCACACGAAAACAGATACGGATGTCTAGGCGACACAGCAAGGCCTCTGACCGTAGAAATATGGCCCGTCAACGTCAGTCTCAGATTTCCCGTCGCGAGATCCCAGATCTTAATCGTCCTATCCCCAGCACCACTCGCAAACCATTTATTCTCAGGCTCAACAGCGAGCGCGCGCACCCAACCCAGATGTCCAGAGATCACGCGCATGAGTTTCCAAGGAGCGTGCCATTCTGGTTTTATAGGCAGGACAGTTTGCTTTCGGACAAGACTCGAGGATGGTAGGTTTCGCTGCGTCGTTGGACCGTTCGCGTTCGGGGGTAGGTTTTCCGTGGTCACTCGTCCTCGGACAGTCAGAGCTGTAGATGTATTTCCGTTACTGGTATCTCTTGAAGCTACGCCCTCAATCATTTTCATCGTCTTCGCATCTGCACTTTTCTCCTCTGCCGGGGCGGTCTTCGCTTTCTTCCTCGGTCCAGCGGCATTGGCCATTTTCGCCGCCAGCGCAGGCGGTAGTTCTTTTACCGCATCGTATTCTGAATGTATCCGTGATGCTATCGCCAGCTGTTCGGCGGGTTCTGTATGCAATTCATCTTGTTGCTGGACTTCGGCGTAGAGAGTCCTCGAACGTTTCGCGTTTTGCTGTATTAAGTTCTTTAAATGATCGATTTGTGCTTCCCCGTTCGGCGCGACAGCAGTTGACATAGTTGTGAGTTGTAGGAGGTGTCAATGGTGGTGTTCCTGAGTCGCTCGTGGTCTTGACATTTATTTCCGTAGCCTCGCGACTTGGGTAGACGCATCGCGACTTTCTTGATGACCTGTTGGTGCCTTCAATATGAGGCATAAAAGTGTTAGGCTGGGGTTATTACGACTCCCTTTCTACAACTCATATAACCTTTCAAACAAAGCACATATTTTGATTTTCATCTTGTCATTCTCAAAATGGAGGAGCCAAAGAAATTTGCTATTCATGAGGCCGCCAGGGACGGAAAAAGTATGAATACCATCACTTTCCCCGTTCCCATCAAGTCCATTTCCCAAAACAGAAGGCTAATCCTTGTTGCTTTCTAGATCTTGTAGTGGAATCATTACTTGCTGTAAGTCATATATTTTATTGTTTTTCACTAAACATAAAGTCTAATAATAACTAGGCAAATCCTAAACTCGCATTCCAAAGAGATGACGATGATCGACTAGCAATTCATTGGGCCGTCTCATACGGACACTTGAATATTGCAGTCCTGCTATCTGGAGTTAAGAATTTCGATCCTGATGTACAGGTGAGATTATTTCGTATTTCGCTGCTCAAATACAACCTCGTGTTTTGTCCAGCGAACTGTGATGACGGTCGTTTGAAAGCCCAGAGCTCGTCTTTCCAGTTCTTAAAATCTACGGCCAGTTCAAATCTCTTAACTGAGATAGTCACTCTCAAAACTTCTCTTTCAAAGCTGCAAATGCAACGTGCTAAATTAAGATAACTGACACATGCAAACAGGATGGCTCAGGCTGGACACCCCTCATGATAGCCGTATCCCTCAAAGAAGGAGACGACCTAGTCGACCTCTTCCTCCGCAAAGGCGCCGACGTAAATGCAAAAAGTACCTCCCTCACTCCATCCCCTCCTTCCCACCCATCTAACACCCCCAGACAACTCATCGCAAACCGCCCTTCACTTCACAGCCTCCAAACTCAACCTGCCCGCCGCAAAGAAACTCCTCTCCGCCAGCCCACCAGCCAGCACCCGCGTAAAAGACATACGAGGGCAGTACCCCATCCACCGCGCTGCAGCCATCGGGTCCGTCCCTCTAGTGCAGTTATTCCTGGCGAACGAATCTCCTCTGGACGCGACGGATGTAAGTGGGCAGACGCCGTTACACCATGCGATTGCGGAGGGCCATGGCGATACGGCTGTAGCGCTGCTGAAGGCGGGGGCTGCGACGGATAAGAAGGATAGTGAGGGGTTTTTGGCGCTGGATTTGGCGCCGGATTCGCAGGTGAGTGTGAGAGGATGAGACGTGGGAGGTTGCTAATGTGCTAGTAGGTTAAGAAGTTTATTTTGCAGGAGATGGAGAGGGAGGGGATTGAATTATGAGAAGATGTCTTGAAATGACTAAAAAAGTTGAAGATTGATCATCCAAAAAAGATAAGGTATATTCTTACAAGCTATGTGCATTGAAGATATGCATGCTCAAAGTGATATAAATGATGCCCCCTTGGAGAAATCTCGTACAACACTATACACTCGGGTCCTCAGCCCCCTGCAACCAAACCTGGTATCTCTTGTCGTTCATTTGACAGTCCTCTCAACCAACTCCCGATACATCGCCTTGATATCTTGGATATCACTCTTCAGTTCATCCACCAGCTCGCTCTTCTCGCCCAGCATTTCAAGCGTAGTCTCATATCTCTCATTGACAACTCCTAATTCCTTCTCTAACTCAGCGATACGTGATTCTTGGTCCCTCTTCACCTGAACCTCCCTCATCAGTGCCACAATCTCAGCACGAGCCTCATCACGCTGGGCAGCAAGACGTGCAAGTTCTTCTTTGGTGCCAGCCTTTTCGCTTTCGAGACGACGGACTGCAGAGCTCATTCGTTCGACGAGTTGGACTGAAGGGCCGGCGCCCGCTGTCGAGACAGATATTATGTCATTCAGCGTCTCGCGGGGAGAAGCTGGAGACATGACGTGCTCGAAGAAATCATCGTGTTCGTTATGGGCTGGCGGGGTATCGTGTGTCTCGCCGTTTTCTCTGAGGAATGACTGCATAGAGTCCTGCCTCTGCGGAGGAGGAGTAGCGTTACCAGATGTTCTACCAATTGGTGCTGCTGACGGACGGCGACCTAAAATTCGTTCTGTGGGTGTAGGCGGATTGTCACTATTGACAGAACGAGCGGAAGCTCGTCGCATTTGTAGATTTTGGAGACCCAGGTATTCGGTTGTCAAACCTCTTCGCATAGACGCAGCAGGAGACTCTGCTCGGCTGTTGACGAAGGACCCGGCCTCTTCCTGCCATTTCTGTCTTTCCTCTTCAACCCGCTGTAATACTTCTGCTTGCCATGATTTTTTCTCCCGATCAAACGAAGCTTTTGCTGCTTTCAAAGCGGCCTCAGCATCTTCTGCTCGCTTTTGTAGATTCTCAAGCTTGGATCTCTGTTGAGCGAGCTCTTGTTCAAAGCTAGGAAGCTGAGATCTAGTCTCTTCTAACTCTTCTTCGTTACGTTTAGCTTTGAGGGTCTGAAAATCTTAGCAATGCTTCGGTTCAATAATGTGATCAACTCACCACTTCTCGGGCTTTACGCCTGATGTCAGCTTCTCTTTTAGCTGCTTCGTCTCTCTCCTTCTCTAGGCTGGTGGCACGCGCAACAAGAGAAGCCTCTATACCTTGCCAATTTTCACTAGCAACAGCGTACTGACTCTGCAGCGTCTCAATCTGGCGCAATAACTTCGCCTGAGCATCTCCGCCTGTACCTGATGATGCCTCCTCTGCTCTCGCGCGCATTACTTCCAGCTTACTTTCGAGCATCTGCTGCTCCGACTTAGCTTCAAGCTCCATCATACGTGCTCTTTCGGCTTCTTTGTCCATCTTTTCTCGTAAATCTTTCATCTGACTCTGAACTCTTTCGACAGCAAGACTCTTCTCGATGCTCAAGTTCGCCAGATTCTCCTCCAGCTCTAATACACGTTTCTTCTCAAGTTCCAGTGCTTCATTGGCGGCGTTGGCCTCGGCCTCTTTCTCCTGAGCTGCAGCATCCTCTAGTTGCTTCCTTAAGTCGGCGATTATCGAATCTTTGGATGACTTCTCGCTTCTCGCTGCATCGAGATCCTTTTGCAGCTGGAAAATCTGCTTCTGCTTCTCGCCCAGTTGCCTTTCTGATCCTTGAGCTCGTCGAAATCTGTCTAGCGCCAATGAAGCATCCGTCTCCGCCTTTTCCTGCTTCTTCTTCGTTTCGGCTAGCTCTTTAGCATCTTCTTGTGTTTTTGCACGTAATTTCTTGATAATAGTCATCTGATGCAGTTCCTTCTTGGAAAGTTTCTGTCCTTCTTCCATTAACAGGGCGATCTGCTCGTCCTTGCTAGCAAGTCTCTTCTCTAAGCTCCCAGCTGGAGCTGAGGTACCTGCAATCTTTGCAGCTTCTGCGCTTTCCTTGGCCAAATACTGCAGTTTAGACTGTAAAGCATCAATACGCTCGATGTAGTCATGGACCTCCTCCTGTCTTTGCAATTCAGAGGTCTCGAAATCAGATTGGAGTTGAGCAAGACGCGCGTCAACGTCATCCGGTGATTTTGTCGCAGAGCTGGCCTCCAACGACTTTCTGGCTGCGGTATCTAAAGAAGACCGCGGTAAAGATTCCGGTCGGTTTGTTGATTCTAGAGAAGCTCGAGGCAAGCTTGATCTGGTAGATTCCGCCGACGGACGAGGGGATGCTTCATCCTCGGGTTTCGCAGAGAGCCCATTGGGTATTTGTTGCGCATGTTCAGGGCTCGATGTCTCCTTGACAGCTGGTAAAAGTTCGATCGAAGGTGTTTCTTTCGTAGTATCATCTGTAGGTATAAGGGTCTCTATCCTTTCTGCCTCTACTTCATTCTTCGGCTCCGTGTCCATACTTTGTCTCGGACTCTCCCCCACATTAGCTGGACTCTCAGTCCTCGAAGGAACCCCCGATGACAGAGCTAATGAATCGGCCTTCTCAGCTTTCTGCGCATTATTCTTCGCAGCCATGGCCCTAGCCAGGCGTTCCTGTAATCGATCATTCGTCCTATTCGTAGACGGCGTACGGGAAACATCTGTGTCTCAATTAGCTCTGGAAAAGCTTCTAGTCCCCCCATCCTCCGTATCTTACTTTCTGACTTCGGGGCAGCCAAGGCCGCAGGTGTAGGAACGGGTTTCTTCGCAGTTGTAGGACCCTCATCCTCAGCGAGGATGTTATCCAGCCTGGATTCCACTCCGGCAACCGCTTGTTGCAAGAACGATCCCCATCGTGAAGTCTGCTTCGCGGGCGCACTCATCGTCGTGACGCCTCCGTTCTCTCAATGAAGCTTGTCGGCTGGGACCTTGTGGAATCTCGAGATGCGCCGTGAGCAAACATCACAGTTTGAGTGAATGCATGAAGCGATATTTTGCCCCGGACAATTGGGCGGTATGCGGTATGATGAAATTAGATTGGTCTGCATATGAAGCTCGGTATCTGTGATTAGGGAATACGAAAGAAGCTGGGCAGCCAGAAAGACTCGCTGGAGATGCCACGAAATCACTCCGACAAGGCGGCACCAAATGCCAGATCCCTGCGCTTATGTACGTCTCGCGGGCTATCTATTTTCAGGCACCCCCCACAAGGCTGTCTACAAGGCTATGAAGCAGAACAACGTACTTTGAGAATGAGTGACATAGTATCATTGCTTCTTGATTATCATAATGAATGGCCTATTTCCACGCAATCCCATAAATGAAAATGCCGCTCTAGCCAACGCTTAGCAATTCGAAAGCCTTCCTCCTATTAACCCATAAGCTGCTATGGCCAACTTCACTAACAAGGAAAGGGCACAATGAGTTCAGCTTGCCTCTAGTCTCCGATAATATTAGGGGTATCATGGTATAATCTATGATCTTCGCTGTTTCAATCGCTCATTATGCCACGCAAAAAATAGGCTCAAACCGACTTGCGATCCTCACGGTCGAGGTGACCGTTCGTGTGGCCGTTTGTATGACCATTGATAACGCCGTTAGTGGTCTTTCCTTCAACAATTTTAATTGGAATGACTTCGGGAATCGAGAAATAGCTTGGCCAGCTTAGTATGTATTCATCTTGTCGTTCGTTTAGGCAGTGCCGTAACCAAATGCCCCAAACAAGATAGAAGTAGGATCCAAAGCCAGTCATCAAGTGCCTGAAAAAGTCAGTCATTAAATACCAGAGCTTGACACAATCCAGACTTACCACCACCCATGTCCTTCAAGCAGAATCCCCCATGGCAATCCAATCTTGCGTCTCCAGACTCTGATAGTCGAGCAGTATTGATTGTCCAACGCCCATATCCCAAAACCGCCTAAGAATATAGAAAGGCCTATAGCAACCAACAACCACATCTCATTGAGAATTGCTCTATCTCGGACCTCACTCGCAACGCGCTGCGCTTTTGTCTGCTCGGTATTGGCTAACTTTTGTGAAGGTGTCGCGTATTTCGCTCTTAGTGATGGTCGAAGGTTAACTTCCATAACATACATCGATCGAAAAAGGACGACTGCCGTAATGATGGCGAAGGCATTTTGGTGGAATACGGGATCTTGGAGATAATGGTAATAGAGCTAGGTTCATATTAGTTTGTGTTTCGAACAGAAACAATTTAGTTACTTACAGTAATGAAAACCGCAAGCGACAAAAGTGATGTGCCCAGAACTCTGCGAACAGTTCTCGATTGGGAGAAAGAGAAAGTGGCATAGCACATCAGACAGGCAGTATAGATCATGGAAAGCTCATCCACAAGCTGCATTGGGTCTAATAAATTAGTTTCGTAGTACCAGTATTGGAATGCGGAAGCCTACATTTCAAGGTGCTATGGAAAGCAAAACTGCCTGAGCCCACAAGCAAATCTGTGTCGCGTATGAGCATATTGTCCTTGAAACCAGATACGAATATGCTTACAGCCAAGGAAAGCAACCAAGAACACACTGTCGTGTTTGTATTTCAAGCAATTCCGGATGCCTTTCGCTCCCAGAGCTATGAACAGGAGGTTCGTGAGGGTGTTGACAATTTCCGCAGAGTAGATTGTCGCATAGTAATCCTCTGAAATTCTATTAGCAGCTTTCTTACGAAGTTCCTCGGCTGAGGTCATCTTACCTTCACACCAATTGATGGTTGATGTAACCGGCGCCCAATACCCATCTTCCCTTGCCGGAGGGTACGGAAAGCTTAAACCCTTGAGCGGCATCGAGTAATATATATCTTCTTCCTAGCACTTGTGCCGGAATTCCAAAAGTATATTCAAAATATGCTGTTGTTACAGCAAGTGTTGTAGGACAAAAGAACGAAGGAAAAAAAGTTACACCAAGAAAGGGACCTTGAAAGCTGGAGCGCGGGACCTAGCTGTAGTAGTTACTCAGCATTCCAAAGCTAGGAAAGGCCCGGAAGAGTAAGGGCGACTGGCGCTTGATCATTCTAAGTACGAAGTTGGTCGGTCTACTGGTGGGGAAACTTTAAAGAAAAGATAGTAGGTAACCCCCTGCTGTAATGCTGAAAACACACGCATGTTTGTTGTAACGTCATGGTTGTATTGAGAATTTGGTTCGGCTGCGACGGAGCTGGCCTCCTTTGGCGATAAGCGTCAGGGGTTGGATAACGGCATCTAGGTCTCTTGCAGCAGCATGATTAGAAAGCAATTAATAAATCTCCATTGTTATGTACACTGTACACGTCGTTACGAATGCGGTCTCTGTTGATGGGAGTAAACGTCAAGGAATTTAGCAGCTCGTTTTAATGGATGTAGCAAAGTTCTGCGAAGTATCAAAAGCCGTATCTTCGGCAGTCGAACCAGCTGATTGTCCAAGTACCTTGCTCGAAAGGAAAGCAGAACAACAGGAAACCCAGTGAAATGCACTAACACTGCCATATCTCGATATAGCCAGGCAAAAGCAGAACATTATTTGATGGCTCGTGTAAGCCAACGCGGCCAGGTCAGGTTTGTGATCTAGGTAGAACTCTAAATCAGTTAAGTGTTGACCAAAATGTCACTTGACCTGGCGTGCGGCCCGCTGCCAAGGCCGGAGGGTTCGCGGTTCGCATCGAATAATTTACCAGGTTGAGTGCTCTGTTCGACAACAGCTACCTCAACGACCGACGAACTTATATCTCCTTCGACCCCGACTTTTCAATACCTAGTTATACCAAGAAAATGTCTATCTCAAATGAGGCGTTACAGAAGGTAAGCCAGCCCAGGGGTCGCAGTTGTCGCGCCGGATCACATTGTCCACCTCCACACTCGAGCAACTACGTACTATTACGGCCATCAGGTGCTGGCGCTTTAAAGCTGGTTCAACACAAGCTGACATATACTTCGGATATAGTTGGTCCAGGAGATCGAAACTCAGGCCGTACAGTCCCAACAACAGATTGCCCTTGTAAAGTCACAAATGGCATCAAAACAACGTGAGATGCGAATGCTTCAGCTCACCTCGAGTGAGGTGTCCACTCTTCCACCTGATACTCCTGTCTACGAAGGAGTCGGCAAAATGTGAGTCTTCACGAGTTTTCTTTTGACTCGAACATTCCACCTGTTGTCGTCGGTGCTACCACGCGACTGGAAACCTTGCTCATTATTGGTAGGTTTGTTCTCAGCCCCATCACCGGCGTCGACACCAGATTAAAGGCAGAAACCCAAGAGCTGAAATCAGATGTCGAGAATCTGGGAAAGAAACTGCAATATCTGGAGACGACCTATAAGAATAGTCGAGAGCACATTGATCAGATATTTAAAAATGGTGGAAGAGGTTGAAGTTAGGAGATGCAGTTTTCAGCAGGATTAGTGTGGTTGGACTACCGAAACCATTCTATCTAGCCACTCTGCACCATCACAGGTCAAACGAAATCTTCCACCAAATTCGCAAAAGAACTTCTAAGAATAGAAGTCCTTAGTATGTTTCATATAGGACTTTATCTGAGATGGCCCGGCGGATGCTACCGCAGAGTCGGGTGCTTACAAAACACCAACACGCACAAGATGCGCTTCCTGACACATGGAGATTTCCCAAGGATACAAAAATACATCAATGATCTCAACCTGCAGAAATCTTATTTCATAGCCCGAAAACTGTGACCACTTGAACTACCGCATCTTCTCAGCGATGAGACAACAAATTTTCTGTTTCGGTTACCGCTTGGAATTCGCTTTTGGGGGCCAGAACATGGACCACCAACATCCTAGCCAGCTGAGCGACCTACCCAATTGGAGCGAACATAAAGGGTACAGGGCCCAATTCCTCTTTGAATTGATGCGTTGCTTTCTGCAGAAGTTTATTTTCAGAGTTACGGAAGCGATGGCATGTTGCTTGGTGATTTCTCCTGCCATACGCATCAACTCAGGAACCCGCTAGGGGAGAAACATTTGCCTCTGGGCTTCAGATAACATGTTGAAAGTTGAGTTCCACCACCAAGCGACGTGTCCATTGGGCAGAGAAGCGCAGCACACGAGCAGATGAGCCTAAACCTATTTCGACTACTTTTATGCACCATCGGAGTGATCTACTGGCGATGGAGGCATGGTTTTACGAGAAAATCATCTCTGCAGAAGTCTAGCTGCAGCAGATACCACTTTAAACTAAGCACTAAAACGCCGGAGGCTGTATATTTCTTGGAACGCAGGAAGGAAACCTTGCCCTTCCAATCTTCGCGAACAAGTGATCACAGCACAGAGAAGAATCTTGAAGCTTCTGTCCTCCCACCTCCCACACATGGCGTGGCAACCTCGTGCTGGAGGAAGCGGCTGGATTGCATGATTTGCTTGTACGGCGTGAGCGAGTGCACAGCGTCGAGACCATCTACGATGCACGCCAAACGTAGACAGCACCTGGCAAATCTCCCACTGTATCCAGATTCCAGCAGCTCTCAAGCTCGCAGAAGCCGAAACCCCGTCGCAGTAAGTGGCAGTTGACAGCACCGCATCTCTTTCCCCTTTGCGTCCACGGTTCCTCGCCCAGTGGTAGTCGCTAGGGCTGGAGGCGCTGTCCAGACGCGGGAGAATGGAGATGGTCCAGGCGGAGGATGTCGCTGCCCCGCTTCGACAGTGCGTGCAAGTGCGACACCCCTCTGGCGGCAACCCGCCGGCTTGCCTCTTCTGCTTATTCCAGCCTCTGGGGAACGCTGGCGCTCGAAAACACCCCCTTGAAGGCCGGCCACATTTGGCCCCCTCACCACATCAAGCATACATTTTCCGTGGGAGATATGAATTGCTAATTAGTTAAAATCTCCGTCCCTCCCCCATGGCTGCTGTCAATTTGTCAAAAGCCCTACTCCCAGAAGTCTCACTTTAAATTGGCCCATGCCCACTCCTGCTGACACCGACTTTTGTCTCTCTCTCACACCCAGATCGTGACACCGATCACGCTGCACAGCACGCCTCTACCTCCTAACGCCGTTCAGTCTGACGCATTCTGTTCTATTCCCTTCTGTTATCCAAAACTTCATATCTCATCGTCGACCGTTGTACAAGCTTTACCGTCCTTTCTTATCGCAAACACCTTCCGCGGGGCTCTTTCACGCACGCACTTCACACTGCGGGGTCCTTCCAGCCCTACAGCCTGCAGGCGACAATATCGTTGGGCGAAAAGCCATCGAGTTGCTAAAAAAAAGTTGCGAATTTCTGTAGCCTTGCAGAAATAAAAGGCTTCGGAAATATCATCAAAATGAGTAGCTACGATTACAGCGAGGATGAGCTCGACATCCAATACAGAAGTCGTCGTTCCCCACCACTCCCTCGTGTCTACCGCGATACTCGACTGCCTTATCGAGAGTCACGACCACGATATGAGCAACGAGGACATTCGCCAGAATATCTTGTTCCAGCTGTGAGCGGCGGTGGGGTTCATAGATCACGATCAAGAAGCCATCGAATGAGCGCGCCAGCACCTGCTCCAATTATAATCAATAACCGAATTATCAACGATCTGGACGACGACCGGGACGATCGACATCATCTGCGTGATTACCTTACGGCTGACAACAGACGTCGCTCTCGTTCACGCTCACACTCGCACTCTCGAAGATCGTCACACTCATCTCGGGGCTCCTTCAAGGAGTATGAGCTTGAACGCATTCGCGAGAGGGCTCGCTTGGAGGCACAGATGCAACTACAACTGCAAACGCTCCGCTCAAACGACTCATCCACTGATCGTGATCGGGGGCGAGCTCGTCGAGAATATGAAGAACTCTTGCGCGAGCGAGAACATCAAGATCGAGAACTTGAGCTAGCTCGCGACAAGACTCGTCGAGAAGTGGAAAGCGAGATGCGTTATGAGAAAGAGCGAAGGGAGCGAGAGAATGAAAAGATCTCCGCGAAAGTCAGGGATCAATATGAGCGCGAATCGGCCAAGTCCAAAGCAATCCGCGAGACCGCTGAAGCTAAGAAGATGCGCGAGGAACTCGAGCAATTCAAGGCAGAAAAGGAGAAAGAAGCCCACGAGCGACGGGTGAAGGAAGAGCTCGAAATGAAGCGGTTGAAAGAGGAGAAGAAGAAAGCAGAAGAGGCAGCTAAGGTGAAGAAAGAACGTGAACTCGCTATCGAGGAGTTCAAAATCAAGGAAGCAGAGCGTCACGAAAAGGAAAAGAAGGAGAAAGAAGCGCGCGAGAAGGAAATTGCCGAGAGGCTGGAGACTGAGCTGCGGAAGTCGGGTATCGATGAGCGACAGATTGCTATTGCGCTTAAGAAGGAGATTCCAATTGAACGACCAACTTACACCAGAATGGCGAGACGACATCTGTCTATCGAGACGTTGAGAGTGCATAGGATTGATTATGAGTTTGACCAAGTAAGTTCCAACTAGCCACCCACTTAGCGTCACACACTAACACATCCCACCAGGACCCTGACTACATCCTCATCAAACGCTGGGTCCCAGAAGAAGAACAAGATCGCCTCTGGCACCACACTCGACGCATTCGCGAACACAGACTCACGACTGTGGTGGGTATTGAGGGAAAGAGACATAATCATGGTCAGGTGGACTATGAATGGGTTAAGACGAAGAAGAAGGAGAGGAAACCTAGTCCGTCTCCGCTTTTGACGTTCTTGGCAGGTGGGAGTAGACGTTAGGTTGTGAGCGAGATGGACTGGCGATAAAATGGAAATGTGATGGGGGACGGTTTGCAAGAGATGCGAAGACGGAATGAAGTCAAGATAAGGTTACCAGGACCCTCGGGACAACAACCCACTGTCTTTAATGCAGGACTTAATGGCCCGGGTCGGCAGAGAAAGGTGGAAGGCGCATCTTATTTTACATTTTACGAATTTTCACGAATGATTTATGCAACTGCTGCTCGTTATGATTACCGTTCTTATTGGTGTTTGATGGGGCGAAGAAGGAAGGGGAAGTTAAGTTTGGACTTGGATTATGTTGGCTTGGGGGTCTATTTTGTTTGCGTTTTAATTGATAAAATACCCAGCTCAAATCTAAGATTGTTACATGATATCTTCTTTTCTCGGTTACTCGTTCTGAAAATCTTCCATTGGTATCTAAGGATAAGTGACGGAGATGTGAGTTTTTCCATTTCCTCTAATAATGCTTTCCATCCACCTTTTCGTTTTGTACAATGCCTAGTTCTTTCCTAATACCTTTATCGTCCAAAACTGAGTGGTATCTTTCCCGCCTATTTATACAAAAAATGTATACTGTACATATATACAGCCACCCTTCCCCTCCTCATCACATCGCACCCTCCTTCGCCTTCCACACCCTCTCCGCCCGTCTAACACTCTCCTCATAAACCGTCCACGCCAACGCACTACTAACGGCCTTCCTCCCCATCCTCAACCCCAACCCATCCGCCAAACACCTCCACCCATCCCTCCTCACCATCAAGCCCAGTCCCTGCACCACATTCCTATACACCCTCGGCTCAAGCTGGATCCGCGTCTTAATCGCATCAAACGGATTCGTAATCGCAGTCGCCAGTCCCGCGGCCAGTATCCCCGACGTGAAATTGATCGTCGCAGATGTAGACGCCGCCATGCTCTGCCCCGGCAGCGGGAGCGTCGTGGAGAGCAGTGAGAATTGCGCTTTTAGGGACTCGTAGAAGAGGACGTAGAGACCTGCGTACGGCGCATCTCTTATGGCTGTCGCTCCGAAGCCTGAGAAAAACCCGCGGAGCCCTTCGGTTGCTAGGATGTCTTTCGAGGCTCCGGCGATGCTTTTGTATGCGTATACATTACTTTCATAGCGCACTTTGATAACGGTCATAGGCATGAGCACGAATCCCGCGCCCGCCCTGGCGACGGCGCCGGTCCCTAGATTCGCCCATGCGGAGAGCTTCGGGAGGGAAGAGGAGTGTGTGTTCGTCGCGCCGGGTCGCAGGATGTTCGAGCGGGCGACGGATTGGCGGAGGGTGTTCAGCGAGGTGAAGTAGATGGCGGAGCCGAAGCCGGTGCGGAGGGCTGAGGGGAGGGTGCCACGCCAGAAGGAGAGGAGGCCGGTGGAGGCGATGGAGCGGATGGTGGGGAGGAGGGGGAGGGAGTTGGGTTGTTGGAGACGGGTTTTGAGGAGGTCGGCTGGTTGGAGGAGGATGGCGGTTGAGATGCCGGAGGTGAGGCCGGCTAGGAAGTGGAATCCTGAGGGTTTGTTAGTATTTGAGTGAGGGGATTGAAGGATTGGGCTTGCCAGTCGACGATTTTCCCGATTTGGAGCCATTTGACATTTCGTCTTGAGTTCACAGTGGCATTGTGCTCAGTATAGAGTATGGCGATCTTGGAGTTATACCGAGCCCATCGTTTGTTGCAAAAGTGGCTAAGAATTGAAGTCTGGCTTGAAAGAAAGTCGTGGTGACTCGAAATATTTCTGATCCTTCGGGAACTTTGGAATCGAATTCAAAACGTCATTAGGACCCCTGTCTGCGACACGACTTCACGTGGGAACCAAGTAGGCAACAAAAAATGTGTCATTATTAAGATGTTATCAGATTTGTAGACTCAACTATTTGTGTTATTACTTTTTGATTTCTTGTATTTTCACTTTGTCCCTTTGTTGTTCGTTCACCACTTTTATGGACTGTCGTGCTGTTGCCTCTACATTTATAAATCGACAGCGAGGGTGGGATCCTCAAGTAGACAACCAACTTATATCAACCAGTCATAATAATTCTTGTAACTTATCTCAAGATGGTCACAGCAGTAAGGTTCCGTGTGAAATATCATATAGAGCGATCTAATTATTTCCAGGCAATTGGACAACTATGTTCAACCTCTTCCATGATCCACAATCTCTCAACCTGCAAACTCCTCATCAAAAACGCCGTAGATGCTGGTGCTAAAGTCAGTACTGACTCACTCTCTAATTACTAGATACGACAGCTCAAAAAAGCTAAAAGGTTTAGGCTCTGTTCCTTCCAGAAGCCACAGACTACATAGCCATAGACGCCAAAGAATCAATCTCCCTAGCCCAGCCAATGGAAACCAGTCCATTTCTTCTCGGAATAAGAGATGCGGCCAAAGAAGCGTCCTTAGCAATCAACGTAGGTATTCACGTTCCGGCAAACAATGGCAAGCTCTTGAACCGAAGCTGTTGGATCAACGAGAACGGAGATATTGAAAGTTATTATGATAAACTACATTTATTTGATTACGGGAATTTGAAGGAGAGTAACAGCGTAGAGGCTGGGAAGGAGATTGTGAAGCCGGTAGAGACGGTGGTTGGAAGAGTTGGATTGACTATTTGTTTTGATGTGAGTGCCGCTGTGTCTGATGAGAGGCCAATTAATGAATATGTGTAGTTGAGATTTCCAGAGATAAGTCTAGCACTTAAGAGACAAGATGCTCAGGTTATCACCTATCCTTCCGCTTTTACTGTTCCTACTGGCAAAGCTCACTGGGAAACTTTACTGCGTGCAAGGGCTATTGAAACGCAAGCATACGTGATTGCCGCTGCTCAAATCGGAGCTCATAATTCGAAGAGAACTTCTTACGGTCATTCAATGGTAGTAGATCCATGGGGTAAAGTGTTGCTGGACATGACGGGCGAGGGGTCCGAGCCAGAAATAGGAGTTGTAGATGTTGATTTAGAGCACCGAGAGACAATAAAGAAAGGCATGCCTTTAATGAGAAGGACGTAAGTAAACCCTCTAGCTGGACTTCCAGAAACTGACTGTTGTGTTAGTGATGTTTACCCCGAAGTATGAGGTGCTATGGAAAACCTAAAAGCAATGGCACTGCAAATAAAATCCAGTAATTCTCATATTTGGTGCTTTTGGGAGTGGTTGTGATTACGACAAGTATCCGTCTCTTTCTCCATTGGAATTCTGAATTTCGTGGTAGTCTGCCCAAACGCCATCAATGCATAGTAGTTGATAATTATGCAACGTCCAATGACTGTTGAAAATCTCTTGTGTGCCCCAATGCCCTGCTTCGCAATGCTTTTAAATTCGCCCAATCAATCAACATCACACCTTCATCTCCCATCCTGTATCATCCTAGTATACTCACCATCTACAATTCTTTCTTTGGGCGCTTCTGTTGGGCTTGGGCTCTCTTGGCGTAGATGGCTCCAGTAAAGGGATCCTCGAATCGCAAGGCAAGAAGATAGACGATCAATACTTCAGCAGTCAAAAGCACACCTGCAGGTTTTCCAAACCAAAGTGCGGTGCCTAGGAAACTCATGGTGGAGCCATAGTACATAGGAGCACCGCATATGTTGAATGGGAATCCAGTAACCATATCATCCATCAGAATCCCAAAGTAATCACCCAAGTATGTGCCAGTTACGCCGAGCGCCCACATAGAAGAGATGACGAGAGTGTTACCACCGGCGATGAGAGCGTATGCAAGGTACTTTGCAAGATCCGTTTCGAGAAGGGGATGAGAAGGTTGGGCGCGAAGGGCTCGTTCGTAAAGGAAGTCGCGGAATATCCCGAGGGAGAAGATGGTTACCGCCAGGCCATAGCAGGCATATCGAGAATTGCCGCCGGCGAGCTTAGTGAGGACTTTGTTGTGATATTCTAGAGCGGGTTAGAAAGGGCATATTTGCGCATTCTTACTTTTCACCCTCCTTACCTTGGCGTGCTGCAGTGCTGATGTTCTTTTCAGTATTCATGTAATCTATTCTAGTCGGGAGAGAAACTCACTTCCAGAAGATCGGGTTGAACGCAATTGACGCTGCTGCGACTGTACAAATATTGTGAACAACATGTTCGCATAAAGGGAGCTCTTGACTTACTGGCAAGACTCTTTTGGTCAAAGTCCACGAGACCCTTATTGTTTCCCAGAAAGCTCGTCATCTTGTCTGGGGATAATATAACAGTCCGATTATTAGCGCAACCTGGTAATTTAAAGAGTAGGAAAGAGGAGAGTTTCGAATTGTTGTTCAGATCATCCGCCTTGAAAGAAGAAGGGATAAATTAAGCGAAGCATGAGCTAGCCCCCCGCACTCATGACGTTGGAACCGAGCTTGTGAAGATATGTAGAGGTTCACCAGACCAGATTGACAAGTGACAGCAGGCTTCGATTAAGCTCACTATGTTGTTCACATTTATTTTATTGGGCTTCGACTTTGAAGAATGGATTAAAGATTAGTGGTGTAATTACTTTTACTATATAATGTGATCTTTCCTCAAGAAAGCTCTTAATTTAGGTCTACACCTTAAACCAGGATATCATCCAAACCCTTTCCCAACCCATGACGCCTGACCTTTTGTACATTAGTAGTTCGTAGACTACTGCCGCCTCGTCCTTGTTTTCTTAGCTGTCGTAGCAGCATCTTCTTCCTCCTCGTCTTGTCCTTTCTTTAGATCCTCATCCAATTGCCATTCCTCTTTATCATACCAATCCTCTCCATCGGACATGTCTCGATTTACACCTACGTGAGCTTCGGCCTTGGCCCATTTCATAACCAACTGGCGGTACCGGTCAGCTCTTAACAGCCCCTCGTATATCCTCTGGGCGCCGCGACAAACTTCTTCCTGCTTTTGAATATATAGCTGCAATAATCTGCGGGTCTCCTCCGCCTCGTTGGCAGGAAGGCCACAATCGCGGTCTGGATGCGAAAATTTTGGTGCTAAAAAGTAGGGATGTATAAAGCCATCAGTATCAGAGTCCGGTGATGCTGACCTGGTTCTGCTTGACGCCGTATTGTCTGAAGCGGCTTGTGCTTGAGCGCGAGTTCTCATTCGACGCGGTGCCGGAACCTCTTCTGTGTCTCCAGTGCCCGCATCAACATCCACATCGCCTACTTCTTCCACCGGGCGTATCTCGTTTCCCTCGATCTGAGCTACGGCTTCTTTCACGGCTACCTCCATATCCATCACTTCGTCCACAGTCTCATTTGTCTCCCCATATCCAGTTTCTCCCCGATCTTCCATGGCCTGACTCGGTATGGGAGGACTTTTTGGTTTTGTGGACTCGCCCGACCCATTTACTTGATCAACACTCGGGTGCGTGACTTTCGCGACTTGACCCCGCGCAGCATCGGATGCTGATAGTCCGTTGTTGATGGCATTTGGTTCCTTGAGGGTTTCCAGAGCAGTCTGGGTTGCGTGAGCCACGCTTTCCAGCAGTCCAACATTCTCTGCCTCTTCGGAAACAAGGGTTCCTGTAGATGCTTGATCGGCGTCATCCTTTGCAACCAGCTTCCCAATATGCGCTCGGATCTTTTCTCGTTCATCAAAGAAAAGATTAACATCATCTTCCGCTTCAACGCTCTCGCAAGGTATCCAAGTATTATCTCCGCTGAGTCTTGTGAGAAGATGCTTTATCCGCCATAATGAAGCTTTCTCTTTCTGAACCATGTTTCCTGCATGCTGAGTGAGTTCTGTGAGTGTATTTGAGACGAATGGTTTGGACAAAGTAGGGTGATTAGGCAGGTCGGACGCGCTCGTAAGTGGCATTAGAAGATCTGCTGGATGTTAGAATTGCCTTTGTAAGTTGTCAATGGGCTCCGACCTTCAATCTTCACATCTGCATATGGATCTAGTTCGGTGGCTGCATTAATTGCAGCTTGTGTTCTTTCGTCGTCTTCATCACTGTCCACGTCGTATCCATCGTCGTCGATAAGTGGTGGATTTTGACTTATTGTATCTCGATAATACCCAGCGTGCTCAATTTTCTGAGACCATGTCAGTCCGTCTGCTTTGGAATGTCAATTCTGTCGATTATACGCACCTTCCTGTAGACTTGCGGCCCCGAGGGCGGAGCTAATTGACCCTCGCGAACAAATCTCGACTTTCTTTTCAATTTGTTTCCTCGGTTTGTAAGTTCCTCAATCGAATCGTCGGAGTCGGAATCTGCAGCACAACTAAATTAGATACTGCAATTCTGTGCGATTACAAGACTTGATCTTACCATAGTCTTTTCTTTTAACCGCCTTTTTCATTCCAGCGATTGTCTCGGCGAAGATGGCGGCTTGCGAAGCCATTTCAAAGGACACCACGAAGCGGGACAGCCTCAAACAAATGTATGGAAATTAGAAGTCGAATCAGATCCTGGCAGGTGTTTGGGTATGCTTCGAAAGCTGCTGGTCAACTGTGATTAGTTGGCGTCTAGAGACTTTGCAGAGTCGGATTCTTGGATGTTTGATCTGTATCGTGCTTCATGTGGGAGTTCGGCCGATGATGTTGTTTATGCGTGTAGCTGAATTATGCCTATATATTGTTAGGTATTATGCGACAGCGACTCCGGTCTTCTCTTACAGAAGAAAGATGTTTATGAATCTTCGAACGCGGAGGTGTATTTGGGGTAGCCCCGTGTCTGCGACAAGGCTGTGAAAGAGCACCGGATGACGCCCTAAGAATTTGTGGGGCAGTGGAGCTAGGGGATAAGCAAGGATCTTCAGCCAAAAGCACATTATGTTGATCGTAAGTTCGACATGCTAGAATTTATTGTGTGAAGCTGGGTAAATTTTATTTTAAATATTTTATCTTGTTGATTATAATGAATTCGTCGTATCACGCCACTTTCGGACGAAGAGAACTCCGATTACTTTGCAGTACATGAATACATCGTAGATTCTTGGACACAGCTATTCGTAGAGAGTATCGGCATTTGCTGTGTTCAAATTATACATTTTGATGGTGAAACGTCAAACTTCCACTTCCTAGCTGGAACCCATAGAGCACGATGGTTGAATTTACAAAACACTTTCCACTCCAGCTAGTCTTGGACTTAGGTCAGAGGGTCAGGAAATCCTCATTACTACTTTGAAGTAAGAGTCTCTCTAAAGATTAGCTAACGAAAATGGTATCTTGAATCATGAAAGATATAATAGAAAGTTGAAAATGCAACTAATCATTGGTAGGTAGAAAATACTCTCAAAGGCCGGCTTAACTAAACTCTTAAACTCTCGTGATCTGCTTGGCTCGTTTGTCCTGGGTAGGTGGCACTAAATAATTAGTCTAAGGTTCATGCTATTAGCTGCGTAGTCTCTCCAAACAATAAATTTTGTTCTTTTATTTCAAGATGCTGAGGGTAACCATTATGTGATATGGCGCTACATGTTCCTCTGAGCGAAAGTGCTCAGGAAATGTGTCAATAAAGTACTGTAATACACCACCAATCGACGTTTGGACAATAACTTTGCTACACCAGAATACCAAGTCAGTCTACCAGGAAATGTTTTTCCATAAGTATGGAAGTCCTCGTTCTTTTTCAGAAAGTGAAAGTTCAATTCCATTAATATTGAATGTTCATTTACCAAATATTAAGACGAAAGAAAAGACCGGCCTACTGATTTGCATCAGAACAGATATGTCTTACCATCTATTTGGTACTACTAGATCTATAGAACTAAAAAATGAATTTGGGTTGATAATCGGACTATTTGATGAGATAGGGCTGATACGAAGTGGGGCAGAGTCTCAGACGCGGGGTTCAGAGGCCGAAGTCGCCATACAAAATTTCCCACCATCACAACAACTCCAAGTCCTTGGAATAAAGCCTAGTGATTCCAATTCATCGCATAATAAGGAAGACTCCACAATGGTGCCTACTAAGAATGTTTTCATCGGCATCATCGGTAAGGGCCAATCACATTAATTAACCTAGATAGCAAGTTCTAACGCGAATTAGGTGTTGGTGGGGTTGGAAAATGCTTCCTCTCTCAACTCGAGGTCCTCTCCAAACGACTGGCAAAGAACCCATCCTCGCCAAAGCTATCTCTCGTACTAGTCTCCCGAAGCTCAAAGGTCCTATATAGCCCAGAATACCAAGCATTGCCGTTCGAGAGCCTGGCCACGAAAGTCACAGAATCAACCCAAAAGCCACTTTCGTTGACGGAAGCAATCGATTTCCTCTCCGCAGCACCCTCAAATGCTATACTTGTCGACAATACCAGCTCCCAAGACGTGGCTGACCAGTACCCCCAGGCTCTTTCCAAGGGAGTCAGCATTATCACACCAAACAAGAAAGCGTTTTCCGGCTCGTACAAATTGTGGCAGGATATCTTTTCCGCCGCGGCATCTTCAGGGGCCAAGATCTATCACGAAAGCTCCTGCCTAGCTGGCCTCCCAGTCATTTCTACTTTAAAGGACTTGGTAGAAACAGGAGACGAAGTCACAAGAATTGAGGGCGTGTTTAGTGGGACCATGTCGTTCCTATTTAATTCTTTCGCGCCACTCGAAGGTTCCGGAGGAAAATGGTCTGCGGAAGTCTCAAAAGCCAAAGAGCTTGGGTACACAGAGCCGGATCCAAGGGATGATCTTAACGGATTGGATGTTGCGCGTAAATTGACCATACTAGCAAGAATGGCGGGACTGCCTGTAGAATCACCAACCGATTTCCCAGTCCAGAGCTTAATTCCCAAGGAACTGGAAAGTATTGAAAGCGGCGACCAATTCATGCAAGAACTGCCTAAGTATGACTCTCAGATGGAAGACCTCAAAGTCGCGGCCGAGAAGGAAGGCAAGGTACTCAGATATGTTGGGAGTATTGATGTTGCTAAGAAGGAGATCAAGGTTGGTTTGGAGAAATTTGATCGATCGCACCCAATCGCAGCCCTCAAGGGAAGCGGTAATAGCATTAGTTTCTTCACGAAGAGATACGGCGCTGATCCTATGATTGTCTCGGGAGCGGGTGCTGGTGGAGAAATTACAGCGATGGGCGTGACAGGAGATTTGATAAAAGTCCTTGAACGGTTGTAGGTTTCTTGATTGAATTGAAACTTTATCATTCTTCAACCGCAGATCCGTCGTTTATATCATGGCCGAGCTTTTGCGCTCTTTTCTTAAGCCCCGAAGCAATATCTGCAGCTTCACCTGCTGCAGAAACTCCCGGTAATGTTAACCTTCGCGCTATGCCATTCGGTCTCTCGCTCAGGCTTGGAGCTCTTGGACGCGGTCGATTCCTTGCTCTACCGCCAATATATGGGATTTCGTAGGTCGCTGTACGGAAGACATAGAGTAACGCGTCGTAAATGATGAGTAGTAACCAGGGTCCGATAGCGATGAATCCTAAGAGTACCTGTGAGGGGAAAGTTAGCCAATGTATAACTATCGATTCAATTCAAGACTTACAAATATTCGCACTGCCCAAATTTCTATGAAGCGAAGGCTCTCCGGCATAATTGAAGTCCACGACATCGTAAAAAGTTGGAGATCGCAAAGTTGCACTCTCGGACCAGCCAAAGGGGTACAAGTAAACACGGGTATTATGGCGTCTGTTGGAAAATGGTCTGAATTGTGAACGGCTCCAGAGTCGCGGATGAATCTATCGGCGTCTTCTGAAATGAATGCCGCGACGATTGGGTGTGCGAATTACTAAAAGCGCGGGCATGTCGAACATTTGAGAAGTTCGAAAGTAATACAGCTGATTACGGAGAATGTGCTGATGCTTTCCTTTGCACTGGGAGAACCGGATACGGCCTGCGCATGACGAAAAGTTACAGGGCTTGAAGCTTAGAGAGCATGCATTGGTCCACATCAATTGCCCGATCACCTTAAAATGTTCAGCCTTGAGGCAGAGCCTTGTCCCCCTCATCTCAATCTTCACAACCAAGATCTTTCGCGAGACGAATTCGCAGCCATGCCAGGACCTGCGAATAAAAAGCAGAAAAGGGAACAGTACAAGAATGCGCGACAAGGCGGTAGTACAACTGAATTGCCTAAGAAGAAGTTTTACAGACAGAGAGCGCATGCGAATGTTTTCTCTGATCATGATTTAGTCTAGTGAGTAATGCCAACTGTGTATTAACGAGTCCTGGAGCTCATGCTTATTATGTTCTAGTCCAATAAGCCCTGCATATATGGACTGGGCGACTTATTACCCAGCCTACGCGGAACCCGAAGTCGCTGATTCAATTGAGTCAACGACGAGTCAAACGCAAGACATTTCCTTGAAAGCAGTTGAAACACAGGATGGCTCTGATGGCAACGGGGCAACTTCTTCAGAAGCCATACCCATGAAGGCGAAGGACATGAGAAAATTAAAACAGGACGTAGAAGTTGCAGATATTGGGTGCGGGTTTGGTGGTCTTCTTGTAGCTCTGGCACCTAAACTTCCCAATACGTTAATGCTAGGTATAGTTGCATTTCGTTGACAAGGTAATCTCATGCTAATAAATGCTATAGGGATGGAAATACGAACACAAGTCACCGAGTACGTGCATGAACGAATCAATGCTCTTCGGTTGCAGAATTCCAAAGAAGGATTATATCAAAATGCCGCTTGTCTGAGAGCAAACAGCATGAAATTTCTTCCTAATTTCTTCAAAAAAGATCAGCTTTCCAAAATCTTCCTCTGTTTCCCAGATCCTCATTTTAAAGCGCGGAAACACAAGGCGCGAATTGTATCTACGACTCTAAATTCGGAATACGCGTATGCCGTCCGACCTGGAGGTATCGTATACACCATAACGGATGTGGAGGACCTCCATTTATGGATGGTGGAACACTTTGAGAAACATCCCTCTTTTGCAAGGGTTAGCGAAGAGGAACAGGAGGCCGATGAATGCGTGGAAGTCATGAGGATGGAGACTGAGGAGGGACAAAAGGTAACCCGAAACAACGGGCAAAAGTTCGTAGCACTATTTCGCCGTTTAGAAGATCCACCTTGGTAATACAATTTCCGGTATGACAAGCATTTTGGTGACAATTTCCAACGCGAATAGAATATGGACGCGTTTGCAAGCAGAGCACATGTAAAATGTAGCTACATCTAGTCGTAGATCGAGTGATGTGACCAAAATCTCTTCACAGATATAATTTGTTTTAATTGAAAAGAAACTGCAAAGCCCTGCAAACACCGAAGGCGTCCAAACGCCATTTCTCTTGAATCATCTCCAAAATTGTGTATCTCTCCAAGTTGCGTTGCTCTCTCTGAGTTGTCGCCATGTGAGCGCCTGCTTTCTGACCCATGTCAACCCTGCTTCACAAGGAAGCTCCTCCAAGAGCTTGCTCCGTCGCAAGTTCAACACCACCATGCCGTCCGAGGAGGACGCACTCTCCCGCCACGAAGATTATGGCCCTCAGTCGACGGGATGTGATTCTCGCTGGCATCGCGTCCTTTATCGCTTGGGGGTACGCTGTTAACTGGATCCCTGCTCTGCGCTGGGCTGGCTATGCTCTTGTAGTTGGCATCATACTGCCAATCGTGGGGTTGATCGCATTGCTCGTCACGACTTCGAGGGGGAGCAGATATACCTATAAGAACAGACAGATTCGCCCGAAGGGACCAAAGTTTCTGGGTGCGAAGGAATGGGATAAGGAAATCGCTGCGCTTCGACGTCGGCAAGCATACCATTGGAAACCTCTCTACCCGGAATCATTTCTGGTCTCGAATGCGCTGGACGAGCTACTAGAGTTCATTCTACGGGATTTCGTTAGCACCTGGTATTCGAATATCAGCAAGAATCCAGTATTCGTCAATGAAGTAGACAAAACAATCCGGCTTGCGCTGTCTAGTCTGTTAGATATCGTGCTAGACCTAGACATAACGGAAATCGTCACAACACGATTTGTGCCAATTTTGACGGCGCATTTCAAAGAATTCTACGAAGCCGAAAGGGCTATACGAGGCAAGAACTTGAATCGCCATGTCACAGAGTCAGACGAGTTGGACCTGGCTATTGCTGCGAAGTACAAGGATGGAAAGTTACATGCGGCCGCGTCTCTAGCATTCTCGGACCTGAAGTTGGTTCAACAGGACTATTTGCGAAAGATGACCAGGGAACTACTTCCCCGATTACTCCCTGACAGAGTTCTCGCGAGTCGAGCTGTTGGAGTTTTGATACAAGAACTGGTTTCTTGCGCAGTTCTTTCGCCTGCCATTGGGATGTTGGCGGAGCCCGACACATGGAATCAGATTATGGAAGCTTATGTATGTCGAGTCCGAAATTTATATAATTGATACTAACTGACCATTGATAGGGCCGCTCGATGCTACAAGATCGTTCTACTGTACGGAAACTGCGAGCGGCACTTGACGAGCATGCTTCCCCAGCCCCAAAGCCGAAACGAACGGCCCCTTTCCCACGGATATCACCTGGCGATCATGAGAGGAAGTTCGAGAAGTTTGTCCGAGCTATTCGGAAGGTCAATAATCTCTCAGATGCTCGCCGCTTTCGAAGTGAAATCACAAGCCAACTAAAACGAGATGCTCTTCAAGAAGGGCAAGACCCCATATATCTTCGTCGTCTCGATATCGGCAAGAGAATAGCAGATCAGCGAGTACATCAGCTTGCAGCTGGCGGTGAAAGAATCCCATCAGCGGACCTCAGCCAGAAACAAGCCCCAGTTTCAAAATTAGAGAATGCGTCGCTTGTTGATCTGTTGCGTGACCCCTCTGGACTGTCTTATTTCATGGAATATATGGATAGGCAAAGTCTAATGCCAATGGTACAATTTTGGATTGTTGTAGATGGGTTTCGAAATCCACTCGAGGATGAATCTGTAGAAGGAGACGAAATTCCAGTCACACTTGCTCCTTGGACTGAAGCAGATAGAATGGATATTGCGATGATAAATGAAGCTTACTTATCAAAGCCTGAACTCAAAGTGTCCGAGCAGTCGAAACAGCATGTCACCGATTTCTTGAAAGCAGGCAAAGAAGCTACGCCTAAGCAATACTTCTTAGCCAGGAGAGCTGTATTGAGAACCCAAACTGCAGCTTTGGAATCTATGCAAGATAAGCACCTTGCAAATTTCAAAAAGTCGGACCTGTTCTACAAATGCCTTACGTCTCAAGAAGCGTCAAAACCTCAGGCGCTTCAGCCGTCGACTATCGGTCCGTCGCGAGTAGAAACCATCTACAACAAACCCGCTTTACCTGTTCGTGCGATTTCAGCGCAAGCTTTACCCCCTAAACCGACGCCATTATCTCGAGTCTCGGCGAAACTATTACCTAAACGCGGTCATGACCTCCGTAGATCTGTCGTGTCGTCAAACGATTTAGTTGGAGCTACCTCGCGTGTATCTGAGATACTACACGAGAACCGTCCCTCTTTTGACGAAGAGAATTCCGGCCCTCTTTTTGATGACGAGGACTTCGACAGTGAGGCAATGGGTAATTCAATCCATAGTCTTGACCAGGATCAGCGCGAGTCAACGCCAGACAACAATGTAGTCGAAGCCATGGAAGCAGCCCTAAACGATATCATGGAGGATAAGCCAGATGTGGAGGAAATGCGGAAATCACTTTTCGGACAAGATCTCGAGTCATCAATACACAGCACTTCGTCTTTAAATGGGGGTCATAACTCTACCAGGAGTTCGATGGATAACAAGCGTGTAGACCTCTTTGGCGACAAGGTAGAGAAACCCAGTATCGCATCGTTAGGCCTCGTTAATACTTCTTCTCGCATTGGCGTCTTTACTGATGATGATTTATTCGGAGATGAACAAAAGTTCCTTGCGGACGAGCATGATGATCCTGAGGAAGACAAAGCTCGAGACGAAGAGGAAGAAGTTCACGAAGCTGCTCCAGGCGATCTAGGTCTGATGGAAGCCATCACTGTTCTCACGGCCGATATTGACAGACTCGTAGCACAAGATGCTGTTGTTGACTCTTTGACTAGGAAGGCGGAGTTGACTAATAACAATGCTGAGTTGCGAATTTTGAAGAAGTCCAAAGCGAGTTTGCAAAGGGAAATTCGCCGCAAGGAGCTTCAGCGACAACAATACGTAATACAAGAGAGTGACAATAGTCTTTATGGACGCTCGACTATCAAGATCAAGTCAATCATGGCTGGGAAAGAGGAAGACGGCCGAGAGTATGCTGTCTACGTTGTCGAAGTACAGCGGAAAGCTGGTGAGCAGATGCCAGCCGCTACATGGACCGTAACTCGTCGCTACAGCGAATTTCATGAGCTGCAGCAACGACTCCGAATGAAGTACTCTTCGGTCAGGAACCTCGATTTCCCCCGGCGACGTATGGTCATGAAGATGCAAAGCGAGTTCCTTTCCAAGCGGAGACAGGCGCTGGAGAAATATTTGCGGGAGCTACTCTTGCTTCCAGACGTTTGCCGTAGCCGTGAATTGCGAGCCTTCTTGTCTCAAAGCGCAATTGCACCTGGTACAGATAGCTTCTATGATCATGAAGACAAAAAGGATATCGTCACTAGATTTTATAATTCGGTGACAGATGGTATGGAAGATCTTCTGGGTAACCTTCCCGTACTGGATCAGCTTTCTGTCGCGGGTCAAAACTTGCTCTCTGCGGCTACGAATCAACTGGTCACAATGCCGACAGCAATCGGAGAGGATCCAGTGACAGCAGCAGAGGCTGAAGCCGAACTGAACGCCTTCGAGGACCGAGAACTGGAACCGTTCGTCAAGCCTATCTGTGATATCTTCTTGGAAGTGTTCGAACTCAACCGTGGTAATAATTGGCTGCGTGGCCGGGCTGTCGTGGTTGTACTTCATCAATTACTTGGAGGAACTATCGAACGCAAGGTACGGGATAACGTCAAGGGTATAATCTCTGAGGAGGCCATCATCAAATATGTCGGCCTTCTCAAAGATTCCATGTGGCCCGGCGGGAATCTAAAACGAGACGGCAAACCCAGAACCGAAGCAGAAAAGGCGAAAAGTAGAACAGAAGCGAGTTTGATGCTTGCGACACTTATTCCAGATTTGGCAGCAAGTGTGGTAGGAAGAGTGAATGCACAGGCTGCGAGTAGGAGAATCTTTGCAACTTTTAATAATCCGCGGTTGAAGTAAGTTTTAGCACTATGAAACGTAATGCTGTACTGACGTTTTCTAGTGCACACCTTGTCTTCACCATGTTAGATGAAGTTATTGATGTATTATTTGGAGATATCAGGACATAAGCATTGAGGGTTTAGCAAAGGCGTTTGGGGCTACTTATGGACATGCATTGCAGGCGTTGAAAGAGATATTGGGAAGGGAAGAAAGCCACACGTAAATAAGACTTCTAATGCTCATAGCTAGGCTATGTATATAAAACCGTTCTCGTGAATATCAGCTGAATTTGGCAAGGGAATAATGGATTGAATGTTAGTTTCGAGAAACATATATCTTTTCGTACACCATGCCCAAAAATCATAGTTCAATGTTAAAAAGAACCACATATCCCGCTAGTCTATACTAATAAGACTAATTCTAAACCCCCACTTCGTCCAATCCAGCTAATACACACGCCTAGCCTCGTCACAAGGCTGAACCCCACCAACATCCCCTCCACGCCCTCTAACCTTCCTCAACCAACTTTCTTAAAATGTCAACCACACAACCCTTCACATTCCCAAAATACTACAGCTACCCGCCCTTCTTCACCCGCCAACCAACCTTAACATCCTACCACGCACAGCTCCAAAAATGGTCCTCCCTCATCCTGTCCTACTGCCGCCATCACCGGCTCTTCAAGCTCTCCATCATCGACGCGCTTGATAGTAACTTATTTAATAATAAGACACTTGGGAGGAGACTGAGAGAGGTGAATGTGCGGGAGGTGCTCGAGTATATGCGGAAGGAAGGACGGGTGGAGTGGGTTGGGAAAGGGACGGAGGGGAATGAGGTTTGGGTTTGGTGGAGGAATCCGGAGGAGTGGGCGACGGCTGTTTATGAGTGGGTGAGTTACTTCATGGGGGGACTTTGGAAGGGATGTGACTGATGGAGATAGGTTGATGAAACGGCGCAGAAGAATACGGTGTTGACGCTGTATGAGTTGACGGAGAGTGAGGCTACGTTGTCGCAAGGTATGATTGATCGTTGTGGTGGGGTACAAATCGCTGACTGGGGATAGAATTTCATGGCATGGATCCGGATTTATTGCAGAGAGCGCTTGCGATTCTGGTTAAGAGGGGGAAGGCGCAGATATTTGGGCAGGAGGATCAACAGGGTGTGAAGTTCTTTTGAGTAGAAGGGTGTTCGAAAGGAGTTATTTTATTTGGGATCATTGGGTCTGCATTGCACGGGAGTTACAGGGTCATCATCGGATTTTTAATCTGCAATATACACTATCATTTCGTCAATCGACGAATTCCACACCATATACGGACCGAAACTCCTTCGCAGGGTATACGCCATTACATTCCATCTTCGTCCCGACTCATACACTTTCAAATAAAGAAGCGATTCTCCATTTGTTTGGTCAAGTCAATCCAACCATATACTTTTCATCCCATTTCAATTGCTGGCTCATAGCAACATCCAATAACCAATCAGTCGTCACAATCCTAGGCTCCATATTGCCAGCTTCAGCCATCTCAATGAAGCTGGTCCAAAGTCTTCTTTCACTTGGCTTGTCACCGGAAACCAAGTACACGGGCTCCCCCCCTGCGTCGTCCTCTTCTGGATTTATTTTCCTAATAACAGGCTTGCCCGTGTAAAGGGCAAAATGGCCGCCGTTCGCCTCCACGATCTCCTTGTAGGTCTCTGGGCCGTTGGGAATATCTTTGGTGCAATATATCGGCACAGGTCGCAGAAGTGATCGCTTGTTAGCCTTCGCTCGTTGCACAACGTCCTTCAGTTTCAACCCGAACTTCTTCTCGTTTGCAGTATCTTTCAAAACATAGTCCTCGATATCTGGTGGGCCACCTTTTTTCACACTCGAACACGCCTCGATGAAGTCCGTTGAAATGATTGTGGGGCCCATAGCGAGGGCACATAGGAACTTCTTGGTTCGTACCAAGTTGGGAGCAGCTAGATGAGAGCATTTTCTCGCATCCTGAATGACATGAATTCCGAGTTCACGTAACTTTTTCTGCAATATTGTTAGCAATTAACTTTATGTTAGACTCATCGGACTTACCTTGTCTGAATCTTCCTTTGCTACGTTATTGACCCATCCTGAATAACCGGTAACGACCAGTTGGACCTCGATCGGGACTGTCTTCGGTTTCTTCTTGTCCAAACTCAATCGTTGCCTTTTTGCGTTCGGGGTGTCTTCCGCAGAGAATTCTTCCTCCTCCTGCTTGGTTGCGGGACTAGAACTACGATCAAGGGCTCTCTGTTTTTCGACTTCATTGGCAGCACGCTCTCCGCCCCAAATTGGACCTTTTCTCTTCTTCTCCTTCTCATAAAGTGCAATATCAGGTGCCATTCCATGAAGATTTGACAGAGCACGCGCTTTTGCGCTTCTACTTCCCGTTGATGAAGGGGTATCGTTTTCCTTCCCTGCGCTTATCCGACGATTGGCCAACGGGGTACTCAATTTCGGATTCGTAGTAGACTTTGCACGACCCTTAACTATCTGCTTCACTTGCTTCACAATCGTTCGTTTAACTGCTTCATTTGCCTCGTCCTGGCTCATTGCACTCTCGTCATCAGAGAGCTTTGAGCTGGAGAGGTTCCGGTCTTTCTCATGCATTACTGGTCGTCTAAGGGAGCTTGGGCTGGGCGTGGGCGCTCTGGGGAAATATGCCTTCTTCAATGCTTTCAGATCGAATGGCGTCTGGCCAATGACCTCCCCCAAATTCGTGCGTGGTGGAAAGTGAGTATATCGAGGCTCGGTAAGTCGTTGGATTTCGCATCTCGCATAACTTTCCTCGATCCAAAGATGGTTGATTATCTCAATACCCCATTCCTTCGCAGCATTACATTTCTCTCCAGAATCGCGCGCCGTTACCACATGTGTATTATTCTCCTTCATGCTTTTCGTAAATGTCGCACCGGTTGCGGTGATGAGGTTTTCGAGATACGTGCGCGCATCCCCACCATAATTGGATAATGTAATGCAAAGCCCTTGAAAGCCAGGCAATCCGCCTTTTGGTAAAGGATAATGAAGTAGGCGTTTCATGGGCGATGTCCACTCGTTGTGGGTAATCAAATGGTAAAGCCAGGAAAGATTTCCTACGTCAATACCAGCGCATGCAGCTGTGATATAATCTCGTCCATCGCGCCAGTGGCACACAAACATATCTGCGTTATGAACTGAGCTTGTTATAGATCCACCACCGCCTCTGATGAGATCTTCTATCACTTTTCGTGTCCGGCTACCCATTTCAAGATCTTCAGATATCATGAGTGTCTTACCCTGAAAGACATCTAATCGACGTGGGGAATCGGTGGTTAACGGTAATGACTCGGGTCTTGTAGATGAAGCTCCTTGGATGTACTCAGATGCTGGTATTTGTAGTACGTCGTCTTTAGTCGCTCGCAGTATTTCTGGATCCGGGAGAAGATAGGGCTCTTCGCTTATGCGCTTCCCAAGTCTCAAGCAATCATCAAACCTGGCCATCTTAGCATTGTCAAGAATATTGCTACCGCTGCACTTACCAATGAGGCAGAACGATCTTACACTTCAGGTTTCTCTCTTTGACAAGAATACATTTGGGATTGTCCATCGTCAAAGCACAAAGATGTGTGCATAGCTTCGTAAGAGAACTTGATTCCGATCCTCCCATCGCCAGAACTGCGCCTACGATTGCATCTCTATCACCCGACGGTATATCGGCGCACGAGATGGTAGTGTTTGAAAATATGAGGTTTGGGTCTGGCGTATGCGGTCTTGTAGGAGCAGCTTTATTTTTCAAAAGCGATTCTGTGATCCATGATGGCTTTACCACATTGATCATGCCATTTCGCGCCTCGGGGTACTGGGGAAAGTCGCTAGTCGTCGATAAGATGTGAGTGACATCGTCGATCCTGATTTTCCCATCCCTTTTCAACTCTAAAACCTTTCCACCGTGGTCCTCTACGGTTTCTTGCAGCTGACACACGTATTAGTATTACGGTCACGGTCTTGGGAAGTGGATGCCTACTTGGACAATCTGCGACTGTTGAAGATCTCGACTTTGAACAAAAGAGAAAACGCAATGTTCGAACATCGTCCCTTGTTCTGCCATCGTGAGTGTTATAAAATGTTGCTAAATGACATGTATGGACGATGCAGCGAGACTCTGGATTCGGTCGAGGGCGAGCACTCGAGTATAACGAAAGGCTTCGCGACGCGGGACCAGGATTCTAGCGCGTAGATTGGCAAACAGAGACGCGTCGAAGGCAATCTACACGTGACCTCAGTCTCACGTTGTTTAGCGACCCATCCAGGCCAGGCTTACTCGTTACATTTTATTCCAACAATTCTTACTTGAGTTCCTATGTATCTGCCAAAGTTATTTCATTCATGATTTCTACTCTATTAGGGAATGGTAAATCCGCGGCTGGGCTGCGACGGTTACATGAGACCTCTTCTCTGCGCTTGTTCTGCCTCGTCAATAATAGCATCCACCTATTCCCAAGAAGGAAAAGCGGAATCCGCGAACTTGGGGGAATGGAGTCGAGACGTTGGTATAAATGAAATGTTTTTGTCATCTTCTCGTGTCCAGGTCACGGTCAGCCGTCGTCTCGATTGCTACAAAAGGTAAACTTCTCGATGCGCTTATCTCTTTTTCCACACCGGCAAATAGGTACGTACTTTGAGCCTCGGTCTGAATCGTCAACTGCCGATAGTCTCAACATCTCGTAAACTTCTCCAACCGCGACATCAACCAAAGTTGACCAACATCGACAGCTTGAAGGTCACTTACACTTGTGAACTTGCTCCTGATGCTGAAGAGTTTGGATAACTTCTAGTCGGGCATTATTCATTTACCCGGTCAATCAATTTCATACTCTTTTCTTTCACTTCCATCCATCCATTGTACTATCCATATTAGCCATGTCTTCGTCCAATTTTGAGATCAAAGAACACATCTTAGAATGTCAGCATATACGGGAATATCCAAGAGCACTTGCTCATTCGCAAAACGATGTATTACATATGGCGATCAAACAATACACGCCTTTAGACAACCTAAAACCCCAGGACGGAGACGTCACTATCATTGGAGCTCATGCTAATGGCTTTCCGAAGGTAGATCCAATCAATGAAATAAAATCTCCCAAGTTTCTAATTGTCTAGGAACTCTACGAGCCTTTATGGGATGATTTACTTGCCCGCTCAAAGACCAGTGGCTTTCGAATTAGAAGTATTTGGATGACAGATGTAGCCCAACAAGGCGCAAGCGGGGTGCTTAATGAACAGCTTTTGGGGAATGATCGTAAGTGCTCCTTTTGCCACCATATCTTGCTTCTAACAATCAGATTAGCTTGCTGGTTCGACGGTGCCCGTGACTTATTACACATGATCAATAGCTTCCGCTCAGAGATGCCCCTCCCCATAGTCGGTATAGGCCACTCATTAGGAGGTAACATCCTGTGCAATCTAGCTTATATGCACCCACGTCTCCTCACCACGATCGTCTTTCTTGATCCCGTAATTCAATCGCACGCATCTCAACCCGTTGGACCAAATCCCGCTCAAGCCTCCACGTTTCGTCGGGACCTATGGCCATCACGGGAAGAAGCCATCGCAGCATTCAAGAAGCAGAAATACTTCCAATCCTGGGACCCACGGGTCTTCGACCGGTGGTGCGCATTTGGGATTCGGGAGAATCCAAGTTCGGTGTATCCAGATGAAAAGGGTAGCGTAAGTTTAACGACGACAAAACATCAGGAGTGCTTTACTTTCATGAGACCTAGTTGGGATGCCGTCACTCCTGATGGCAATACAATTTTAAACAGACAATTGGTACCGGATATGGACGTTGGGAATCCAGTTACGTACCCATTATATCGCCCAGAGCCTCCTCTGACCTTGGCGAGAATCGGACAATTGAGACCGAGCGCCCTCTTCATTTTTGGAGAGACGAGTCCGATGTCTCTACCTGATGCTCGAAAGTACAAAATGGATAACACCGGCACCGCGCCTGGGGGTAGCGGTGGTACTAAAGAAGGGAAGGTCAAGGAGGTTGTTTTAAAAGGCATTGGGCATTTGGTAGCTATGGAAGCTGCCGATCAGTGTGCAGATGCGGCTGCGGGATGGCTTGGCCAAGAGCTCAAGGATTGGAAGAAGGAGCAGGAAGCATATTTGGAATGGACGAAAAAGAGCTTGGCGGAAAAACAGACATTATCTGAGCAATGGAAGAAGATGATAGGAGGACCACCGGTGAGAAAGCCTAAGAGTAAAATATAGAGGTAGCAGTACCGTCGAATGTTAATCCAATATCCTATTCCTAAATATACATCTCATCCAAACATCTAAGTGGCACCATGTGCAACACTAAAGTCTCAGCGGTTCCAAAACTCGCGCCCCGTTTCATGCCAAATAATTTAGTCCTCATCAGGAGGAACCCAAATCAATATCCCCTCTTTATCCATCTTCATACCTTCCGTAGGCGCTATCTTCAACGTCTTCTGGAAATATCTATCCTTAATAACACAATTGATCGGTCCAATCCAGTCGCCTCTAATAGCCGGTAGTAACCTGAATCTCACCGTCCTCCTTGACAAAGGAACGAGCTGTAACGTCGACTGCTTCATACCCGAAAAGGCGAATTTCTCGTTCGGTTCCATCGTTAAACCGAATGTCAAAAAGTGGTTGGAGGGATTCTCAATGGTGACATCAAAGTGTATCATTGATGAAATAGTTGCCGAGTACGAGACTGCTGCGAGAACTCGTGGCTCGCTGCTGGAGACAAGAAGGCGCGGTACGGCAAGTTTAGATATGTTGAGGGGTGAATCTTTAACATCTCGTCGCCATTTGATGAGCAAAGTGACATCCAGTGTGGCTGTCCCGCGATCGTCCAAGGATAGCTTTTGTGTGAAGGCGTCGAATTGGGCCTCTTCGAGCGTTCTAGGGGTTACCTTTATCCCACCTTCTGACAGGGGACTAATACGTTTGGTAGAGCTTTGGATGCCACCATTCATTCCAATAACTTCCACATCGATATCTTCCACCAGCAAGTCTTCCGTCGCGAAAGATGCGTATCTTGCAGTCAGGCACCATTTTTGCGCCAATCCACGAGCAACTTCGCTGCCATCGGCGTCGGTGGAATCTTCATGAGTGAAGAAGCTAGGCCATGAATCTGGATGTATTCGAGGAGAAAAGTCGTAGTTTGCCTCAAAAGGATTGATGACTTCCAGTTGCATAGTGATGGAACGAGAAACTGGCGTTTCTAGATCCGATACCAAGTTGTAGGACGCTTTGACGGCCAGCTCATATACGTATGGCAAGTCAATAGGGGGAATAATAATATGTACGACACTCGAGGCAGAGCTAGCTATTCTGCCAAGCGGCGTCCCCTCCAGTGACTTTTCAACTTCATCTTGTTCTTCGGGAGCTGATAGGGCCTCGGAAGCTCTGATCTCAATTGGCGGTGCATCTTCTCCCCTAAGATAGACCTCAAGGTTGGTAATGGCGTCAACGTCTTCTGCGTTCAGAACCTCGAGCTCTAAGCTAATGCCTTCGCTAGTGTAATATTGGCCCTGAAGTCCTCTAAATCGCAATTCCATCTTTGGTGGCTTGGGCAAGACCCTCAAAGTCGATGTATCAGGTCGTGCAATTTTCTTTTGCATACCTTTCTCCCCCCACCATATATCGGCTAACGTTGTTTGTTCAAAGGCATGAACATACTCCAGGTCGAAATTTTCTGTATTCATAGAGAATGTCACCGAGGTTGCTTTGACCTCCCCGTCGTCCCTTAAGGGAGTTTGAAACTCATAAACTTTCGACTGGCCTGGAGCAAAACATAAGTCTGCTTCGCCAGACTGGTTAGAACGAGTATTTTCTACCGTCTCAGCCAGACTAATTTCGCTGAATACCCTTGGGTTTCCAGGTGCGCTTCTTGTCTCTTCCATTGCTTTGTGTCGAATTATGATTGGCTTCATGCTACCTTCGAAATCGATCTGCAATGAGGTCATTGTCACTGGAGTCGAGGTTGGCAAAGCGGACGAGGTAACGACGCATTGAGAACGACTAGCCTCACCAACCTTTCCCTCAAGGCGCTCAAAGAGAAATGTAGCAGACAAGAAAGAGTGTACTTCGCTTTCGTGTAGGACCACCATAGGCTTAGCTCTCAGTTCTTTCACGTCTTCGAGTGATCTTGTCAAGTTGTAATGCCAATTGGGATGGTGAGTAAAGCCTGGGGGATGTTAAAATACAGCCAAGGGCGCAATGATATTGTTTCCTTACATTTGTTCATTAACTCCCAATCCACGGATAATATGGACACTCCGTCGCCCAAATACACAGCAGCAGTTCGTAAAGCCCACCCAATCTCCTCAACAACATTCCACCATCCTTCATTCCGATATGTCATCTTTTGCCAAAGAGGACGAAGTATTCGCAAAGCATCCTCCCAAGCCTTTTTCCTCATAAGTTCCTTGGCTGAAAGTAGTTGTATTTCCTGCACGATTCTAGACTGACCTCTTATTTCGTATTCCTTGGATGCCATTGCTAGCGAGCCCAAGATATTGTTGGAATGGTCAAAAACTGCGAACTCTTCGTATGGTTCGGGGCACAAATAGCTGTCATAGGTACTTGGTTTATTCGGTGAGTGAGCACCCGAAGCTGAACCAGGAGGCGCTCGATCTTCCTCAGGAATCGCTTGCGCAAGACTGCGGCGAGTTATGGAATGCCTACAAGCAGCGTAATACCAGTAACCAGGATGATGAAGAAGCTCCCAGGGCTGCGTTCGTTCGCCAATTGCAATGGATTTTTCAGGTGATAGATATATATTACCACTATCATTCATCAAACCAATCATTGCAACTTTTTTGATCAGTTGTGCCATGACCGTGGCCCAACGAGCTTCCCATGCTTCCCAGCCATAATTTGAAGACCCTCTTCCCCTACGGTCTATGAAGTCTCGGATCCTTTCTCGATGTGACTGCCACCTTCGGACAGCTGCGGTCGAGTTCCCATTCCACAGTAAGCACCGTACGATTCGAATAGCAAAAATATCAGACAGCATTCGGTATTCATTCCATCGAGGACTCCAGCTGGCAATTGCTTCAAGAACATCTGGGCCCAGCAAACCCTCATAACCACTTTCATAGGACCGCACAGCGGCATCCATTTCCTGACGAAACTCGGCAAAAACACCAAGCTTGAAATCATAACGAACGTTCCACCCTTGAAGGGACAATGTTTGCGATGTACCTGATGTTGGTGGAACTGTGGGTAGTGGGACGATGCCTCTATTCCGCTTCCTTCTTGAGTGTTTGCTTAAATCTCGGTAATATTCTATGCACAAGGGGTATAGTGTGGATATAACAGTCTCTGCAAAAGCTTTCAGCTCAACGGCAGAGGATTGTTGAGGTAAGAAGAATAAAGATGTCTTTGAGTCAAGACCAGTACTTTTACGAATGTTGGCTAGTCGGTCCTCGATATCTGGAGATGGACCAACAGATCTTTCGCACAATAATGCAACCACAAGACGAGTTTTATAACCAGATTTCGTCCATGTATCCTTAATTGTGTTGATATCCGACTTCAATTGGTTGTCTAGTTTTGATGATAGATTCGGGTCCGAGGTAAATGAATAGAAGACGACAAATGCGCTTGGTATATGATCTTGATGCTTCTCTATCCATTCCGGACTAATGAGACCGTCTGGATACAGATTCGAACTTGGACTCAGTGGTGAAAGGGTAGAATGTATAACCGGCTTCGATGTTGGACTCGTAGGCGCTGTCGAAGGAGGCTGCGCATCGCGAACAGGTAGGATATATTCCTTTGAGCAGCATTAGCGGCTTTCACCAAAGCATTCATTCATTCATCCCTACCCTCCCAATTGTCCTGATCTTAAACTTGTTCCTCCCAACATGCTCTCGTCCATTCCAAGCTAGATCGCTGGCATCCCCCTCTTTGAAATGACGAAGTAGGACTCGACCATCTTCCGAGTCCACAGGGGGTATTTCCGAGATTATTGGTGTCCCAGTATTCACACTCTCTTCCTCATCCGGGGAACCCAACCCCGAGATTATTATGAACGGCAGGTTATGAGCCACGAAGGCAGGCGCATACCCGTCCATGGTGGTACTGTCTTAAAAGATCCATATGCGGCGCGAAGGGCGTGCAAGGTGAGAATTGTAGGTCAGGGTCCGAATCTGTGTCTAGCGATTAGATCTCATTGATTCCACGAATTGGCCATGTGCAACAACATGATTTCGTATCTCGTGAACAAATATAAGAGTAGTTCCAGCCTCGCTAGGTTTGGATATATGGTGAACCCTGGCTTTGCAACATCGTAAAGCGGCGTAGTAACTATGTGTGGACTCGACTAAGTGTCTACCTGGGTATTTAGCAAAGATCAGAATATGTTCGTATGGTAAACATAGAAAAATTAGGTTTTGACTCGAATTCTAAGTGAACTTAGGTAGGATAGGTTATGTAGAATACTTTGTAAAAATATGTATAAAAAATACAATGCATTGTTCGAATCTTCGAGTCGTCAACACCAACTAATGCTTGAAGACAGCGCCGCTTTTATTCGACTCCCGAGCCTCGCTCAACCTCGATTCATATTCCAGCCTTGTCCACATTTCAATGCAATACCCAAAATGGCACCACCATCCCCGACATCACTTTACAACCAGCGTAAAGCCAAAATCCATTCAGCGAACGATACTACATCCTCCAACTCACTCGCCTTTTCTTCAACGATCTCGTCTCTACTCACATCCTCAACCCCAGCAACCCGCGGACGGCCACGCCCCTCCAAAGCCCCCAAAGACGACATCTTCTCCTCACACAATCGCAATACCAAAAAACGAGCCGCCAAGGATCTGGAACATGATTCCGATTCGGAAGGTCGTCGGGCGCGAGGTGGGCCAAAAAAAGATCTCGGAAGTGTAGACGATGCGATATTAGATAGAAGTAGGAGGAAATTGGAGAAGAAAGCGAAATTATACAAGGAGATGAAACGGCGAGATTACATACCCAAGGAAGGAGAAGAAGAATTAGTAGATTTCGATCGAAAATGGGTGGATCGAGACGCCAAAGGGGAAGTGTCGTCTTCTGATTCCGAGGTTGATGATGGTGGGGAAATGGTGGATTATGAAGATGAATATGGACGTTTGAGACGGGGTACTAAAGCTGATGCCGAACGTATGGAACGTCGAAAATTAAACAAAGTTCTGGGACAAGAAGAGCTTGACAGAATTTCAGCAAGACCAGCGCAACCCGAAAAGGTCATCTACGGAGATACGGTCCAAACGCTTGCTTTTAACCCGGATGAGGAGATTCATGAGAAAATGGAGGCGCTGGCTGGGAAGAGAGATAGGAGTATGACTCCTCCAGAACAGAGACACTATGAGGCGGATAAGGAGTTTAGGATCAGAGGTGTTGGGTTCTATAATTTTAGTAAGGATGAAGAGGGTAGGAAGAGGGAGATGGAGGCGCTTGAGGCGGAGAGGAAGGAGACTGAGAGACTGAGGAAAGAAAGAGACGAGAAGAAAGACAAGCGCAAGAAGGAGCTTGAGGAGAGGAGAAAAGCTATCTCGGAGAAGAGAGCAAAGAAGCAGGCTGAGAGTTTCCTGGATAATTTGGGTGCTGACCTGGGATGAGGGCGTTTTTGAACCACCGATTTATTACAATGATACCCAATTTTACTTCACACGCTACTTTCGGATATGAGGAAAAGGGACGATGGTTTTGCATGAAAAGTCTGAATTTATCTGGCTTCCGACGATTCACACCGAATGTGACCACCAAGATTCATCCGAAGCCCCTCACACTCAATCCAAACAACCCTCAAGACGCCTCAGTACCAGACAAAGTCCCTCCGGGAATACAAGCAAATTGCGATGCGTCCTGTCTGATCGGCAGATCCGTACAAAAGCCATTCACAAAGAACCCATTGATTGCTCCTATGAGCAAGTCAGTACACTGAACCCCATGATTACAACACTAGAACAGCAGAAAGTATCTGGGATAAAATTGAAACTGGATGGAGTCGGGATGAAATGCGAACGAGAACATACCGGCTTTACACAATTTCCCTGTATCAGCAGCGGTACAGCGCTCGATTGGCGCGACTGGCGCGGCGGTGATCAAGGTGACGAGGGTGAGGAGTGCGAGAGGGAGTTGGGACTGCATTTTGGATGTTGGAAGGGTCGATGAGTCTCTGATTGGTGTCAATCAATATACTTGAAGTGTCTGGGGGGCCTTGTGTGACTGACTTGCTTGAGATATATTGTGGTGATGAAAGCCTGATTAAAAATCCTGTCTCCTCAACACAAAGGATAAATTACAGCCTATTTATCTCTCCTCCTCCCCTCACCTCACCTTAAAACCACCTTCAATCAATAGTCCACAAGTCGCTCACGACTATAATTCCAAGAAAGTTACCCCACACCCTAGATATGGCACTTGTGTACCCCACACTCCTTTGAGTACCGGCCAAGACACTGAACACTTGAATTATCTTTAGGAAAAAGCCTTGAGGCTGTCGATCTTTGGGTGAAGATGGATTTTAGGAGATTTCCAAACCTCGGTCCTAATCTCTCGCGCTGGAAACTAAGTGATAGTACCATCTTCTAGATCCAAAGGACGCCTCGGTAACGGGAACTTCCATCTCCCAACCACTATAGAGTAGAATCGGCAGTTCAAGGACATGGTAGAATAAGCAAGACTTGAATATCAGGATAGCCCAGAAAACGAAGATGCAGTTGTGATTGATTATTCATTTCTTTATAACATTGTGCAGCATTTGCTTCTCTACATAAACCAACAGTCACTGGAAAATCCAAAGACTTCCTATTCCCGACAGATTCTCCTGCTCCTAAATCTCCTTTTATATCGATCATCATTTCTCCTCCATACTAATATCCAGTCAATAAGACAGGACCCCTCAACCATCCAACCCAAAAAACCCAAAATAATAAAATTTTCAAACCCCGCACCCCCATTGCATTCTAGCAAGGATTGCAATACTATTCCCCAAAACCTCCAAAAATGAACGCCGATTAACCGATGCTTCTCTTGTCAAAATATACACGGAAAAAATAATGTGAAGATAAACGGTCGGTGTAGATGTCCCAAACTCCTGCGCATGGCCCAGTATAGTCGCGGGCGCCTCAAAAAAATCAAAAAATATGTAAGCAGTGTAAGTGTAGATACAAGTCGTTTTCTCCGTCGTCTCTGGCCAATTCCCATGGATTCTTCCAGATTAGTTCTCTACTGGTATAACCACACGCAGCCGCACTGTTTTTCGGAGCCAGGCTCGCGTCTTTGTAGTGAAATATCTCGTTGTGCGATTTCATCTTCCGCTTTGTTTAGATTGACAGATCGTTTGGAAAAGGTTGTCGAGGCGGTCTCATTCAGATATACCATGGTTGGCTGACCGGTACTGTTCATCACAGGCTTAGATCCTCCAGGTGTGATTTGCGTCAACATGCAATAGGGTGAGATGACTTGTGGCCCTTGAGACATGCGATGCTCCTCGATTTTGACAACCCTTGAATACGGTGGAGTGTATGGCGACCCATATCCTTGGTAAGAATTACCAGAACTGGCCGCTGTTTGCATCGCTCCCCCGTACCCAGATGATGTCCATGGCGAAGATGATGTAGCCGTGGCCATCGCGGATACTTTACTGCCGTATGCGGTAGTTTGGTTAGGATATATGAAAGCCTCGAGAACGGTTCCATTCCAATAACAGAACCACGCCACCTCATCTACTTGAAGTGTACCTTTGCGGCCACTAAAGTCGCCAACGCCATGTGGAATCTCGCGTCTACCTAATGGAATGGCGAGATCGGTATTTTTCAGAATAACAAGTTTGTTGTATGACATTTGGAACCACCAAGCTGGGCCTCGACTCGTCTCATCAACATCATTGACTAGCCTTAGGACTTGTTGCTCTTGAAATTGCGGGGCTTGAGCGCCATATGAAAAGGAAGTATCAGAATCGTTACCATACTCTAGGATCATTTCGATATTGCTTAGAGGATCAGGACTACCGGCGAGTTGGGTGAGCGTCATATGTAGTGGACCAGATGCTGCAGGTACAGTGCAACTCCACGCATTGCTTTGTGCGGTGTTCTCGAGGCAGGTATTTTGACTCAATTGGGGAGCTGTGATTGGAATTATAAACTCGCCTGTTGGTAAATCAGGTGTTCCCGTCGGTATGCTGGTAAGTGGAGTAGCATCATAAGTAGTAGTCATTGTGGTGATTGATACCGAAGATGAAGGGTTTTGAATTTCAGCACTGTTGAATTGTTAGTACACTACGCCGAAAGGGATTTTAAAGACCTACGGTGCATCTCCATCTAAATCGCCACCAAAGTTCTTGGAGTGTTTCGGCTTCAGAATTGATAAAACCGTGCCGAGGATGATTCCAAAGAAGATAAAGGATATGGCGATAATACCAAAGACCCAGACAGGAATGATGCCGCAAACTTTTCTTCGTGCCGCCTTTTGCCAGCTCTTCAATTGCGGCTTTTCATTTCCAATCGCTGCATTCGCGGCTGCGGTGTTGACATTGTGTCCACTTAGATCAGACATTATGCTCCCTCTAGACTGGGGAGAATTCAAGTCTTCTTGTGAAGCGAATTCAGGGTTTCGGGTGGCCAGTCCTATTCCTCCAGCACCAGGAGCCATGGCCATAGCTGGGCCAGAAGATGATCCATTAGGTACCGCAAGAGTTACAGTTGGTCTCGTCTTTCTAGCAAACGCTTCGTCAGGATACTGTGTATATGGTGGCAGCTCCTCTGTGTGGCCGTCTGGTCCAATGATGCCCGCAGCTTCCTCTCCATCAGGGCCCAGGCGACGTTGATAATTGTTATTGAGTCCAGGAAATCCAACGGGAAGTGGAGGTGGTGGCGGCGGATCTCCAGCTTCCGATTCTGCAACAATATTCTGAGGGTACATACCATATGGATGTGTTGGGCCGCTCGGGCCTGCATAGGATCTCTCGGTGATAGGGGCGGTTGAAGTAGTTGCCATGCTTGCTGTTCTGGCAAGTCGTGATTCTTGGGGATACATCTGATAAGGGTGTGAAGGGCCCGTCGGTCCTCGATATGGACTTTCGGGTCGCACGTAGGCCATGTCGGTCGACACACTTGAGGCTCTCGTCGGCATCGAACTTGATCCAGATGCACTGTGTGAATCGCTCGTCGAATCCGCTCCCATCCCACCGTCATGTCGTAAGGCGAAATTGTCGCTCGCACTCGGTTTGGAGATACTTGAAGGCCGTGGTCGTAATAACGTGTCATTGGATTCTGGAGCCATCGTTCTTTGCTGGCTCATCATGCCGTTATATCCTCCAGGGTTGGACGGCCTGAAGCCATCCGATATTCCCATTGCCTCCAAATCATAGTCATCGTCGAGTTGGTCGTTGATTGATATTCGTGCCGATGCCCTCCTGTCAATTCCTGAAGACGAACGACGATCAGGGCCGGCCATGTTCGATATCCTCTCTTTCTCTCCGGCTTTCTCTACCGTCCGCAACGCTCGTAAACACGATCGGTCCGCCCTTGGATCGTCACCAGCGACACGCAAATTTCATCAACTACGGCCCAATTGTGTCGACAGTAGCGATAGCAGGCGCAAGAATCTTTCAACGAAGGTCGTGGGGTGTGGTCGCGAAGAATTGAGTGATGAATGAGTGGTTCAAGGTTGATGATCGATGATTGTTTGGCCGTCAGTGGAGGTCCGGCATGATTCGAGCAATGGGAAGAGGCAGGCTCTTGGCGGTTCGAATCTGCGACACCTCGCTTCGGCTGCAGGGGCTGCCCAGGTGGTCGAATTCAACCACGGCCGTGGCCACAAGCACTCCCAACCACTGTTGAACCACAACCACAGATCCCAAACTCGCTCACACCATTTTGGACGCTTTGCTTGCCAGGGGCCTTCTCGTTCCAGTCACACCGCGCCGTTGCAGATTTCAAGCTCGAAAGACCCATCCCCATCTGGCATCCGTTGACATTAGCCGCACCACAGGAGTGGACGTGCCTGGCTTGATTTCCCTCCAATTGGCCTGAGAGGTCGGAAGACGATCCTTTGGACCTTTTGGCCCTTTGGGATCCTGATGTCGGAGGCCAAAGAGCGCATTTACATTCGAGGCGGAGAAGTGGAACGCACGATGATTACTCTACCTCTTCGATCTTCATCTGGCAACAGCACCTCTACTCTTTACTACAACGATGCGCGAAATCGAGCCAGCAGATAAGGTTACATCTAGATTTCGATTTCATCATCAAAAGCTCGATAACTCTACTCTTCGCTCAACTCTCGTCGCTGACTGCACGATTGCTACGAAGTGTGTGCAGCTACTTGAAACGACTTGGTACCAGCTAGGCTCGTAAAAGGTTAGGTGCAGTTGCCGTTGCGGCGCGCTGCTTTGATCTCGTGCGATCTGCGTTGATACAGTAAAGTAAAAGCAGGCGATGGGTTTGGCCATGTTACCAGGTATTTTGATTCGCATTTGTTCTACGGTCCTTCGATATCGGGTTCCTTCTCAGTTTTCTTCTTCTTCCTGCCCACCCTCAACTCAGCAACCTGCAGTGACGGGTGTGCTCTTCGAAATGCATATCTCTGGCGGGCGGTCCATCTTCGTCAGGGTCTCTCATACGCATGGCTGCTTGAGTTGAATGGCACGCAGGAGCGGCAGTCGCTAGATTGCTGTACATTTCTACTATTTATTTTCTTCAGATCTCCTGGTATTGATTTCCCTTCTCGCGGCTACTGTTATGCTTATTTGCTCTGCATCGGCCCGATACATCATACTGGTTTTGCTTCGTGGTGGATCTGAAAACTCATTCTGCAACGAGTCGTGACTACTACAGTCAGCTACCATAAGCTGTTACTGGTCAGACTTTTCAGCCATTTGAGCGTTGCGAGGCATCATAATGCGTCATTAGTATGCCAGTCTCGAGAACGAGATCGAGCCGCTAGACGGTCGAGACACGGCAATATACTTCCACCAGCGTGGTTGCCGATGCCATCTCGGAAATATGTATGAGTTGCATCAATCAATGCAGCCAGCCTAACACACACTTTATGAACAATCGTACACGATTATTCACCCCAGATGGTACCTTAATTCAACGGCTGCTCTCGAAATTGTACCTCCTTAGACATGATAGGTAGAACCCCGTCGTCCCTCGATCACTTGACTTGCTTCCTGTTCAACTTTAGGCTCAAGGCAATTATTTCACTTATCTATTGCTCTAGCCGACCCTGAGCATTATGGGAAACGGTTAAGAGCATGGAGATTTAAAAGTCAAGTTCGTGTTTCTTGAGCCAGCTACATCCCATGATGGTTTGGGAATTTCGACGTCAAATCCTCGGCAGTATGGTGATGGCGATGCAATCCTAGCCGGCGCTTTTTTCAAACTTCAGCCGAGCAAGGCTTCCTCTCAATTTTTCCGATTGCGAAATCCGCAATGTTTCTTAGATCACATCAAAATCCGTGTCGGATTCGTCCATGTTTCCTCGTGGTGCAGAAAGTACAGTGCAGGTTTCACCCAATCATACTCGGGTCTTCTAAAACACCAAGTGTCTCTGTTGCCAGATCATTTTCAAAACGCTCAGTTGAAACATGTTATTAAGACTTCGTGTCGGTTCTTGGAATTGAAAGATCTTCTGGAACAATTTTCCATATGAATACATGCCTACTATCTTTGCTCATAGTTAAGCAAAAACTGCACCTCATATTCACCAAATTCTAAAGGCTCTCTCCAAGTATGAGATAGGGCAAAGAAAATGCTGTTCTTACCATTTTCGTTACCACATTGATACCTTAGAAGGCCACGCGCCATAGATAGCGGCAATACTCAGCCGCGAAGCATTATGAATACATTCCCTTTCCTCAAGTACAGACACTTCCTTGCCCATAAAGCCATCTTGATAAGTCGCCATCGCGTTTTCCAACAACGTACTTGAAACCGACTACCACTTCTACAAAAACAAAGAAAACTTGGGACGGCTTGAACATGACGACTCATACCCAGACGAAAACATGCCAAAGTCTTGGGGCTTTCCACCTACAGGAAGAACTCCTAAGTCGACCAACCAAATGGGGTGACGACGTGACTGATCGTAGTACCTATTATTCGGCTGCCCTAATGCAATATGTCTACGTTAGTTGTGCTCTATGACACAAGTAGAGTCACTCGACACAACATCGCCTCTGATAACGAGATTAATAATACGATAGCATGCTTTTTCAAAGGGTGTGTACTAACTACTAGGGTATTTTCCAAGCAGTCTATACGGAGAATTAGAAACAACGTCGGTATATCTTTAGGAAGTTTTGTCTGCTGAGATCGTTGGCGGATGAAAAGCCAAAGCTTCGCCATACTAATGCATGTTCGTGCTTGTTATTTAATGGAGGGTGAAACAGGTGTCATTTCCTGTGAAAAGATACTGACCCCAGTAGCTCGGTGCCTGAGAATGTGTTGAACCTTGAATTTAACATAATGTTTCGATTCTCAAGCAATATTTCTTCGAGACGCGCTGTCATTATTCTCCATAAGAAACCAATGTATCTCAAGTTTCATCATTTACTATGCGATACGATACTGCGAGACTTTGATGTCTTGCGTTATAGAAAGATGGTAAATCCTACAATTAAAACTTCCAAATTGATGAGCAATCGAGATTAGCTTGGGTATGTCCGTGTAGTCGCCACACTGTCTGAAATCTACATTCTACCTCCTTTGTACATAACACTCGAAATCATGTATGACACGTAGGATATTCAATATTCACACGTATACCGGGCAGAAGCTCTTCGGTGTGGGATGTAATCTATACGGATCTGTTGTTGTCGAAAAGAGAATTGCCACCGATTCCATTTCTGGCTTTTCGTCCAAATATTAACAGTACTATAGAGTTGTAAGTAATGAATCAGCCGAGTCATTGTAACGCTAATCATAGCGTATATTCTCGACGCCTACTCGCAATTTTGAGAGAGCTAAACACCTGACATTTCAACAATGCCATCGCTCACATTGCTCAATGAGCGCTTGTGACCCGCGACCCATGCTAATAAATGTGCGAATATATCCAGCTAGTTTGTTTGAGGACTAAGAAGTGAAGTCCAACCTTTGGTTATTTGATGTTTAGGGGTATCTGACCGAGGTAGTGTGGTGGAGGTGGTGTTTAGAGGGTTGATTATAAGAGAGAAGGGATGTTCTGAAAGATGCAGAATTCGTCAGTTACTTAATGTGAATTAGGAATCTCTGGTATGCTGTTGAATGACTGATCAAATATACATGTATGATCAGAAGCTTCATGGTTTTTATGAGTTTCTAAGCTATAGCTGAGTTCTACATAAGGGCTATATCTGGGTTTCACGAATATAGATCTCAAGTGTAGATTTGTTGCCGTATTATAACTCGCCGCCAAATTCTTATTTACAAACCTGCGTCTTAAAGAATTTATCACAAAAATGGAAAAATAAGGGTCTTCCTTTATAGTTCTATCTAAGAAACCTATATAACTATATCTTTAACTAGTAATTAAGTAAGATATTACGTCTTAACAAAGTAGTATACTAAAAAAAACATTTACGAAATATATTACATTATTTCTTGGATTAATAATAATTAGTAGAAATTGAAATAATGGAGGTAAGCAGTTAGAATATAAAGCAGTATAAATTGTTTCTGGGAGGATATCTTATATGTTCTCTAATACAATACAAGGTGTGCGACAAGTGCTATACAAATCCTTGGGTCCTGACAATCAACCATAAAAGGCAGGGGTTCTTTTAGTTTCTTATGTGTAAGGTAGTAACTACTCGAGACTGCGGACAAAACATTGCGGTAGAGTTGCTGGTTTTATATCTTTAAGATATAGTACCACTAAAGCGATAATTTCGACAACTTTTAACGGGTGCACTTCTTACCGTAGACCAATAAGATTTTAATCCCAGGAAACGCGAATCGAAGCTTTTCTTGCTGCCGATTTTCAACTCACCACCGATTCCTCACTCACAGAACCATATGTAAGGTAAACTATTATATCCTCTATATCTTTCCAATATTTCTTAGTAAGCAATCGTTCAAATCCATTTCAGATGAGCAGTCAGCAAATATTCTCCTTTGCCTGCACAGGCAAATGTTTCAGGTATTTTCTGTCCTTTGCTCTAATTAACTATCTACTCAGAAGAATGCGGTATTGTATACACCGGATTCAGATCGGGAGTATGAGAGATGTCAATGGAAAATGGGGATTGTGGAAGCTTGATGATATTGGTCTCTTTGAAAGTTATGCTCATCACTCATAATCCCCCAAAGTCCCTTTACATCGCGGTAGCTACGAAAGATAGTGAGGATACTTCAACTATACCTTGGCAGAAGACGTCCCAAATTTGGTTTAGGTGGATCGCTAGGAAAATCAACCGTTGATCTTGTTACAGATGACTTGTACAATGGCGGAAATAACCAAGACAAGTGATAACGGTTGGCGTACCTCGGAAACTATATTTCTAACCAAAAAGTTTGTCACTCAATGAAGGATAGATGGATTTCAATATATCAGTTGATATTGGTCCGTGAGCAAGATGGGCGGCAAGTAATGTACAAGAACTATGTGTGGACAAATATTCCAGCCAAGCAGCAGAGAAAACAGTGATTGTTTTTGATGCCAGAACCATCTGCGCACCTGGTTTTGTCCTTCGCTTTCCTTGACTTCCTCAAATACGAAGCAAGGAACTGTCACACATAAGAGCGGGACTCGATAGCATGCTGCTCAAAGCACGCGTGACGCATAATTAAAACACATCACCACTTAAGCACATCTCACAATTTCACAAAAGCTGAAGAATAATACAACAATATTCCAAATATATCTAACAACTATATTACAACCCAAATTCAAATATCCAATTCCTCATCATTTCTCAGTTTTATATCCCCAAATTCTCATACGCCGATTAATAAATGCATATGTACGATGCCTCAAAAACCCATGGTAATACCTAAACGCCTCGCTCCATGCCAGGAGACTATGCTGAAACTCCAGTAAAAAAACAAAAAAACAAAATGCAAATGCAAATGCGAATGACAAAAGAAATAGTCGGTCGTGGTTGTGTGATGCAGAAGGTGTGCGTGGTCTGTGGTAGCGAGCGGTCGAGACTATCAAGCCTCAGAACAAGTATACTAGATGAGGCTTAAGCTCGAGAAAATCGCCAGCGACAAACAGTAAAATAAAAACAATCCGCAAGTGCAACAATATCGTCAAGGCAATACACCATACGATCGCACAGCAAAGTGTTGCATGACATACGCCAACTCATGATCAACCCTCAAGAATCCGGAAGGATGAGAATGACGACCGAGCCTCCAAAATCCATCTGATCACGAACTCAGCCGTCACAGACACGGCACCGAAGCGAAGGATTCTCGCCACTCCTGCACATTGCATCCTTCGATTTATGCCAAGGCTTTTGGCTTGACGACCACGTAGTACATGTGACGAGAATTGAATTTTTCGATTTTGGTGAGTTCGTGGGTTGAATGATGAGTAAATTGTGCGGTAGATTATGGTGGTGTTTGCGTTGTGTTTGGTGGTGAGAGGAGGGTATATTCTGAAGTGGTGTTTGGTTACACATTCGCTTGATCCTTCCTAATAACCCTTATTATAAACCTCCAAGTTTGTGGAGATGCGAGATTTGCTTATGCCGGGACTAGCAGAGAACTCCACTAGACTTTACAAACTAAGCTAGATCCTGATCTCTCCATCCTTGGTGGTTTGTCGCAATTCATAAACCGCTGCTCTCAAGCATTTCATATCCAAGGGAAACTCTTCTTCGCTTGTGTCGGCTGATTAGGGAATATCTCCGTACTTCTCTTCGGCTGGATATCACCCCATTGATCTCTGTTGTCAATTGACTTCCTTATTTCGATTGGTGAAGGCATATCGGCGCCTTGGTAATATCTCTGGTTCGATAGGTCCGAACTTCGCTTCTCCATAATCGTAGGTTCATATTGACTTGTCCATTCCGCTACGCTGAACCTCGACGTTGCTTCATACGCATTATTGGGTAACTCGGGTGCTACTACTGTCTGTCTTTGCGATAGATCTTGTTCGTAGATTGAGGTTGGTGAGACAGGTCGGGATGGCATGGAATAAGGCGCTGGATCAAGATCCCACATCGAATTCGGACGTACTTCGTCGTTACCATAGATAGACTCGTCGTCATTTGGTGATAGCCCGTCGTCGTGTGGTGATAGCGACCGATGCGTCACATGATATGGTTGGATCATTTCATCAGGGTGATTCGAAAAGTTCGACGGACCGGAAATGTCGATCTCCTCCATGTCTCCAGGCGCTCCGGGTGGACCTCTGGCTTCTGAGTTCGCTGCGTTCTCTGCATTGATGCGCTTTTGTCGCTTGAGGGCAAACACTACTGCTCCAGCGATGACTAAAACAAGTATGAGTCCACCCCCAACACCACCTACAATAGCAGTGATGTTGGGTGGAGCAGCTTTTTGGGTTTTGTTTTCAGTGGTACCTGGAGCTAGAGGGGGAATCGCAACGACTTTTGCTGGTACAGGAGCTCCTGTGGGCCAGACCCGTTGGTGAAGTGAAAAGCTGGCTCGTTCATAATCTACAATAAGGTAACTATAACATGTCAGCATAGTTTTCTTACAACACCAACCCCGCCAAACTTACGCTTCCTGAAGAAAAGCTCTACCAAGAGTGACCTGTCCTGGGTTCGCTGCTCGTTTGAGTGGAAAGTAGTGCGACGACGTTTGCACCAAAGGTGACGTTGCGTACAAATCAAAAGCCTTGTAGGGAAGTACGATATGTGCTACGGTTGTAGATGTCGAGTTTCCTAAAGCAAATGTGACATTTGCATTTTGTGCTAACAGCTTACTTCGTAGGTTGTCATCAACGAGGTAGAGCTGACTCGCCTCATCCCAGACAAGTCCGAATGCACTCTCAAACTGCTTGCACACGTCCACAGGTAGATATATATATGGGACACTGGAGTCGATAGATGCCTCTATGGCTTGCGCACTCAATACGGTAGGTGTCTTCGAAGCCGGGTCGTTGTTGACGACTATTGAGGCTATGAAAAGCCTTAGATTACTCATTGTTGAATTATTGAACTTGAAGATGAGATCGTTCTGAGTATATAGAGAAGTGTCGTGACCGCCAAGAATGAGACTTCCATACCCCTTAGATTCCGGAAGACCGTACATACTGCCAGCTGTATATCCGTACGAGAGTGAAGGAATATAATTAGAAGTTTTCAACCTCGATATAAAACTTTCCACAGGGGCTGCAAGGCCCTCCAACATAGTCAACAACGAGCTGAGACCAAACATGCCCATGTAAAAGTCATTGGTGGTGAGACCTCCAATAAGTTGATCGGGAATGGAAGGAAGATCATTTTCTGCGGAACCTAGTCTCACAGTATCATATCCGTAGGCAACATTTACATTCAAACCATATCCCGCTCCGATCGTCGCGGCGTATATACCAGAAGTTTGGTTGTTAATCCTATTGAATTGCGTTAGCATAGTCACAAACCGGAAGTTCCTTTGATCCAACTATGGTTCGTATAGGTGAGGCTGTTTCCTGAAATTGGTGGGATTCTCAGCTGTTCTCGCTATTTATGCAGAATCTCCCCTCGCTAATCTACCCGTCCAGCTGAGAAGAACCGAGAATGAAGGGACATCGCCGGCGACCGTCTAGTGTGTGAAAGCCATTGTACAAACTTACCAAGTAGGTTTACTCGCCGAAGTACCTGGGGAGTAGATATCTCCACGAGAATTTGCGCAATCCGCCCGCGCGCTTGAGGGACATCCTTCTGGTAGAACAACCCATGGTTGGTTGCTTGATGTTGATATGAGAACTCTTACAGTTTGAGCTGGCCCGCCAATACTTAGGTCAAAACTGGACCAAGGTCCATCTATTCCATCCCTAAGAAAATTCAAATCAGTGCAATGAACCAGACCAAGATAGAGTTAAACATACCATCTTCCACTCGGTGGAACAACAAGAGGAATCGGTGTCGGTGTTCGTGCGTCCAGCGGGTAGAACAAGGCGGCTGCTAATGTGGTAGTTGGAAGACCCAGGAGATATACTGTCAAAAACGTTAGAGACGCGTGCTTGAGCAACATTTTGCAATCACAGAAAAAAGACATTTGAAAGAAACCAAGCATACTTAAGAAGATAATCCACTTCTGATGACCTAATGACAATCAAACGCCCGTCAGTCGATCCTGATACTCTATTCCTGAGCATCTGACAAAGGCAAGCTGGAACCCCTCAATATGAATCATGGCCGATTTTACCATAATTGGATGCTTCAGCCATGACGAGGTGACCCATCCGCGAAGCTTTCTTACCCAGACATATTACTGGGATCCGGGTGTTGGCTTGAAGGATTTTGCAGCCGCGCATCTGGGGTCAGCACTGTAAACCGGACTCTTAGGATTATTACTGGCACATGGTGCAAACATCGAGTGTTACGTCGTGGTTCATCGATCTAAAGGAACGTTAGCCTTGAGTTTATTTTGTCAGAGGTCATATTCATGGTCCGGCTGCCATGAGAGAATGACCCGAAATGTTGGTATGAATAGTGCTGATTTCCCATAAATGATTCGAGCTGCCAAGAATTCACAGTGATCCTTTATGAACAGCTGTGTAAGGTCGGACAGGAAATATTCATGAATGAAATCACTTCGCATTACAAAGTCGGGTAATGTTTGCAGGATGCCGATTCTGTCAACTATGACTGAGTTATGGGAGGTATCGTTGAGAATAACCAGAATAATCATCAGTGCAATTATGCAGATGAGTTAATCTTACTTGGATATCCGCAATAATGATTTGCAGAGATTGGTAGTCTTTGCTCGGGTGTGGCTGGTAAAGGTAGAAAGTATTCTAGGACGTGGAAATGGTGCTGGTCGACCCGTGACTTTCGACTTGTGACACAATCCGCAAAAGGATTTGTATGACGCTCCTCACCAAGAACATGGTCGCGACCTTCAAGACCGCAGCGAAGATGTTTGACGTTCGTCGCTCCGTATGATCATCATTTATAAACATTGCCAGTGGTTACAAATCCGGTCCCTTTCGTCCTTACATTCCGTGCAGTGCCTGCGAGTGTTTCTTCAAGGACTTGATGCTTGCGCCGGGGGCCATTTTCCAGACGCGAGACCTCCACCACCAGCTGAGGTTTCGTGTCGCGCGAATATTCTGTGATGAAGCTTTGTCGGTCTGTATCTCCAGATGGCTAATCTGACAGAATTACAGGTGAACAGCGCGTCATGACATTAACACGCCGTGCCTCCCGATCGGACTCAGAGCCGGCGCAAATCAGCATCACATCGACTCAACACCACCGCGAATACTCTTGTCGCTCTGTCGCGAAAGCATCTGAATACCAGTCGGGTCTGCATACAAGGGATCACTATGGTGCAGCTCGTCAATCTATGCGAGGAGCAAGGCGAGGAATAAGACGACTGCTTCTGGAATCATCATCCTGCAGAGCAGCCTCGTCAGGAAGTTACGAGGTAGTTGCACTGCGCTGAAGTATGTACGGAGTAAGTCCTCAATCTCTTATGATGGTTGACTCTGGTCAGCTGCTTTCCGATCCTGTCCCTAATAATACTTCCAAGTAGGTAAGCAATCCTTCAGCGAACAGATGGGAGTATAAAGCTGAGCAGGTCCGTCGAACAACCAACACTCTATCGTGGTTGTTTGCCACCTGGCCACCCACTCGCCGTTACTTGTTGTTTGCACAACTCTTTGCTACTTGAGCACCATCTTGAATACCACTTCGTTCTCCACCAGGTATGATACCAAAAATACTCATCTTAGTCTGGTGGTGTATTGGAATTTGCGGCTCATCATGGTCTTTTGTTCATGCTCCGCCCCATGATTATTGGGGTTGATGAGAGGTTCTCTCGCACCGACGGGCCAGTAAGAAGTCTCTTGCTTTTCACGAAAAGCGGCACTTGTCATTTGAGATGAGATGACGAGAGTCGGCAACAACAGTTTGTTATGCCTCCAAGCTGCATCTGCCTTACCTACTGCAATTTGGCAGAATATACGGAGTAACAGTGTGCCAAGTGGCGAGACATGTTGCTTTCGGATAGCAGTTGTTGCAACAGTTCTCATCCTTCGTTCTCATTCCTCATTCTGCGCAACGCTTCAATCTACGAACATATCGTGGAAATTTGGTCAATTCGAGTTCATCCCTCGTAAACGCGAGCGTTCGCTCTTACTGTATTTGATGCTGCTTTTTCTCCCATCTCCAGTCAAAAGCGTGGCCGCCGGGGCACGAACTGGCCAAGCCCCTTTCGCTAATCTTCCGCTCCCTGCACGAAGTTCTTGCTGACGGTCGAGATGCTTACGCTCCAACCAGTTGGTGACCTTGGGATCTTCTTCATTGTTCTCCACAGCCGTTGTTGTCTGTTCTTCGATTTGTCCGTTTGGCTCTTCCCACATGACATTACCCGGCGGTGGTTGCTGATTGGCGGCAACGGTCCTATGGCCCCGGAGCATGCAGCGCGCCTTGAGAGAGTCGTGCATCCTTCCTTGTCTGATCTTCCCTCTTTCGCACCAGAACACCAACGCCAAAATCCTTTGATGGCACCCCTCTTGGGAACTCCACTGTTGCATTTATTTTTGGTGCGTGCCTGACAAGATGTCCACTTTGAAAGAGGGGCAATTGCTTCTCTGCTTCGCGATGGCCACAAAGTCTGCTCAATCGAGACTCTGCACCGCCTGCTCAACCCCGTCTCGCACGTTTTCCACACCTGGGTCGGGAGAATTTGACCATTCCCAGCCTCTCGTACCACCACCCAAACAACCAGAACCCCATCATTGATACATGAAAGATACATGCGGATGTGTGATTTGGCCCCGCGAAGAACCCGTGTCCGGGCCTCACGCAAATTGTACTGCAATTCCAACACCGGTTTGTGTTGTTTTACCCTGCCCAACGTGGACCGAACAGGCCTGCCACAACACACTTGGCCCACGCTCCCTCTAAGGCACAGCAATGGCGCAGTATCCTGACATTATAGAAATGTCACCTGTCTCCCACAACCCTCTTCTGAGCTTCTCTCTTGTCATATGCTTCAATCTGTAGCTGTCATTTCGCACGGCTAAGAGGGATGAATCGTGTCGCAACTGTCGTTTCTTGCCCAATATGTATTTGCTGCTCGGTTTAGCAGCTGGTGCAGTGGCTCTCACGCATAGCACTTCTCCAGCGCGACCACAAGCCGAAGGTAAGTCACGCTTGCGCTATGTAGTGTACATAGACCGCTGACACTTTGGGTTAGATCTTGCAGTGATTGTAAAAGGATGGTTTCGGGAGTCACCGGCTACTTGGACAGAGCCGCAACACTCGGTTCAGTGCACAGCAACCGTCACTTCAACTATAGCTCGGCCATTTACTACAACTTATGGCCCATGTCATGAGACTGTTACTGTGGTGGAGGTCCTGGAGGGGAGAGCGAAGATAGAGCTACGAGGAACCAATTCTACAGACGGGCCCCCACCTGTAAATGTTCCAGTCTTAGTTGACACTCCTACAACCACGTTGCCTACACCCAAGCCAACTACGCCAATCGCTCCTGTAACTGTCCCTGCCCCTCCCAATACACCTCCTCCTGTAGTCGAGACACCACCTACCGTTCCAGCTCTGGATCCAAAGACGTCGACGACAGTAACTCCTGTCACCGTACCCGTCGTCACCCCATCGACCACTCCGACACAACAAACTCAACCGCCTCCGCAACAAAACCCAGATCCTCACACTGAACCTCAACAGCCAACCCAACCACCGCAAGCACCTCACAGTGAGGCTCCTCAACCTACTCAGCCAACACAACCGCCACATACAGAGGCTCCTCAACCTACTCAGCCAAC